CCCCCCGCAGCCATCAATCACCATCCGGCGCACTTGCGGGGACAACACTGGGCGTTTCGATTGCCTCGCCCGCACCCCATCCTTCCACCTCGCCATCATCCTCGGGTCGGCTCCTTGCCGTGCATCCCTTCGTTGCCCACCACCATCACCTTGCCCATGCTAGATTGCCAAAATTCACCACACTAGCACGTCGCTTTGCTCAAACGGCCTGCACCTCTCTCATCTGGCCGGTCCAGTCTGGTCCAACACGCCCGTCCTAGCCACCCTCACGCCCAGCTCTGGTGCTGCCACTACCACACACCGCCTCCGACCTCGCCTCAAGCCGTGCTCACCATCACATTCCATCGAACTTCCTTCGTCGCCCCTCTGTCTCTCCCCGGAGCGTTGTAGTTGCCGCAACCCAGCACTCTACATACCGACTAGGACTGCCTCAGGACTTGCTTCGAGCTCATGGGCAAGAGGCGCCTGTCTTCGATTGTCACCACCGTCGTCCGCTCACGCAAGCTCCACCATTCGAACGGAGCTCGCGTGTCTCTCTCTCCCACCACACTAGATCCGAACCCAGATTGCGACACAATCCAAGGCGTCCATCAGGACGTCCCAACCATGGCCACCGGCACTGCAGGCCGCTCTCTTGACGGCCTGGTCAAGGGTGCCGCCATCCCCACCGAATCCTTCTGGTCGGCCGATCTTCCCCTCTGGCGCTCCAGCGAGGCACAGCACTCCGAGGCTGGGCCTTCCCGCTCCTCGTCCATCCATTGCAGGCGCGGCACTTGCACCCCTACCACGCTCACACCACCATCACCCACCGCAAACAAGCTGCTCTCACCACCCTTCGACGTAGTTTCGACACGCCTTGCACCTTCCAACGAAGCGACTCCTCCGACCACTTCCCGCTCAGCTCAGCACTTGGATGGCCAGACTGCCGCCGACTTGGAACGTACCGGCGCATCTTTGCTTTCCGGCCTCCAGATGGCAGGCTTTTCTGCCAGCCCAGAGCAGGTCGCAACATCATCCTCGGCCCGATCTCATCCGTCACACGCTTCTACAATCCCTAGTTCTCTCTCTCTCAATCGGTCCACGGCGATACCAGCTCTGTGGAGCACTCCTTCCTCGCTGCAATCCGACCCCGTCGCGGCCTCACATCCTTCCCGCCCGGCTAGGCCTACGCTCGCACGTCTCAACACGTCAGAGATGCTGCGCACCCAGAACGCATCATCGGCTGCGAGCGGTGCAGTGCCATCCACACCCGCCATCGTCCGCAAGTCGCCGTCGTCTTTAAAGCTCCAGCTCGACACCTCCGTACCGCGTAGGTCGGCTACGCTCAGCAGCTATCCACACGCGGCCAAACCTCGGTTCGCGATACCTACGATGGAGGTCCCTCGCTCGCATCGTTCGGGCAATTCTCACGGTCTCGACGCGCTGATATCAGGCACGTCGGACGCACCCGACCAGCCGCTAAACAGCAATCGAGACGCAGCCTCGACCCTCCAATCGCATCAGCCTCAAAGCGAAGTTATTGGTGAGGATTTTGGCTTTGAAATGTCGACCATCCTGCCCGATTTCCTCTATCTCGGATCCAACGTACAATCCGAGAACGATGTGGCCGAGCTGCAGGCGAAAGGTGTCCATCGCATCCTCAACGTGGCGTGCGAGATCGACGAAAGTGGGCCTCTGCAACTCCGGCAGCGATTCAGGCGCTACCTCAAGCTCCCCATGCTGGACAGCGTCGAGGCGCAAGGAGTACAGGACAACATCAAGCAAGCTTGTGACTTCCTCGACGACGCCCGCTTGCGATCGGAGCCGGTGTACGTGCATTGCAGGGCAGGCAAGTCACGTTCAGTGACCATCGTGATTGCGTATCTCATCCATGCATTGCGGTGGCCGCTTGCACGATCCTACTCATACGTGGTCGAGCGACGAGCAGCCAGCTCACCCAACATCGGCTTCGTCGCAGAATTGATGAAGTTTGAACAAGCCGAGCTCAAGCTAGCCCGGTCTACAGGCATCTATGGCGATGCGCCCGGATCTTCTCCATCTCAAGCTTTCCCTGCGGCATCAGCCGGCTTGCCAGGACCAGCGAGCGTAGGTTCGCAACACGCACAAGCACGTCCGCATCAATCCACGCCTATGCTGGCTCCGCACGGGACGGATACGCCTCGGACGCGCACGTCCCACGACCTCACCGCCCCAGAATCCGATCATATTCGTGGCGGAACAATGTCGCAGTCCTCCCCGGACCTCCCTTCTCTCGCTTTCGGCAGCCATTGAGCAGGAAGCCATGCTCACTGCCGTTCTTCGAAAGCCTACCTGCCAGCTATACATGCCAGCGCACCGATGTACTTTGGACAATCTTTTTCTCGGCTCCATGCATTCACAGAGGCGGTCCTCTGTTGTAATTCTACCTCTTTCATGTTACCATCCACAGCGTCGACGTGTGTTTGCGCACCGTCCCAAATCTGAGTCCGAGATCCGACGCTGGGCCGCAGACAGCCGCGGCCTCCGACACGTCTTCGCCTCTCACCGCGGCGCTCACGCTCACCCCCCCTCGGCCAGATTGAGCTTGTTGGCGGCCGCAGCTGCACCGACGCAGGTGTTCGACAATCCGACGCAGATTCTTTGTCCACAGGATCCCGACGGCAGCGATGAACTCTCACCTCTCCGAGAACGAGCCTGTGGCTGCCGCACAGTCGTGGGCCCGTCTGGGACGTCTGACATTCGCTTCGGTTCGACCCTGCGTATCGTCGTGCAACGGCAATGTGCTGTCCGAAGACGTTTGAAATGCGCTTCATCCGAGGTCTCAGTCACGCTCAACTTTTCATCCGTCACACCGCAACCTCATCGCTTCATCTGACGTCTGCCTAACCTTCTGTTTCTCATCACATTCGCAGCAACGATCACGTGGTGCACGGCAGATATTGCTGGAGCATGGATGGTGCGCGGCTAGCGAAGCGCGCGGCTGGGAGCGACGGCGGTCCGCGGCGCCCGCTTGATGTACGGCAGAGGCGATGCGAGCACCGGTGCGACGCGGCGCGAGACCGACGTTGCCGGCGTGCGCAGGGAGCGCGACCCGTCGTCGGCGTCTCTCGATGTGGTGATGGACGCAGCGCGCGAAGACCCCAGCATCATCTCGCGCAACGGAGGGCGAGCGGATGTCGACGTTGATGCGCCGATGGTGCCTGGGCTCAGGAAAGGCGAGCTGAGCCCGCGCTCGGTCCCGCCGACGCCAATGTCCACAGACGCAGCAGGGCGCCGCCGTGGCGAGGTGAGCGTGTGCACCAGCTGTTCCTGTGCCTCGTGCTGCACTCGCCTCATCTCGCAAGGCGTGAGGTCGTTGTGCTCGTACCGAAGTGCGCTGCTCCGCCCGCCGGCATCGGCGCCAGGATGCACCTCGAGCGCCGACGGCGGGCGCACTCGCCAGGTTGCATTTGCAGCGTCGTCGACGCCGCAAGGCTTGATGAGGACGCGCAACCCGAATTCGAACATGGATCCAGGCGAGCAGTGCGGGGCCATCTTTGGCTCTTGCATCTGAAAGCTGATCTCAAACGCCGGGAATGCTTGGCTTCTCTGGTCGGAATGTCGATCTTGTCCGCAAGTGCAGCGATGCGCGCCCGTGCATCCCTGCCTTCCCGAAAATCGCGCCGAGTCCGCAACGTAATCCTCTTCGTCCATATGACGCTCGTGGCGGTGAGATGAGGTCAAGGGCTCTTCACGGCCGAGGTGCGCCGGATCCCGCTCGTACTGTCGACTGTGCTCTGCATGCAAGCCAGTGTTGTAGCCGGGATCCAGACGATGCGCGCGGCCAGACTGTCGATTCTTGGGCTTGGATCCAAGCAACGTGGGCTTGGAGTGCGTCCGACTCTGTGCGACGTTCTCTTGCGCTCGAAAAGCTTTGCTGGATGAAGACGGTAGGTGCGAGCTTGCTAGGTCCGAGATGCGCGTTTCGTCCGTCAGCGCCGAAGCAGCCGCACGGCTCGTGTTCGGCGTCGACCTTTCCGAGAAGGAGGTGTGAAGAGTGCTGTCACTGCCCCTGACGTCGGCTCTGATGCTGCTATCCAGATTTGTACGCGTGTTCGGAAGCTGCAGCTGCTTGAGGTCGCGGTGCGAGGCTGCTGTCGGCTTCAACCAGGCACCTGGACCGTTATCGTCGCTTCGAGCAACGCTGTCGCCGGATCGTAAAACCTCTATCGACTCGGCAACAAAGTCAGCACCGGGCGCTTGTCGCCGAACCTCAGCAAGAGGTGCCTGGGGTTTACCAAGCGATCGAGGCGAGACAAGGCCCAAAACTTCGTCAGATGACGTGGGCTCTGCTCGAGCAGCCGTTCGCTTTGTGGCAATGTCGCTTCGTCTTGCCTCAAGTGGGATCTGACTAGGGCCTGCGTCAGCCTGACGCCAGGCGTGAATGAGCGAGCTCCGTTGGCCAGCATCGACCCTTTCGACGGCCACCTGGGGACCGAAGACCTCATCGGTTCGTCCGCGCAGCTTGCCTGGCAGAGGCAGGGGAGGAGTTTCGTGCCGAGGCGTGGAATGGACCGTGAAGCCCGACATGCGCCTGAGGGTCATGCGCTTGCATACGGTCACTGAAGCAACTTCTTCCTCCTCACTCGATTGACCAGCATCATCCCAAAGCTTGGCCATTCGCCCAACATGTTCGCCCTGCCGGTCGTGATGGACGGGAAACTGCTCCTCGTCGTCAGCTGGATGCGACCACATTCGCAAAGCGTTGTTAAAATGGCTGGATCGCTTTCTTGGAGGGCCTGGAGAGGACGGATCGAGCGCTGCGGGCTCGTGCTTCGGAGACTTTGCTCTTGCCTTCCTTGTGGCTAGTAGCTCTATGCTTTGTCGCCGGACCTTGACGTCGACGTTCTCTTGGGGCGTGGGAATATGAAGACGACCAGGCACCTTTCGAGGCGGCTTAGAATGATCTTTTTGGCCTTGCGAGCGATGAGAGAAGGACCTCTGCAGCTGTGGTACGAAGGAACTTTCGGATTGGATTCCAGGTAAGGCTCGTCGCCCCTCTTCGGTCGTGATTGTCGCATCGCGCAGCCCCTTCGAGACGTCATTCGTCTTCGCAAAGATGCGCTCCGGACTGGATGATCCGTTCGAGATATTCGTTGATGGCAACGATGACAGCTCGTCCGGTACCGTTGAGGCTAGCAAGCCAGAAAGATCGAGCAATAGGTCCGGCGCATCGCAGTGAGACAGAGAAGCACGAGTTTCAGGTCGAGCTGAGATGACTGAGGCTTCCAGTCGGTCGTGCGACTGATATCCACCAGTGTTGTCGTCCTCGAGATCTTCAGCAGTTTCACGCACCCACGACGCGATTCTTTCGAACGCCAGCTGCCTCTCGCTGTCATCTTCCTCATCCACGTTGTCAGCATCGAGCTCGGCATGGACATCGAGCTGAAGACGGACTGGAGCTGCTTCCTTGCGTACGGCTGAAAGCACAGCAACTGCCTCCAGATCCGAGTCTGCTCCGCGTCGATTGCCGGTACTGTTGGCATCGACGGCTGTCTCGGCAGGAACAGCCTTTACATCGTCTTCTGAGGCAGGAGAGACTGCTTCCGAAGCGGTCCTCCTATCTGGATCATAAGACGGCACGAATGAGTCGGGGCCAGGTTGACTTGGGGAACGAGGTGGCCTTGTTTCGTGGTCGAGACCTTGATTGTCACTAGGATCGCCTTCCTGAGCCGACTGAACAAAGCCGTCCCCGCCATCTCGTAAATGGGAAGAGGACAAGGGAAGCTCCATCGGATGATCCGGATGTTCCACTTGCTGCGAGGCGCCACCCAGTGCGAGCGAATCGGACCTTGTGGGAAGCCGAGCATGTTGGGACAAAGGACCAGATTCAGACTGATCGACTAGGCCGAAATCTGCGTAGGAATCGAACATCGCAAATCCGTCATCTCGAACTGGGCTGGATTCAAGACCGTCGATCGCTGCAGACCGAGTCGCCGGTACCTCCTGATGGACTGATCGGGTCTCGCGTTGCGATGCCGGTTGCGACTGGGTGGTGAGCGAGGGCGTTCCAGGGTCAGGTGACGACTCCCTGAACGCCTGAGGTTTGTCATCAACCTCTTGGCGAGGTGAGTCGTCCTCGTGTGATTCCGGAGCTTCCGATGAACTGGACGGGTGAAGCAGGGGCCAATCGCCTTTATCGTCTTGCTCCACGTCTGTACCGGCTGGTTGCTCGTCTATTACTGACTGCGAAACGGGATGCCCCGCCAGCTCACGTCTTGCAGAGCTTTCGGAGCTCACATCGAAGAGCACGCCGCCTTGTCGACTGAGCCATTGCGATTTTGAGGAAGATGTCAAGCAAGACGATTCGACTGTTCGACCGGAGACTGGCTCTTGATCTCCAATTAGGGTATCCGCTCGATCTGCGATGTTGCCGTCGAACGACTGATTTGCAGGTGGCTCCTGGTAGGGAGGCATTGCTGTTGAGGCTTCTGCGACACGTTCCGGTCGAGTAGGGGCGCCGGTAGACTCTGCACTTGAGCTGGGCAGGGAGTAGAGGTCAAGATATCCTGCTTCGAGAAGCTCCTCTACGGAATCATTGTCCTCGAATGGAAGGGGAGCTGCAGATGATGTTGATGCTTGCGCGTTGAGTCGGACCGAGGACATGGGCAGCTCTCCTGCCCCGAGATTTGAAGAGACAGTCAGAGGAACCAAGGCCGAGCCTATTGCGTCGTCCAGCTTGCCAGATTGGACTCGTTCCCGGTTCGATTGGTCTGCAGATGGCTCATTCTGCGCGAGTGTGTCTGGGGTGTCATCAGCAGACGCTGGCATCTGTTGAGTCGAAGGTGTGACAGTCGAGTGTTGCCCGACGCGCTGCTTCCGATCCAGCTGCTTGCTTGCTGAGGCTATGAGAGGGGATTGAGAATTTAAGGATGCGTGGGAGGATGGGGCGAGTGTCGCTGATGCCTCGTCATTGTGCCCAGCGTCTGGCAATGCTGCCGTGCCCCCGCCGAGGTTTGCAGACCTGCCTTTCACGTCTCCGACTCTTGAAGCGCTCTTGGAGGTGGCATTTGCGGTCTCGGAAAGGCCAGGCCGAGTGTCGGGACCTTTCCGACGGGGGTGAGGATGCCCAACACGCTCAGAGCTAGGGACTGGCTGCATGTGATGGCGTGACGTTGTCGGGATGTCCGGCTTGTTCCGAACGTACGCATCAGAATCGGCACGGCCGACACCTGCCTTCGACTTTGTGGGCGTCCATGTTATGGAGCCGGCTGATCTCTGCTCGGGTGCCTCGCTCCCGGGCGGAAACGAAGTGCTGATTGATGAGCCCGGTAACGGCGACGGCCGCGAAAAGTGCTCGATCGCTTTCGAAACTTTGGTGCCTGCCTTGGCGGCGGACCGAGGCGGCGTTGTTGGGGTGAACGGTGAAGGCGAGCTCGGAAAGGGCGAGGCTCGAAGTCGAGCGGGCACGAAGCCTGATCTGGGAGCGAGGCCTGGCGTGGGCGGTGCTGGCAAGGGAATGATGTGAGTTGTCTGCGCCAACGTCATGCGCGGCACCCTAGAGTTGGTACCGACGAAGAAGTTGGCTGCAGTCTGGGGATGCTTTCGAGCCTTTGCGGCCCGGTCTGCATCCATCTTGACGCTTGCAGTGTACGTCAACGTGGGAGACGCGCGTCGTTCATCTGTATCGATCGATGGGCCCACGACCGTCAAGGCGCAGACACGGTACTGTGGTGCCTCTCAATAATGTGATGATGTGCGATATGTCAAGAGAGTCGGAGGGGGAGAACGAAAACAGGAAACCTTGTTCACCCTGATGCACGCCGAGGTAGCGGGACACGCTCGTGAAACTCTGCAGAAAGTGGCTTCGGCATCGCGCTCGGTGCAAGCTGCATTACCGTAGCGAGTCTGAGGCGCAACTCGTTGAGACAGGCAACAAGCTTGTCTGCAAGTGACAACACCACATCATCTGCAGCAAAGTGCATGGAGAATTCAGTGTGACTTTGAAGAAAAAAGGGACCGAACGATGTGATGAAGTGGTGGGTGCGAGGGTCCGTGTGCAGAGGTGCAGATCGGATGCATGGGGCGTGGCGACTAGGCTGCACGTCCAGTTTGGCGTCGCCCGAATCTCACGGATTCTGCAAGCCACCAGGCAGCAACGCGCGCCGCTCGCCGGCCTGTTATTTTTGGATTTGTGCCAGCCTTCTTCGCTGGCGGCGATTGCCACACCTAGATGGCATCGTGCGCAAACAGAATGGAGGCCGGAGATTGGAGAAGCGGTTCGCTTCAAGTCAAGGCTATGGCCGTGAAGAGCGAGTGTGAAGATTCGCAACACGAGACACCAGGATCATGCCTCTTCGGTCCTGTCCAACTCTCGCTTCCGCTCTTCGGCCTCGAAGGCGTCCACTAGACGCTCGCCCAGTTTGCGAATGACCGGATCTGTTCGTAACAGGCAAAGATAGGTTGTCAGAACCGGAGCGAGGCCAAAAAAACAACCGGAATGCCCTTACCTTCCGGCCTGAGATCGAGGGCTAGGTCGACGTCCCTGGCTGCGAGCTGATTCCTTCCAAGCTCGAGATACGCCTCGGCCCGACGATAGAGCGCCTTGAGATTCTTGGGTGCGAGTGCCAGCGCTTTGGAAGATGCATACACCGCCTTATCCCACTTGTTTTGTTTGAGATAGCAGGCTGCCATGTTGTTGTACACTGCGCTGGTGATGCCGGCAGCACGTTCGTTCTCGGCTTCTGTGGAGCGGGCGCCGTACATGCTGGCAAACGAGTTGATGCCGGCACAGTGAAGCAGCGCCATATGCCATTTGCCGAGTGCCTCTGTCAACTGGCCGTGCTCGTATGCTTGATTGCCCTCGCTCTTGAATCCTTCTGCCTTTCCTAGCTGCTCGTCGATTGGCATGTCCATTCTCGAGGACGAAGCAGAAGTCGCCTCGAAAGAACGGCAGACTACATCAGCAGCAGTGGGCGCCGACTCGCTCATCTCTTGAATCGATCGACCGGCGATCAGCTCAGGCCTCTCCGCGTTGACTCCACGAAAGTACGAAGGTGGTTTGCACCAACGCTTGTATCGTAATTCTGTCCTGGGAAGAAGTGGCTCGAGCACCAAAAAAGGAAGAAAACTTGGCCGAGATCCGGTTTCTGCTTTCCCGATCCGCGAGCTGTTCTCTCCTGGGCCTTCCATCCGGCCCTCCCCTGAACCTCTTGCTCGGCGTCAAGTCTCCACGGGTCGATGCGGAAGGGTGCTTCTCAGCCTTTTGTCCGTCGCGATCGAATGCTAGCGCCGATGGCAGCGTAACAGGCCCGGATGGAGGCTTGCATTCACGTGGCGGCGAGACTTGGCGTGTCGGGTTGCAGGGCGAGGCGAGGCGAGCCGTGGCACGGCGTAAGACGGGTGACTCGGTCGATCTAGGCGAGATTAGATTGCAAGGCCGTGCATAATCGCCCTCGTCGGGCGGGCGGAGAGGCTCACGAAGGCACCATCAACGCCTTCGCCGCCTTTCACGCCCGAGTTGTGTCTTGCATGCAGGGGCAGGATGCTCTCGCACCGCTTGCACTCGCCAACATGCTACGGGAAGCTTCGCGATGCCTAGACTGCAGCGCGGCCAAGTGCCGCCGCCCGTGCCCGTCCGCTCGCTCTTGCACGTTTTCTGACTTACCCCGCATTCGCATCGATGCAGGGTCGTGGCATGGCTACATCACCTCAGAGATGGTGCAGGCGCATGTCGATGAATTGACACCCGCTTGGTACGTCGACGATCGCGACTCCTGCATGAAGTTCCTCGTCATTGAGGTCACGCGGCAGACGATCACACCCCGCATCAACGTCTTTCAGCATTGTGGAATCTGCAGCATCTTCAGTCCCCCGATGAGCTTCTTTCGGATGGCGCTACAAGAAGGGCACAGGGATAGTTCCGACGAAGTGAAGCACAGTTCATCGACCGTAGCCGCTCGGAGCGCGCAGATACGTATCGTGAGATCGGGCGGATGCTGGAGGGCAAAGGTTCTAGGTGTGTTGCGACTGACGCGGCTGGGGCGACAGGTCAAGATGCTTTCGGTGTCAGACGTCGATCCGTCTCAGGGCAGCGCTTGTGCTCAACAGTCATGGGCCGTGCAGCAGGCTTTGGTGACTCGTGCTAAGACTCCGCGAAAACACAGGTGCAAGGGAGAGAGGGGCGAAACCCTCGTTCCTCATTCCGCCTCCGAGCAAGCACCCGGAAGCTCCCGGAAGTGAGCCGTGGCGCTTGCAGCGGGAAGAATGATTTTGGGATTTAATTTTTATTTTTAATAACCAATCTTTCTTTTTGAAGCAACACCCATCACTCGTGTGGTGGACGAGACGAAGCTGAAGCGATGCCCTTTGCCTGTCTTATCGGTCGGCATCTCCGATCTGGAGCCCAGGCACATCGGAGGTTTTTGGGTGTGATGATGGGGTGGTTCCCCCATAGTCGAAGGGCAGGAGAATGCCGGATCGAGGCCCATCAAGAGTAGACACAACAGGGAAGCTTTGGCTTTTGGTGCAATTTTGCTTTTTTGAGAAAAAAAAATAAAACATATGGATGTGATGCAGGCATTCGGCTCGGTTGGTGTTGGGGGAGAGTCGAGTTTGAGGTTGCCGACCCTCACGACCCTGGGGCTCCCAAACCGGCTGCCTCTCCCACACGACCGGTCGACGACAACCAATGGCTTGCACTGGAGCTGTCAGCGCCCGCCGGTGCGCTCAGGCCATCTGCCTCCGCCGCGAGCTCCTCCATGCAGCCATCCCTTCGGGAGTGTGCAACGTTCGTCCTTATAAGACCAAGCGTTCTTCGGGCCTCTGCAGTGAGCTGTCTATCCCACTTCCTTTCCGCTCAGATTGCCTGTCCAGCCGTAGCCTTCAATCTGCTGACCACCTGCGACTTCAAAGCTTCCATCTTTGTGGCCTTGATCTGTGTCTTCGTCTGCACATTCGCCCCTCAGCTCTTCCTCGATCCTTGCTCACAGGCTGAACCTGTAACGCTCGATAAAATCTCGCTATTGACCAAGATGGCTCCCTCTGTGTCCGACGTGCGGCCCAGCGCCACTTCTGCACCGGTCAGCAAGCTTGCTCAGACCACCCCGGACGACAAGACGACCGAAGACCCGCGCGACGACAACCTCCGTCGCGCCATTGCATCTCACACTTTTGGCGGTGCTGCCAACCTGCGAGACGTCTTTACCAACCAAGGTGAGTAATGGCCCTGTCTCGTCTTCTTCCATTTCTGTTCTGTTTCCCGCTTTGGTCTTCGATCCGGCACGAGAAGGGCGCTAGCAAAGGTGCGCTCGGCTGTTGCTGCTCGAATTGGTGGCCGGTCCGGTCAACCGATGCTCTTTCGGCGTGCCAGCCCTCGGCGAATTGCTCATCCCGCGAGCCGTCATGCGACCTGTGCTGCACCTGGCAGCGTCTAGACGTCCGAACTCCTCCGCCGGGGACGACCGGAAGCAGAGATGCAGATGTTCAGCAAGGTCATTGGACGTGCACAGTCAAGTGGGGCGCATGCATGAAGGTGCATGCTCGCTCGTCATGACATGCAGTTCAGTCTGCCTTCTTGCCTAAAAGTTTCCGGCCACCCCCACCTTGCCGCGGCTGCACGCGTTTTTTGTGGGGATGCTCGGCAGGGGGAAAAATTGGGCGGTGGGTCTGATTGGGTCTCGCCTTGGACATTCGCCGGTCAATACTGTACTTCTTTTGACACGGCGTTCTTCGAAGCACCCGGCATGGCCCTTGCGCAGTCGTATTCGTGCCCGGCATCCCAAAAGAACTCTGCTCTGGCACGTCCCCAAGCTGCATGTCGGAAGCAAACATTTGCGCCGACGGTCGGAAGTTGGCTCGGAGGCGGGCCCAACAAGGGCGCGCTTTTCGAGGTTATCTCTCCCCTCTTTCTCGAGGCTCGAGATGAGGTGCGTGGGTCGCCCGACTCGGCCCACATCTGTGATGTCGTATCGTGTCGAGTGGCGTCACCCAACCCCAAAATTCCCCTAGGCACAACCGACGGTCTGCCATCGTGACCTGACGTTGCTTGGCTCGGATGATTGGGGCTCGGACGTGCCGAAGTGCAGGAATGTCGCTGTAGCTTTTTTGTTGGAATTCTGGCGAGTCAAATTCGCGTGGCCATGGGACACGCGACTTTGCCCGAGAAGGTCACAAGCTCCGTCGAGTCAGATCGCGCCTGGATTTGCTTGCTCCCACGCCTCTCTCCCGCTTCCCACCCGCTCTGCAATTTCCCTCTTTTTCTCCTTAAATCGGGAATTTCCCCCGCCTCGGGTTAAAATCCTCCTCCCTCGAGGCCGCCTTGATTTGCCGCTCCCGAGTCACGCCCAGGCCTTTCCGACCCCGCCTGGGACGCAGCGTGAAAGACCCTGACTTGCCAGTCGACCCGAGACCCGGCGGCCTTGCGATCTTCTCGACTCAAATAGCCGGCTAGCTCTTCCGCTTTACCGGCTTGCCTCTTGCTATCCACCCACACCATCCTTGTTCATAGAATGCTTTCGTCGCCATCTCGTTCCCTAAGTCGTGGCCTGCGCCGCGCCGCGGCCCAGCGCAGTCATGCCGAGGCCAGAGGGGGCCCATCCGTACCGCGACCGACAGCATCGACCTCGTACCGTTCCACGTCCCCAAGACGCTCGTCTCCGGCTTCCGCAGTCTCGTTCTCCACGTCACCATCTCGCTCAGATCGTCTCGCTGACCATCGCATCATCTCGGATCCGTTCCCAAATCAAGACACCGGCTTTTCCTACGAGAAGCGCGACCAGCTGGGCCTGCGCGGCCTCCTTCCTCCGGCCAAGCAGAGCCTCAATACCCAGGTCCTCCGCGTTCTGCACCAGCTCCGCAGCAAGTCCACACCGCTCGAGAAGCACGTGATGCTCGCCTCGCTGCGACAGACCAACACTCGTCTCTATTACGCCACCATCCTGGCCAACAAGGAGGAGATCCTCCCTCTCATCTACACGCCCACCGTCGGAGAGGCGTGCCAGAAGTTTTCGCACATCTACCGCCGTCCCGAGGGCCTGTCGATCTCGCTCGAGGACAAGGGCAAGATCGCCAGCATTGTCGAGAACTGGCCCGTGCCTGCGGGTGCGCCGCGCATTGCTGTCGTCACCGACGGCTCGCGCATCCTCGGTCTCGGCGACCTCGGATGGAACGGCCAGGGCATCTCGATCGGCAAGCTCTCGCTCTACGTCGCCGGTGCCGGTATCCATCCAAGAGCCACCCTGCCCATCGTGGTCGACCTCGGCACGAACAACAAGAAGATGCTCGAGGACCCGCTCTACCTCGGCCTGCGCCGCGAGCGCGCTTCGACCGAGGAGTACATCGAGTTCATGGACGAGGTCATGGATGCCCTTCACACCAAGTACCCCAACCTCATCATCCAGTTCGAGGACTTCACGTCCGAGAACGCCTTCCGCTTCCTTGAGCGCTACCAGGACAAGTACCCCATGTTCAACGACGACATCCAGGGTACTGGTAGCGTCATTCTCGCCGGTTTCACCAACGCCGCGCGCATTGCATCCAAGGAGAGCGGCCGTCCTCTGCACGACCACTGCATCCTGATGGCTGGCGCCGGCTCGGCTGCCGTCGGCGTGGGCAAGCAGCTCATGTCGTTCTTTACGCGCCAGGGCCTGTCCGAGGACGAGGCGCGCTCGCGCATCTACATCACCGACTCCAAGGGTCTGGTGACTGCCGACCGCGGCGACAAGCTGCCGGAGCACAAGGTCTTCTTCGCGCGCGACGACAACGCGGGCAGGCAGATCAAGGACCTCGCCGAGATTATCGACTATGTCAAGCCGACGGCGATCCTGGGTCTGTCGACGGTCAAGGGCACGTTTGACGAGACGGTGATCCGCAAGATGGCTACGCTCAACAAGAGGCCCATCATCTTCCCGCTGTCGAACCCGACGGACAACTCGGAGTGCACGTTCGAGGAGGCGGTCAAGTTCACCGAAGGCCGCGTGCTGTTTGCTGCCGGCTCGCCGTTCCCCGAGATTGAGGCGGGCCAGTCGCCGACGGGCAAGCGCATGATTCCGGGCCAGGGCAACAACTTCCTGGTCTTCCCCGGTATCGGTCTGTGCGCTGCCCTGTGCAAGGCATCGCGCGTGACCAACGAGATGATCACCGAGTCGGCGCTCGCGCTCTCGGATGCGCTCAACGACGAGGAGCGTGCCGAGGGCAGACTGTACCCGAACACGGAGCGCATCCGTGAGATCTCGCGCGACATTGCCGTGCGCTGCATCCAGATGGCCAACAAGCAGGGCGTCACGCGCGACAACGGCAAGACCGCCGCCATGGACGAGGAGCAGCTCCGCGACTGGGTCCAGGGCGAGATGTGGACCCCCGTCTACGGCACCCACGAAGACGCCTAGATCTTCTTCGCTTCAGCTTGTATCTTGTTGTGGACATTCTGTTGTGGGTTTCGTTTGGTCAAAGCTGCCACGCAGCTGTCACTCAGTCTGCCTTTTCCCGTTGTCGTGCTCTCAAAAGTCAGCAAAATTTCATGATGCCGCATTCGTGTTTGCTCGTTTCCAGTGCGCTCGCTATGTGCAGTTTGTGCGGGGTGGGTATCGTGCGAGATGCGGGATGATTAGATGGCTACCCCGACGTGTGTTGTCGAAGTCGGAGTGTGCAGAGGCTGCGACCAGGGATCAGGATGCGCATGGAAGCTGGACATGAGCGCCGAGTGTCGTCGCGAAAGGGTCTCTTCGTCTTCGTCTTCCTCGACGATGCGGTCGATGGCGTATGCGGTTGTGCCCGAGCGCGCAAGTGTTGCATGCAGCGCTGGGTCCGACTGGGAGGCAGTGGGATAAAGTGGCGGGACGGGCTTTCGTGACACAATGGCATAACGCTTGCTGCTGCGGCGCGGTGGAGGTTGGGGCGTCTCCTGCGGTGTCTCGGCTCGGATACGCAGCTCGGCGTGCGACGACGTACGTGCAGGCAGCACCACCGCTTCCCTATGGTCGGTGCGCGGTGGTGGGGCGGATGTCGTCGCAATATGCTTGCTGCGTCGTCTTCGGACCAGATCCGACAACGAGCGCGAGCGGCCGACCTCAGCTGCTCCATTCGCTGCTCGCGGGGGTGGCGAGGACCCTTGTGCGGAGCTCGACGTAGTTTGAGTGGACTGGCTGAATTCCGACTGCGAGCTCGAGCGGTTGGATCGACCAAATGCCCAGAAGCCGCCACTTCTCTTGTCTCCATCCCGATCCGATGCGCCTGCGAGCGCGCGCAGCGACAGGGATCGTACCGGCCTCCCAAAACGCGGCTTGTCCATCTCGAGGAACGAATGCAGCTCCTCCTGCCCAGCTTCCTGTGTCAAATGCGTGCTGCGTTCGCTGCGTTCTGTTTCTTGCTGTGTATTCGGCTCGAGCGGATGATCACAGCCCAGCTCGCAGCAAATGCAAGGACACCCGTCTTCGCCACTTGCCGTCTTGAGGCCAGGTGGATCTGGGAATCGCGTGAGCTTCGTCAGGGTCGTGAATACGTCGTCCCTGATCTTGCCCGTCGGGTCATAGTTCGCCGTGAACTTCTTCGCCAACAGCTCGTATAGCTCCGCCTGGTGCCTTTGCAGCACCGCCTCTCTCTCTTCTTTGCCAAGAGGTGCGTGTTCTGATTGGAGAGCCGCTGCGCGTGGAGTAGAGCGTGCGAGTGTCGCGGTCGGTGGTAGGATGGTATCGATGATGACGCGGTCGCGCGTGATGCTCACCGCCGTATGGATCTCAGACGTAGGCACAAAGCTCACTAGTGTGGGCTTTTCCAACACCAATGCCGTTCCGTGACGTGTGGTCGTTGTGGTTTCGTACTCAACCGGCGATGATGGACGAGAACCAACCGTACTTCCTTCCGATTCGCTGCCGGCATTGAGATCAGGTACCGTTCGGTACGACGAAGTTGGCGAGATCGTTTCCATCTCGACGTGCATAGCGAATGTCCAACGCTGGGCAAGGAGAGTAGTGAACGTTGCGAAGGAAGGGACGCATGCAAGGTGCCATGCACAACCCTAGGCACCAAAGCCGGGTGCGTGCTAGCTGCCAGGGGTTGCGAGCAAATTCGCACGGTGCGTGTGGAGGCGACTTGCTGCTCAGCACTTCCCGCTGCGGCTACACAGCTGTCATGCGCTGTCACACGCCATGACGCCGCTGTTTCACCTTATCTGCACTTTTTTAAGAAGCCAGGAATGCGCCCGTCCGATGCCCGATTCTTGCATTTCCGTGCCGTCATCGACCCGTCAGCACCAAGCTCCGCCGCCGCCCCACCCAACCATCTCGACCGGCCATCTTCACAAATCTCGTTCATATCGCCGTATCATGACCCGTGTCGGCCACACAGACTAGACTCATTGTGAGCGTGACCGGTGTTCTGATTTCGTTAGCACTGTCCAGAAAGCATGGGTTCAGAGCCCACCCGTGGCGCTGGGAGGGCGATTACGCGCCTCAGCTGCGCTGTTGACCGAGATGTGGGAGCTTGCCGACTCAGTGGACGCTCCGACCGCCACTGAGGAGCCCGTGCCGCCATATGGTAGTGAGCTGCGCAGGCGTGCGCCGAACTTGTCATTGCGCTGACGCGCGTGCATTTGCGCCACGGCCGTTTGCATTGGTTCGGGCGCAGTCGACATCGAGGTCGCGGCCAGAGGCTCGCTCAGACGGCCAGAAACACCGGTTCGGCTGCCGCCAGGTCGCGCAGCGCTGGTGTTGGCCATGCTGCCGCCATTGACGCTACTCCATCTTGCTTGCCTCGTCACTCTTGTCCCATCAGTACGGCCATCGATACGGGCCGCCCCGACTTCATGGGTCGACCTCGAGCTTGCACCAACGCTCGAGTCTGCAGAGGCGGCAGAGGTGCTGTGAGAGGCACGGTGCAACGATGCAGCCACTTGAACATCGCTACGTCCGCCCGGTCTATCAGAGCCGAGACCCCGGCCATGTGCGGAAGCAGTTCCCTTTTTGCTTCCGGTGTGCGGAGCTGCAAGTGCCCGGCCGGGCTCGATGCGGTCGCCCCAGTACGTGAACGACAGTTTCGTCGAGCGAACATACTTGTCCGACCCTGCCTGACCACCCACACCCTCGCTACTGTCCGATGAAGCGCTGCTGGTCGCACTGCTCCCGTCATCGCAGCTGATACTCGCACCGTCATCGTCTTCGCCGGCCTCGTCGAACTCTTCGTCGACTTCGTGCGACGTCGGAAGCCCATCCAGGCCTCCTTCCTTGGAGGCGAACATCTGCCGCGTTGCGGCGTTGCGCCAAGCCACCACCGAGATAAAGCGATACAGGTTGCGTGTCTTGGCGCGCAGAGTTGTGCTACGCAGGGCCTTCAGACGTTCCCGACTGTCCTTGCTACTAGCCGCAAAGTCAGTCAACTCGCTTGTGGTTGTATCGTCGTCGGCAGTGCGCAGCGCGGCGGTGCTGACCATGGGCAAAGCCGTCACGCCAATGCGCTGGCACTTGATCTCGACGTCCGAGAAGCGCACCAGCCACAGGTCCTTCTTGCTTCCCATCGTCGGCGCTTTCGAAGACCCTCCGCCGCCCTGTTCTGCCGACAGGAAGTCGGAAAGCCGGCGGTAGGATCGCTTGTTCCGCAGGGCCGCACGTAGCCCAGATTGGCTCGAGTTGCCCCTTCGTCCGCTGCGGAGGCCTGAGCCTTCGCTGCCGCTCTCCGCGCCCTCACTGTCCGAGGCGTTGGCGTCGCTACGCCCATCCTTGGGAGCCGATTCGGATAGCGTCCTCCGAGCACTTTCGTCGTACAATGCGCATTCTTCGATGAGAACGCGATCGGGTCGAGGTCGAAGCACGACACGGTCAGTGATGCCGTCAATGCGGGCGAAGACATCGCGCGCCTTGTCCCTCTCCTCGGCCGTGACCTTTTCGTCCTCGATCGAGCGCACTAGCCGCTCAACTTCAACTACCATGCCGACCGTGCTTTCGAACTCGTGTGTTGAAGGATCCGTGTGGAAGAGCAGATTCTGAAACAGCAGGGGATACTTGAGCAGCCGCTGGAATGGCATCGAGGCGAAGATGGAGAGCCCAGCATAGCCTTGCTCGGCAGCGCACGCTTCGAGGGCTGCCACGGTTCGTCCGAGGCCGACGGTGTTGCTGAGACGCTCCTTCTTGAGCCGCTTGCCTCGAAACGCGCGTTCCATGAGGGCTGCCTCTTCCAGCTCCTCCATCGCCCTCTGCAGATGGCAAACATAGCTGGCGTAGTGCTCGAGGATGTGCGAGTGTTTCATGAAGACATCGGCCAAGCTGCGGACCAAAGGCCACTGCTCTTCGTATCTCGCCTTGAGCGCATCCGAAAGAAGACCGTGCGCTTCAGTGAGACCCTCGGACATGGCGACCAGCACTTCACGCAGCGAAGGAGGCAGCGGAACCGTCAGACGAAGCGGATTTGCATCACCACCAGCCTTGGACGAGAGGCCACGAAGCTTCTGCGCCCTCGAGATCTTGTCCTTGCTCTTGGTCGCCGTGGAAATGTTCATGTAGGCGGGGGCGCTTCGATCGCGAGTGGCTGTCGTACCGAGACCCAGGCCGAGTCCATACGCAGCTTCAGAGCGCTTTTGCGTTTGGCCGCCATGTGCGGCAAGCTGACCGGCAGCGTTGATGTTGCTGACACCCATCGAGTACGGGCTCCGTGCGCCGGCTGCCTTGTGTGTATCCCATTGCGCTAGGATGCTTTTGGAGGATGTGTCTGTCAGGCCGCCGCCCGCATTGCCCGCAGATACGTTGGACATGAAGCGAGCAGCGATTGGAAGCTCTGCGCTCGAGGTGATGGCGGGAGTCGGTCTCGCTGCCGACGGATCTTCCCACAACGCCGCATTGGACCTAAATTGCGATTCGTTCACATCGACTGGCGAGGATACGGAGGGCGGATGCACTGGCGGGAGCACGCGCTCAAGATCAAAATGCTCGGGGTTGATGAGGGCGTCGATGTAGAGATCCTTGACCTTTTCCAGCTCCATCACGTATCGCTCCTCGCTCGCCACAATCTCCCACAGCACTTCCTGTCGTGTTCGCTCGCGCGGGCCAAGATTACGGACGAGCTCCTCGTTGGTCATCTCGCTCCATGTCGGGAATCCGAAAGATCGAAGAGCTGGGCTGGCGGAGGGAGGGAAGATGACGGGTTCGCCAGGGGCAGTCGGTGAGTGTGGATCGACGCTGTTGCGGCGACTTGTGGGGCGGCTGCTGTTGGAACCAGAGTAGCTTTTGCGCATGGATAGCGATGTGCGCGTGGGAAATTGGAAGGGACCCGTTGCAGGCGAATGCAAGTCGATGCTGGCGATAGGAGACGCGCTAATGCCTGGTGCCAAGTCGAAGGAGCCCCCTCGAGCCATGGACCGTGATGAGGTATCGGCGTTCTGGCTCTGGCTCTGGATGCCATTATTGGTCAAGGCCATGGAAGCAAGTGAAGCGCCTCCATCGCGGGATACGGGAGTGCTCGAATAGGAGTAGCTGCGACGAGAGGTCGAGCGCATCGACGAAGAAATCCTGGATTTAGACGATCGTGTTTGGACTGACGTTCCTCTGTCACGGAGATTGGTCGAGACATTTGGAGCGGGTGGATGACTGGTGTCGCTGGAAGCCGATCTTGTCCAGGTACGTGCTCTTGCCTGGCTGGCAGCCGTTGGCCGAGCGAAGTTGCCGGGTGTAGCGAAGGCATTGTTGTCTTTGGAGTTGGTGCGAGACAAGGGCTGTGACGCTGCTGTGCGGTGCGAGGTGCCGATGTGTGCCGGCGACGTGGACCGCTGCTTCTGTGGCGAAGGAGCGAAAGCAACCGTCTTGATCGCATGTGCATTGTGACCGTTCGAGCTGGCCTCCGTAAAGTCCGTCCTTTTTGTTAGAGATGTAGAACCAGAAGGGTCGAAGGCGGTGTCGGATTGAAAGATTCGGGTTCCCGATGGCAGGTCCGCTGAAGCCGGCAGACTGGAGCCGGGGATCCGTTTTGGTACAGAGGCGGTGCCGGGGCCGGATGATGAGGATGGTTGAAACGGAGGGTGAGCTTGACCGGCAATCGGAAGATCTGGGGCGGGGGCAGGTATCGCAAGTTGAGGAGCTGTCGAAGTGCCGGCGGAAGATGGCAGGGCAGTCACACCCTCGAACTTGGCGACAAGCGCTCTTGTTCGGCCGATGGAATTGAATGGCGAAGCGATGGCTGGCGCTGCCTTGACGGCAGGCGAGTAGAGGTCGTGCTTCTCGGAGCGGTCGAAGCTTGGCTCCTGGCTCGGCTTTGCGGGCGTGACGGGACCAGCCGCGGAGAAGCGTGAGAAGAACTTCTTCATGGCGAGTCGGCGTAGCGCAAGGTTCGACAGAGCTGAAGGAAGAAGCAAGCGTGGCAGCGAGGATGCGCTTCCGCTATCGTCTCCTGCTCATGGTCGGCGCGCAAGCGAAGGCTGGCAGGTAAACGTATGGCACGTCGGAGATGGACTGCCTCGTTGTGGCTGTGATTGAAGAAAAATCCGAGCTGCTTCGGACAGCTTCCGAAAGGTAAGAGGGGCGATGCGGATGGAGCTTGTTTGCAGACAGGAGCAATTCTAGCGAGCGAGGCGAAGAGGCGAGATGGCTCGATGCGGATGGTCCGAAGCAACCTTTCAATGTGCTGACTGAAAACGAGATAAAATCTAGGGGACCGATGCAGGATGAGGGTGATGAGGATGTGGCAGAGGTTGCAGAGCGGCTCGACGGGATAGTAAGTGAGGGCGGCAAGGAAGCGGCCGACAACGTTACGGTATGAGGAGCATGCATGTGGAGCTGCACCTGTACGTGATTTCTCAGAGGGCAGTAGTCAGAGGTGATTCACGTCGGATGTGCCGGGTTGCGTGCCGCTGCAGCTGCGCGTGTTTCCAGAAAAAGAGCGAGGCGTGCGTGCGTTCAGGGTCCTCCGAATCGCCGCTAGAGGACCGTGACCAGAACAGCGCCGGCCGTTCATGCTGCCGTTTCCGCTCGCGCCGATTTTGGCTCGAGTCCCGCTGTGCCTCCGACGACGTGCGGATTAATGTGCCGTTCGAAGAGACGCTACTGTGTTCTGGAGCAGCAGCTGGCTCAGCAATGAACAATGTGGGAGCTGCGCTGGATTGTTCGGCTCGCAGGCAGCGATCCGTGTCCCGTGCCGCGCTGAGCGGCTCGCGTCGAGGCAGGCGCTCGGTGGGTTTGCGACTCGAAATTCGGCAATCGGGTTTCAAGGCCCCAGTCAACGCGCTCGGTGCATCCGATGCAGCATGAACGGCCAGAGTCGCGACACCTGACCTCGTCCATCAGCGCCAGCTTTTGACTTTCGTCTTTCACAGCTCATTTTCAACCCCCTCATCCAGTCTCTTTTCGCCGCTCTCACGAAGGAGTGTGTTGCCGTGCCATCATGGTCGCGAATGACGACCCAAAGTCGAAAGACAAGTCCAAGGCCAACGACGATGTCGACCGAGGTAAGCAGGCTGCAGAACTGCGTTGAGCGAGACTTTTCCTAATGACACCCAAACTGACCCTGCGTGCTTCTACAATGTGTATGGTAAACAGAGCCCGTCGTCGACTTTCAAGCTCTGCCGCCCGAGGTGGTCCACTCGTACGTTTCCTTCTTCGACCTAGCAAAGTCCTATCCACCACAAGACTCGTCGCAGTCTGGCGCAGAATCGTCCAGCAATGGCCGAAAGCGAAAGGGGCGAGCATCGCCACCTCCAGCGCTGGGATCCAGCAGGAAACGCTATCCGAATGACGCAACTGCTGCCGACATCGCAGCGACATCCGGACCAGGAGCATCCAAGGCCTTTGACGACGAGCCCGCTTGCCCGCCGCACTTCTTCGATGCAGACGCGGCAGGCAACTACCTCAGCCAGGTCGCCACACAGCACTTTGCATCGCAGCCCGCGCCAAAGGAAGGAGAAGTGGTGGTGGGGTTCCTGTACAAGTGTCGCGCCAAGGGCGAGCTGAGCCGCCCTCTGGCACACTATCGCCTCACCGAGGCCGCCTCGGACAAATCACCCGCAGCCGAGGCAATGGCGCAGCGTTCCAGATGACGGCAATGGCTGCTCTTCACCCCTCAGCCTAGCTTACATACCCAACGCTCCGTCCGCCGACTCGTCTTTTGCTGTAAACCTTGTGCTCGCACCTCTCCATGCGGTCTTCCGAATCATCGCACTGTACTCTAAACTTGTTCATTCTATGTTCGGGCTGGACGGGTTGTCGATGCGGTGTTCACAATGCACCCCATTGTCACCTGCGCCTTGCTGCAGCACCGGAGCGTTGTGCCGGGCGAGATCCGCACATGAGGCAAAAAGTGCGGGTGCAGATGCGCGCGGGTTTGGGCGCGCTTGCAAGCCTTGTTTACCCCACCCGATGCGCTCTTTCGCGGGTGAGGAAAAAGATCGCAGGATGGGCTCGCAAAACAATCAATTGTTTTCTGCAAATCGGGCGTGGATGTCGCGAGAGACGGCTAGGAATCTGGTCCTTCCACCCCCCGCGACGAAAGCAGAGCGCACGACGACTAATTTGCACGCCGCGCTTCGGATCCTCCTCCTTCTTCACCCTCACCCGACACTCCGACCATGTCCGTGCTCTAGTCAGCAGGTGTAGAGAGACCCAACTCTTTCATCAGCTTGCCATCTCAGTCAGCACCTACTGCCGTGATCCCGACGCATCGCCACCTTCAAAATCTTGTTGGACAACGGCCCAGCCTGCACGGACACCACTTCCTGCGTCCTGCACGACCCCCACCGTCGACAAATCGGCTTTGCGCGTCTGACTAGCATCTTCGTCTTGCCTACACTTCGACATGCCTGCGAGACGGTCCCTTGGTGCTGTGGCTGGCCCGTCGGCCCCTGCCGCCCAGCCGCAGGTGGTTGAGCTCCATCCGATCACAAAGCGCCTCCGCAAGATGTGGAAGTTCGCCGCTGTTTGCCAGTTTCTCTTCGTCTTTGACGAGGCCTTTGGCATGAGCGGCTTTGAGACCGAGACTCTCGAGTCGGACTTTGAGGACAACGAGGCCAATGTCGTTCCCGACCTCATCAAGCGGCTTCTCTACACTCTGACGCTTGATCGCTCCATCACCCTGGACAACTGGCAAGATCACCTCAGAACGCAGTACAACCTGCGTGATGCCGACTCTCAGGCCCGCTTCGGTACGCTCGAGCAGCCTGTCGAGTGGGTGCAGCTTTCGCTTGAGGACAAGATCAGCACACTCCACGACCTGTGCGAGTGGCAGCTCACGGACCCAGAACGCTTCCGCAAGCTCGTCAAGTCCGAGGAAGACGTCACGACATGGCGCGTGTCTCCCATCGGCTGGGACGCGCATGACAATGCATACTGGCTCTTTGACGACAATCGCATCTGGATCCAGCGCCCAGAGCCGTTGCCCAAGCCTGCTGCCAAGGCACGTCCGCCCGCCAAAAAGGGCACGAAGCGCGCCAGGGCGGAAGCAGCCGCCGCTCGACGCGCCGCCTCGAGCGCCGCCAAATCTTCACCCGCGCCGAAAGCATCTGGCACCAAGCGCAGCCGGCCTTCGGATGCGACGCCCGTCTCGACTCTCTCCAAACGCACGCGATCTTCCGCCACCTCCACACCTTCCAAGCCCCCACCGAGGCGCGGAACGCGAACATCTGCCCGATTCGCCCCCCTGGACGTCGAAGAAGACACAAAGCCTTCGAGTGGCGACGGCGCCGACGACGACTCGGACCTTTCAGATTCCGACCTGAGCGACCTGCCCGACACCACCAACGACGAGAGCAACGGTGCCAGCCTCGACGTCAAGATGGAGACGGTCGGCACGGACGAAGCAGTCGAGGAAGCGGCGGCTGAGGAGGAGGAGGAAGAAGAAGAAGAAGAGGCAGAACAAGAAGACGAGAAACCAGCAGACGGCGAAGAGCAAGAGGAATGGATCGAGTTCGAGACCATCGTGGTGACACGACAGCAGTGGATTGACTTTGCCAAGCGCTTTGCCAAATCAAAGGACCCCAACGAGAAGAACCTGCATCAGTTCATCAACAACGAGATCCTTGACCAGGTGCTCGCCGCCATGGACGAGATCGAGCGGCAGCGTGCGATGGAGCAGGCGCTCGCCAACCGCAAGCGCTCCAGCCGTATTGCCATGAAGGAGTCCGAACGAGAGGAGCGCGAGCGCGATCGCGAAGCTCGCGTCAGGATGGAAGAGAAGATGGCAACCATCCGTCAGGAAGAGGAAAATCAGCGGCAGAAAGAAGTGGAAGAGCACGAGGCGCAACGAGCCCGAGAGAATCGCTTGCGGGAGCGCGAGGAGCGTCTGCGTGCCAGGGAGCTCGAGATCGAGACGCGTGCCATCCGCGAGGAAGAGGAGCGCGAACGCCGCGAACACGAGCGCGAGGAGCGCAAACGCAGACGTGAAGAGATCATCGCCAACGGTGGCGTGCCGCCGCCTTCCAAAGACTCGACCCCCGTGCCCGAGGATGGCTCGATGCATCCTCTGAACGGCCAGGACGAGGACGACGAAGTGTGGGAGCTCAACTGCGAGGTCTGCGGCAAAGCAGCCATCAGCCCTCCCGACGAGGACGACGAGATCGTCTGCTGCGAACAGTGCAATGTCTGGCAGCACATCAAGTGCTGGGACAGCTTCGACAAGCTCGTTGTCGGCCTCAAGAAGAGGCGTGACTGGGATTCGGTCGATTTCTTTTGCTCAAGGTGTCGTCCGCCTTCGCAAGGCACACCGGCTCCGTACCCTGGCATTCTTGCGCAACGCCCCAAGTCGAGCCCGCGAAGCGACCAGCGCGGAGTCTCGCGCTCGAGCAACGGACCCGACAGCCCAGTACGCAATGCCGACGGTCCCGATTCTCCACGTCAGAGAATCAAGCTCGTTTCCGGCCACAAAGGCACAGGAGTAGCTAATGCGCTGACCGCTGCGGAGTTGGAAGCGTCGTCCGTAACGACGACCGGCATCCAGTTGGCCAAGCCGCCCATTGTGCCGTCGCAGGCATTGCCTGCTCCGCCATCTGGCGTCAAGCCTGCAGAGACTGGCGTCCTGACGTCGTCGGGCGCAGCGACGTCCCGTCCATCTCCTGCCGTCGCTCCTATTGGCCAGCTGCCACCGCCATCGAGCCATGCCTTGCCCTCCAGCACCGAGGCGACTACGTCCGGTCGCCCGCTGCTTCCTTCTGCCAAGGTGGACGAAGTTCCTGCAAAAGGCGATCCGACCAAGCCCGCTGCCGCTTCCAGCGATTCCACCAACGGCGCGGCCGCAGGCAACGGTGCCGCCAGCTCCGGCTTGGGCATGGGGAGGCCAACGCAGCCTCCGCACTTCCCCGCAGTGGGCTCGCCACAGTCGCCCTCGTCAGCGTCTGTTTCCAGCCCAAATGCGGGCGGCAATGGTAGCGGAGCCGGCTTGCTGTCGCCTCGCTCGCCATCATATGGAGCCACGCTCGGAAGCCCCGGCTATCGTCGGCCTTCGCAGCCGTCGGGCTCCTTCCCGATGCGCCATACGCCGGCCAAGTCGCCTCTTTCGCGTCCCTATGATGCCTCGTCGCACCGGGACGACGCGCCCGCCAACGGCTTCAGCCTGGGACCGCCACGAGCGGCAAGCCCCTCGGCGGCGCGGGGCGCTACTTCTCTTGCAAGTCTCGGTGCTACGGCCAAGTCGCTTCACCCTTCGTCGGCTGCCGCGCCGCCCGTGCCTGCCAAGGCGCTTGGCGACGTGGTGAGCGCCGCCTTCGCAGCACCTTCTATCGGCGCCAGTGCGGCCAGTGTCCCTGCGACCGGCCCGGGTTCGGCAGCGCAGGCCGGCCATGCATCACCGTCGCAACTGCAGTCGTCAGCTCTAAGCCCGGAAACGCTGAAAGGCAAGGGCGAACCTGGAGGCCAGACGAGCGACCTGGACGTCAGGAAGACCCCATCAGCGGCTGGGAAGGCGCTTCACACGCTCGAAAACGGTCTCAACGGTGTCCCGCAGCCCGAGCACGGCGAAGGGGACGCTGAACGCCGCAGCGCTTCTCCCGTCAAGGTTGTTGAGCTGCCACCGACGCATGTCGAGACCTCGTAGCTTGGCGGTCGCGTCAACATCGACGTTCCTGCAGTTTGACCCGACTCCGCGTTCAATAGGAATGGATCTGGATAGCTCTGACGAATGGGATTGCCTGTGCCCGCGTGTGACAAGGTTGGTGAGAATCGCTCCGAGAGGCTAATGCTGCCGACGGGATGGCAGCATGGTGGTGTTTGCGGAGGTGTGCGAGCCAGCTGCGTTTAGGCACGGTTGCCTCAAAAGCTCGGCAGGCACAGCGAGTAAGCTCGGTCGCATATCGACGTCGCCTTTTGCGCGACGACAGCCTTGTGCAACACGAAAGACCGCAACAGCAGGCAAGGGCGAGCTCGTGTGATATCGTACGATTGCTTCAGCGTCTGATACGGTCGAGTGCCAGCAAGGTCTGATGCCAGCACAAAGCCAGGATTGACTCAAGTTGTAGTTGGAGGGAGGCATGAGGCTGAACCGAAGCTCGACGACCCGCACAGGCGTACGACGAGGCAGCTAAGGTTGACAAAAGACGCTCGTGTGGTGCGGCAAACAGCATGGCAGGGCGAGGCAAGTCCAAATGGCCAAAATGGGCCCACTGTAACTCTAACCGCGCGTTTGCGTTTGCGTTTAGCTCGTCCGTTGGAGCGCGGAGGTGGCAGTCAAGTCGCCGCCCTCGACCTTCGGAAGAGGAGGGACAAGGACGAAGAAGCGCTCCACCCGCCGTGTCGCTCGAAGATGATCCGTTCCCGAGCGGGGAGACGAGAGCTGCTCTAGCGTGGCAATGTGACTTCTGCAGATCAGCCCGGTCGGCTGTCGAGTTCCGGGTATCCCGAAAGACGAGCCACCGGTTGTGGCCGTCCAGGACCCTGTTCTTCCAACGCCACGACTCAGCCAAAGCTAAGAAGCCCGTATCTCCACCGGCAACCGCCAAGTGGGAGTTCATAGCGATCGAAGACAACCGGCAAAGATAACAGCGCTCCTCAGCTCTTCGGCAACTCTCGCCAGGCCAAACCTTACTCATCGTTTCGGTTTGAGCCCGCCGACAATCTCTCCATTTGTAGCAACACGAGCTGAGTCACACGGTCCCGACATCCAAAATCCAATCGATGTGCGGCGACCAGAGCCAGGCTAGCCGACCGTCGAGAGTCGTGTGAAGCGAGGCGCGCGTGTCAACGGCAGGTGCGACTTCTTTGGGGGCGTTCCTGTTCTTCGGATAGACTTGCCAAGCACGGATCAGCCGATGTTACCCACGCCTTCTGCTTCCGGAGCTTTGGCTGGCCCAGCCGAGGACAACCTCGATCCAGTTGATGCTCAACTTCCGAGGTGGCAACATGCGCCGCTGCAAAGATTCCGATGTGAAGATTCTGTTGCGAAGATTTGACCGCTCCAAAATTTTTTGGCTTCGGCGAGCGGGTGTGCTGCCAGCTACTACGGATGCTTTTACTGGCGACTGTCTGTACCGCCTGCTAGCATTGGACAACTTCATTGCACCGCGGCAACTCGGCTCCAACGAAGACGATCGTTGCCGCGAGTGCACGGGACATCAGCCGCTCCCTCGAAGAGTCGCTTCTGGCAATCCGACAACTGCCAAGGCGGCCGACCCACCACACGTAGAGAAGAGGAGAGAAAAAAAAAATCAGAGTTGTGACCATCTTGGCATCCGAGCTTTTTCGGGCCTCACCCCGCTGCCGAAGGGGAGAAAAAGCTCCGGCTTACTGCTGCCCGACCGCTAAGGCACGGAGTTTGAGTTGTCGCCAGCGTCCCTGAGAGTGGGCTGCCAGAAGGGGCGAGCCGAAGTGGGTTGCATCTGGCAAGCAACGAAGCGTGACGCCCCTCGCCAAGGCTCGAGCTCGAGACGCCGCGATGAAGCGGGCTCACCGCCACGAGAACGCGCGACGACCGGCCCGCTGCTCCCAAATAGCAGCCAAGTCGAGCCCACTTCGAGAGGCGAATCCCGAGCCACGCCGTACAAATGAAGCCCAACGCGCACAGCTCGGGGGCTCGGGATTCTTCCCTTGTTCATCTGGAAAGCGCGTCCCGCCTCTGACCGGCCAAGGCTTCATTCTCGGCGCCGTCAGCTTGAGGAGCGCTTGATTGGGTCGGCCAATACACATAACGACATTGCATGTCGTTCCCCGGCTTGCAATGGTGTGATTGTGATTGTGGCTGTGGAATGCCGGCTGCGCTCATGTCGCCATGGTGCGAGCATTGCAGCACGCCACCCAACAACGACTCATTTGGCACAACAAAACAAACGCACCGGTCTTCGGAGCGCAAGGCTGGACGGTGCCTGCCCTGCGGACAATCGAGAGCAACCGAAGCAACCTTGAGCGGCGTAGCCTGAGCGTCCTCCAAAATCCTTGGCGAGCTGTCCATCTCGGAGATTCTCTAGGCCCTGGCGCGTGGCCGGCTAGCACTCAAAGCTTTCGTTCGTAGCTTCGTATTAAGACGCGTGAGACTATTCTCCCTCGAAATGGAACGCTGAAGAGTGTGATGCTGCACGAAGAAGCGAAGAAAAAGGAATGCATGCAGCCAAGCATGCATGCATGAAAGCTCCCAACGGGCCGTGATGGAGCGGTAGCTTTGTGGCTCGGTGATTCAGCGAGAAGATTCAATCCATGCACGTGTCATGTGCATCGGAAGCAGGGTGGGGAAGTTGCCGTCGGCAGTGGCCGGCTAGAAAGCCATTCAGGGTCATCAAGCAGAGCCACGCAGAGCGACGCTCTTCCTTCCCACAGCTCAGCCCAGCCCTCGGTCATAACGGCGTCAGATTGCTGTTTCCGTGCTGTCCATCGGCGTGGGATGAGATGAAGCAGGGACAACGTTGTCCACTCGAAACACGGTTCGAGGTCGCCACCGCTGCCTTGCACAGCCAAGCGTTTCGGTTGCCTCGTTCAGTCGGAGCCAGATCCCAGCCGCGCGTGGCCTACGCCTTTCAGAGTCTGAGGACAAGAAGAAGGGTATGCTCAGAGACAGATGAAGCCGTAGACGCGCCTCGTGCTGGCTAATGAGGCGAAGAGCAGCGGACCTGCACCGACGCAGATGCACGACCCGACGCACCGAAGCAGTCGATTCTGGCCGCAAAGACTACAGCTTTCAAAGCAGCCAAGCAGCCGCGGGCTCGCGCGGCCGCGGAAGAGTCACATCCATCAGCGGCGATCCGCTGGAAGAAATCGCTTCGGCCCTCTCTTTTAGCCACAAGTGGGGTTCGGAGATTTCCGATTCCTGCGGCTCTCGCTGTCACAGCGATCGCGGCCGCGATTGTGATGATAGCAAAGTGCGACTGGCTCGGTGACTTTCCACCGCTGCATCGCGCGGTACGTTAGGATCTGCGTTTGGAGATCCAAGGAGCACGAAGGCTGCTGGGATTCGATTTCGACCCAAAGATTGGGCGTGTCATTCTCATACCGCCCGCACGCCCGCCAGCGCAGCCATGAGGTTCGTCAAGAGTGCAGATTTCCGCCGTGTCACTTCACTAGCCTAGCCACGATACGGTTCGGCACTGTGTGATATCTTGTTTTCGCTCGCCATCTGGAGCGGAACCTCGCCGAGAATGCAAGCGACCGAAGCGCGAGGTCGATGCAATTCGGCGGGACGACTGCATGGTCGCTTCACCTTCTCACGCCCATCGATATCACCGACGAAGAGCTTAAGACAGCTGCAGCTTGACAGCTTGTCGCCTCGGAGGCTTTCGCTGCGGGTCACACTGCCGCAATTGACTCGGCGGGCATCCGCTCGGATTCGGACGGCTGCGTTGCAGCGTTGCCTCGACTTCCGGTCTCGCCCCCGCAGCGCAGCGCAATGGGCTGACAGTCGGGTCAGCACTTTGATTGTGCCGATTGTGCCTATGTGACTGTGACTGTACAGCAACCGTAGCAACGCAACCTAGTCAAAGTCAGCCACATTCCAACTCTGTTTTCTTTCCAGTGTCACGGCAATAAATTTTTGTCGCCGCCACCTTTTTTTAACCCTCTTTTTTTTCTCCTGGTCCCACTCTTCTGCCGTTTCCGCCTTCGGGCCGTGTGCTTTTTGTTCGCTCCAGGTCGGAGGAAAATCGCTCCGTCACATTGCTGCTTCCCAACCTGGACGGAGCACGTCCAGCTACACGCAGGCGGTCCGGGAGCCATTGGGAGAGCCGCTGCGGACTCGACAAAGCCTTCCTGGCTCAGCTGCGGCAAAGGATATATACCTGAGGCCTGTCCAGGGTGCCGCTGCTCTCTCGGAGGGATATAACACCATCGATATCCATCGCCACACAATTACGAACGCTTTTCCTCCCCGCCCTCGCTCAACCCCCTACGCGACCCTTTGGCGTGTTCACACTTTCACCGCGCTCCAGTGCAAGACGAGTCCTCGGCCGACGATCAAAGCATTGCTATCCGTACTCCACACGATCTTTCGCATTTCTGGGCAGCGAGCCGGTTCTCCACCCAGGTATCTATCTTCCGCTCCACCAAAACCTCACTGGTAATGTTTGCCACGCTTGAAGATCTCCAAATGTCCTCGAACAAGGTCGGACAGGTGCCATCCGCCGGTGCCGCTCCAGCTCTCAACCCCAGCTCCCACAATGTCGCCATCACCCTCAAAAGGGCAGCATCGAACCTGTCCACCACATGCTCGTCGGACGAGATCCAAGTCATCGACGAGCAACAACCCGCTATCCCAATCCGCCCGCCGGTCGAGCCGGGATACGCGAACCGCCACTCCGAGCTCGAATGCGGCAGCGTCCACACGTGCCGACGCCATCCATCCCCTCTGTACGAACGACGCAAGCAGGACGATCTCGATCTGCTCGGCGACTCTCTCGACAGTGGTCCATGCGCGAGCGATGGCTTCTGCAGGCAAGATGCAGACACAAGGGGCCGTGCCCGTGGCACCAAGCGGCTCCCTTATCCGAAGCCAACAGACTACAAGCGATGCGGGCAGCCATGGCAGACGGGCGGAAATCACGTGCAGGGGCTGCATCGCCACCGTCATGACGTTGGCAATGGACTCAATGGCTGCCCTTACATATGCTTCAATAGCGAAGACGGGAGCCATGCTTCTAGCGGTCGCACTCCCGCAAAGCACAGACCACTGCTTCCGCCGAGCCCATTCGGAGCCGAGCACGAAGCTGTGGTTTTCGACAACTTCGAGGAGTCAGGTCCCACAACGCCCGCATCCGAAGCGGATGCAGATGCCAAGGACCCCTTTGACACGCACCTGCGATTCGTGCGCCCCGCACTCCCGATCTGCGCCAACCCTGGCGCGTTCGTCGGGCTCGAATCCGCCAATGAGACAGCAGGCTCTTGCACGGACGGATCGGAAGAGAACTCTCGGACAAAGCAACTCTGCAACACAAGCGATAGGGTCCGCCAAGCACGCCATCATCGCGCCGTCAGCGAGCTCTTCGGTGGGCCGATGGCGCCCCTTGGAACGAATGATGTGCGGAACACGCGTCGCCGGGCCACGATCGGATCGGACGCCGCGCACCCTCGTCGATTCGCCAACCTAGCGCGACGCGGTGATCAGTCTGACTGATCAGCAACGTTGAGCTGGGAAGCTTTACGATTCATTTCAGCCAGGGGCAGTCGGAGAGAGTCCAACAAGGCGGACGCCGCCTCTCTCAGATCGTCTCATTGGGAACCGACCCAAAAAAGACCTTGAAAAAACTGCTTGGCCGATGGCACCTTGTTCGTTACGCGATTCTTGTTCTTCTCGTTCGATTGCAAACACACCACTTTGCTCGCCTGTTTCTCGATGTACGCGTTTGGCCGCAATGAGCGCGAGGCTTGGGATGAATCGATGTGATTGGGATTAGGCTACAAATCTGGTGATCTGAGTTCGTGCCAATGCTGGGAGGGGGGCATTGCTTCCCTGTTGGGTTGGACGCGAATCCGGGGACAAGAATGTATCAGTATGAATGGACATCGGTAGAAGGTCAAGCAGAAGGCATACGCACGAGAGATGGGCTGGCAGATAAGGTTTTGCGGACTCGTCGAATTCGACAATGTGCGAGACCTCGACAGCAGGACGGCCCTTGCATCTAAGAGGACACGAGAAGAACGAGAGAAGCACAGCCGTCAAATGGTGATACTGGAATTGAGTGAATAAGTAGCGATGCGAGCCACTTACATGCGGAAGATCCGATCGATGGGTTGGCAGACGACGCGCGTCGGGTGGAGATCGCAATGGTACTGGGTGAGCTCGGCGAGTCTGCACTCTGGGGTCTTTGCCTTGGTCTGTGCATCTGTTTGCCCTTGTTCGCAATGAAGCGGAGAGGCGAGGGAGCGGAATGGCACCAATGGCGCCACCAAGTCCGAGAGAGAAGTCAAGGCGCGTTCTGCGAAGCCGATCGAATTGGCGGATGTGCCGATGGATGCGGCCGCGGAGGATGTGACGCTAGGTGTTGGAGAGTCGACCGGAGCTTGAGCCTGCTCGATCACGTGTGCTTTGCCTGCATTGTAGCCGTGGTAGGTGCCCATCAGGTATGTGCACGCGCCCACCGAAGTGGCGAGCGCGATCAGGGTACGATTCGACCATCGCTGCTCTGGCCGGTTCGAGCGCGCTCCTCCGCGAGCGCCTCCGGCACGACCACGGTTGAGCTCTTCGAGCCGCTGAGCTTGTAGCCTTGCTAGCCTTGACCGTTCGTCCTCAGCTCCTGCAGGCTTGGTTCGGGGAGTCGCAGGCGAGGAAGCGGGTGCAGCTGGCTGTGCTAGCGGAGCGGGCTGCGAGGCATCGCGACTCGGAGCGCCACGCGACTGGTACCGAACCGTCCCGACCCTCCGCGCTACAGAGAAGCTTTGGAGAGATGTGCCCTTCAGGACCCTCGCTGCTGCAGGTGTAGACCAGACGTTCATCTTGACCATGGTGCAAGTGGTGTATAGGTAACGTAGCCAGAGGGCGAGTGTGGAGGACTGCTCCAGCCAAATCTGAGCAAGCAAGCACTTCCGAGTGCCGAACCGAACGTCGATTTACTGCCAAGGATAATTGCGGTCTAACAAATGTATCCGAGCCAAACTGCCACGCGGAGTCAGCAGCCTGGCTGTTCGGTATCTTTAGGCAAGTCGACGTCACCACACAGCCGCACACGAGCCTCCAGGCTGCATGATTCCCGCACCGGCCAAGCGAGCGGACCCTCAACTGCCAACTTCACGCACCCGAGCTGTTGTTCTCATCCAACAGCGCCGACAATCCACTCGTGCCGAGGCCGAGGGCGCGCAGGCCCTGGTACGGACGCTCCCACGGTCGCGCAGCATGGACCGTGCTCCCGAGCCTAGATTCTATCGATAACGAACATTGGCGAGTCTTCTGCCAGGACCTTCCGTCCAGTCTCATAAGCACCCTAGCACGCCCGCGGGTCCACACTCACTCCTCCTCCATCTCCCGTCATCCTCAGCCTCTCACACCGTCGCTCTATCACGCGGCTCACCAGATTTCAAGATGGCGTCTTCGGCTAACAAGCACTCGGACAAGCATGAGCACAACTACACCATGATGCAGGCGTTCGAGTGGTACACGCAGGGCGAAGGCAAGCACTGGCAGTGGCTCGGCGACAACGCCAAGCGCTTCGCCGACATGGGCATCACCGCCGTCTGGATCCCCCCGCCCACCAAGGCCAGTTCCGGCTCCAGCACCGGCTACGACATTTACGACACCTGGGATCTCGGCGAGTTTGCGCATCCCCGCGACAAGGATGCAGGCCTGCAGCCGCCGCACCGCACCAAGTACGGCACGCGCGAGCAGCTCGAGGCGGCCATGAAGGAGCTCCGCAAGAACGGCATCTCGATCTACGTCGACGCCGTGCTCAACCACCGCATGGGCGCCGACGAGCTGCAGACCTTCAAGGCACGCATGGTCGACCAGAACGACCGCACCAAGCTCTGCTCCGACGCTTACGACATCGAGGGCTGGACCAAGTTCACCTTCCCCGGTCGCGATGGCAAGTACTCGGATTTCAAGTGGGGCTTCGAGCATTTCACGGGCGTCGACTGGGACCAGAAGGCCGAGACCAAGGCTATCTTCCGCATCGAGGGCGATGGCAAGCACTGGGCCACGGACGTGGACAAGGAGAACGGCAACTACGACTTCCTCATGGGTGCCGATGTCGATCACGCGCATCCCGATGTGGCGAAGGACATCCTCAACTGGGGCGCCTGGATGATGCGCAACTTCCCCATCGCAGGCTTCCGCTTCGATGCGGTCAAGCACATGTCGCGCGACTTTGTCCACGACTTTGTCAAGCACATCCGCGAAGAGGCGCGCAGGCTGCGCAAGGAGCGCGGCCTCGAGGCTGCCGACGAGAGCGAGGGTCCGATCGCCTTCAGCGTGGGTGAGTTCTGGAAGGATGATCTCGACTCGTGCCTCAAGTACCTGGGCAACTTTGGCGACGAGCAGTTCTCGCTCTTCGACACACCGCTGCATTACAACATGAAGGAAGCCGGCGATGCCGCCGAGAATTACGACCTGCGCAAGATCTTCGACAGCACCATCGTACAGAAGCGACCCATCGACGCGGTCACGCTTGTCGAGAACCACGACACGCAGAAGGGCCAGGCGCTCGAATCCACCGTCTCGGCCCAGTTCAAGCCGCTTGCCTACGCGCTCATCCTCATGCGCGTTTCGGGCTACCCTTGCGTCTTCCTGGGTGATCTCGACGGCTGCAACACGACTGGCATCGACAATGGCGAAGGCAAGGCTGAGCCTATGGCGGATCTGGACAAGTTCCTCAAAGCTCGCAAGTACTATGCCTATGGCGAGCAGCGCGACGTGTGGGACCATCCCAACTGCGTCGCGTGGGTCCGTACGGGCACCAAGAACCCAGACTCCTCGGTAGACGACGACGCCGGCTACGATGCCTCGGCCACCATCATCTGCAATGGAACCGAACAGGGCTCCAAGTGGGTCGAAGTCGGAAAGCGCTACGTAGGCAAGAACTTTGTCGATGTCATCGGCTGGTTCCAGGGCCAGCAGAAGGTCAACGACGACGGTTGGGTCGAGGTTCACTGCCATCCGCGCTCCGTCTCCGTCTGGGTTCCTGAAGACTCGAAGCACCGTCAATTCTTTTAAGGTACGATAGAGAAATGGAAGCATGCAATTGGAACTCCTGTTCACACGCGATTGGTAGTCACAGACATCTTGGCGATTCCATCTGTAAGACTGCAGCTGGATGAAAGGAATGGTGGTGTGTGTGTGTGCGGAAAAGGGGGAAGACTGTGGCTACTGGTAAAGCTTGATGTATACGCTCGAGGATCCCAGCATCCGAACTCTGTCGATTGGCTTGACCGATCGCGACAAGACACGAGTCCTGTAAGCCACAAAGGGTCGGCTATGCGCGCCACGGAATGCACCGAGATACTGATAGATGCCCGAGCCCGGAGCGCCGATCTCCTGCCAGACTCCAAGGATGATGTGATGTCTGTCGGCATTGTAGCCATGCATGCTATTGAACAGCCCGTTTCGGACGTTGAGTTGCGCCAGTTGGAAGCGGCGATCCCCCACCTGCATTGGCCACAAGCCAAAAGTCGTATCACGACGACTCACGCTGTCCATGAAAGTCGCAAACTCCTGCGGGTCGGACCCTGGCTGGAACGTCGTGACCGTCTGCGGGGCATCCTGCATTCGCGTTTCGGATTGCTTGAAGAACTCCGCCTTGACTTCTTGAAGGGACAGCTTACGCTGAGGGAAGCTTAGCTCATGGTACGGATACTTGGCGATGTGGTTCCAGTCCACTTGGAGCAGATACATGTCGGAATCCAGACGACTCCACGCTGTGGCCTCGACGCCATGCTTGGGAGCATAGGGCTGGATGAGATCGAGCGGACGCACCATGCTTTCCCAGCCTGGTTCCCCATGACCTGCGGAACTCGCCGCTCCCTGACCGGAAGAAGAGGCGAACGGCGAAGACAGTTGGGGTGCCTCGCGAATCTCGGAAAGCGTTCGCTCGATTTCAGCGCCTGGGATCGCAGCTCCGGTAGCAATCTGAGCCACAACGACCAGCGTTGCGGCGGAAAAGAGTGTGAGAGAGCGGAGCGAGGGCATCTCGACTTTGAGGAAGATCTGGAGTACAGGCCAAAGGACAAGCTTCGAGGGAACGACGGCTCTCTTGTTGGCAATTTATACCTTCGACTCTGCGCCTCAAGATGAGGGGCTCTTGCAGCGTTTGCGCTGCCAGGGGTTTCGTACCCCACCCATGCCGACCGCGATTCTCGTGGTGCACACCAACAGCGGCTTCAACCCACCTATTGTATTGTTGTCCACCATCACTGTGCCACGGGGCTCGAAGAAAGCCTTGTGCAGGATGCGTTTCACTTGATTGTTGTCCAGATGATTGAAACCGTCAAGGCATTGGATTAGACATCTATCGAGCCTGCATGAGCGTGAGCCAAATGAAGTACCACATCTGATATGCAGGGGGCTACAGGGGTACTGTATACTGTTTCCGAACACCCACATTTGAGACTCGCTTTTGACGACAATTGGGGCATTGTGTGATTCTCGAACAGTGATGCTGGTGGCAGGCTCACGGTGGGTTGCGACGAAGTAGACTCAAACCTATCACATCACGGCTATCGCAAGGCTATAGCTGCATGTCACAGACTTTGATGCCAGCGTCATCATTGGGCCTTGACGAAAAGCACACAAATATACATCTCGTCGTTACAAAGGAGCGATCCGTTGGATGGGGCACACGATCGGCTTGATCTCATTGCATCTCGATCCACGACTCGGAGCGTCAAGATACACGTAGTCACGACTCACTTTTCGCACGGCACCGAGCTCCAACTCTGTATACAAGCCTCTCTAGCTGCTGCACATTCCTGTGATCCATCTGAGCGAAGAGTAAGCGACGTTCGGCTTCCTTGTCATAGTCCGGGAAACACGTTCGGATCGCTAGAGCGCTCAAAGTAGCCACGTTGATTTTGCTTCAGGTGAGTCTGTTGCACTTGCGTAGCCGTTCACCTTACGAGATGTCTTGCACAAGGTATCATGCCTGCAATGCGACATGAGGAGAAACTCGGAGAAAGGGAATGGGGACTGATGATGGCGTCAGGGGCAGATCTTGAGAACAGGCATCTCTCAACTACCTTACATCCGCTCCGAGTGCTCACTCCGTCTCATAATCAAATCAAGATCAGGACCATTGATCCTGTCGGTATGGCGCCGAGCTTACCTCTAAAAGATGAGATCAACACCAGCCTCTCTGACACCGAGAAGTTTGCCATAAGCATGATAGAATTGAAAGAAAAACTCGAGACGACTGACAGAATTGGGCTCCGAAACCAGTGTGCCAAAAAGGACCCTGGTGGCATTCGGAGGCGAGGTTTCGGACAAGCGATGCCGACATGGGCATGTCGACTGCTTCTTCGCTCTCGCCAATGATCCTTCTCGAATCTAAGAGACAGGGATCAGATCGCTGTTGGGGCAGGCAGTGTAGTGCTGAACAGGTCCCGTGGTCTGAGTGGTGCCAGAGATGAGAGACGTCCTAGCGACATCCAGGCAGTTGTTCTTGCCCATAGTGATGGTGAAAGTGTTGTCATCAAAGGCGAACGACTGCATCTTGCCATCCCAGACCAGAACAAAGCCTGTAGTATCCGTCAATTTCATCAATCGGAAGAGAGCGTCAGCATATCATACCTCTACAGGACCGCCAATCCGTATCACTGGTTCATTCTGTGTCACTGCATATGGTCACACTCACGGCTTCCGTCCGAGTTCATGTAGCCATGGGCGCTAGGCTCGAGCATGCTGTTCCTAATGTCACCCGAGAACAGGAAGCAGGCGTATGCCTGGTTCGTGATGCGGTTGCCAATGCCACAGTAGTTGTCAAACTGCGACTCATCCTGGACGATGCCTGCAGTCGAGGGCGGGCCGAAAGGCGATTGAGCCAGGGCACCGCTGACCGAGAGCAGAGCAACGATGGCGAGGGAGGCGGTCTTGGAGAACATGATGTAGAGTATAGTGAAGGCTACTTGTTGTGTAGAGAAAAGTTGATGCGGGTCTTTGGGGGAGGAGGACAAAGCAGCTCGTGGTATTTATGTATCGAGAGCTCTGATACGACACAGCTCGCTCTCCTCGAAGCGAGGAATAGATAAGTCTTCACACCCGAAGAAACGACCCACAGCTTTGTGGGACCGAGCGAAACATTGACCCACGGGACCATGCCACGATATGACATTCAACACAGCCCTGTGGGGCCGTGCCCCACAAGCAAATGAAGGTACCACCATCCCGTGGTGTGGCTGCAAAGATATGAAGCCTGCCCCAAACGAGGCACGATCGGCTCCATGGCCGCATCTTGCGCTGAACCTGAGCTTCGCCTCCGTCTCTTTCACAGAAATCTTCTTCCTGTGTCTGACTGCATTGCCCGACAAATGCCACTGGATGACGAGAGAACGAGCAAAATGCCAGAAGTTGCAGCAGTCAATGCATTTGAAGCGAAGCACAGGCCTGTGATGAATCTTTGAGCCCCACAATCCAACCTTGCGATATCTGCTCAAGCCCACCTGCTTCAGCTCGGCCCGGTCGACTTCACACCCCACATCGCCGTCCTTGGATACCGCACATCAGCTCCTCTAACTTGCCACTGCGAGCAACCGGGCCGAAGTTCCAGAGACGCGGAGCTCATCGCGTCTTGTCAAACAGGCCTTTCCCTGTCAACCTCGCTCACTGGCCTCCCATCTTTTTCACCTCGAGGTTGCTGATGTCAGGCTCGTCTCTGAGCCCGTTAGCTCGTAAGCAGCATGTCAAGCTTTCAGTATGTTCAGTATCAAGATTTTGCCTCGAGCAATTGCGTGATATGAAGTCGAGCAGATGGGACAAAGGATGAAGCGGGGCTAAGGCGAGAGTTCAAGGATGACCGTAGCGCCAGACGTCCCCATAGCGCCAGGCGTCCTCGACGTGAGGGTTCAGGTGGGCCATCAGGACATCGATAGCGTTATCCTGCGGAGCCTCGTATGGATTTGGACCGTCGTATCGGTGATGAGGGAACCTGACTTGCTGGCGAGGCTGCGCTGGTTGTGGTGCAGGCCGATGTTCCAAGCGAGGAGGCCCGAATGGCTGAGGATACACATGACCTGCTTGTGCTCCGCCTGCGTGTGCCTGGACCAGAGCCACGGGGTCCGGGATAGGAGAAGGATGCGTCGGCTCGAGACCCTGCACGAGATTGGGACTCGCTGGAAAGAAGATTTCCGGCTCCTCGACTGGCTGCGCCGTGTTCCCCGGGGTTCTCTCTGCATCTTCGTAAGAAGACAGGCGCACCTTGTGCCTCGAATCAAGCTCCTCGTCTTGCTCTCTCTTCGAGTCGCTAACGTCCATCTTCAAGCTCGGAGGGAAAGACGGTCGAGGTGGTCGATGTGTGGTCGCTTCTGCTTGCTCATGAGCGCTGCGGCGTGACGATTCCGCAGTTGCAGACCTGACGCTTCTTTCGGCGGTTGAGCCAGACAGAGGCTCTGGGGGAAAGAGATCAAGAGGATGTCCCATGGGTCGCGGTCGATCCATCAGAAGTCTTAAGGGACGATACTTCTCCGCTTGAGTCCATTGAGGACGCGCGAGTGAAGGCGCGTAGGCCAAATCGACGCTCGTAAGCTCTTGGAGGCTGGCGGGAATGGTGTAGATGGTTTCGAAGCGCACCTCTGGCACCACTCTTACTGGCCGAACGACCGCCCGAGGAACGAGACGATTGCGAGTAGGAGATAATGTGTACATGACACGGTCCAGGACAGGTAAGGCCTGACCGTCTGAAATGTACGTCTCCAACTGCGTCTGACCGCTAGCCAGGTCGAATCTCTCGAATATGGGCGCTTGGAACCACGGCCTGAGCCGATGATTTCTGTCAATCTGCGCCGACATCAAGCCGTACCACATGAGATCGTCCTGCTTCTCGGTAGAAGTGAATTGAGCCATATACTGATGGCTCTGTTCGAGTAGACCGACCATTTGGTCCGTTGAAAAGGAATTGTACCGGGTGCTATCGCTTTCGTGCGGTAACGAAGCCACCTGGCGCTCGATGGTAGAGGGTGTGTATCCGAGACGCTCTATATCGCCAAGAGATCTCGAACTGAAGACTCTCGGAAGGTCGTAGACCCAAGCCCAGCCGCGTCTGTACGCATTGAACTTCTCCCAAATGACCCGATACGGAGGCGCTCTGCTTGAGGAAGAAGAAGCGTCCCGGAGGCGTCCACGAAGCACGAACTTGGGCTCGAGTGCGTACTTTGCATCTGTATCGCGCCATACGCGAACAGCATGCATGTAGACGATGATGTCTGGATTGTACGCGCCCATAGGGTTCTGAGGCAACTCATCGGCCACCCGGATGAAGACTGTGGGTACGTGTGAGCCGCCCAGGGGATAGTCTAAGTAGTTCGGATGTTTGGAGAGCTTGGAGGGAAGGCTGGTGGGTGCGGCGTCTCGTATCCTGACATCTGAGCCGGTGCGAATCAAAGGCCAATGATGAGGGTAGTAGTTTGTCCTGTCGATTTGAGCCGAGGCGAGCTGGGCGATATGATCGTAGTAGGACTCTGACATCGACCGTCCAGTTGTTGGATCGGTGAATCCGAACCTTTTGGGGAACGAGTGCGAGTCTGGCCGCTCCCGATCGTCAGGAGCGGATGAGCTCCAGTCGCCGCGGTGATGGCGACTGCTCTCGGAGCCACCAGCGCACGACACCAGCCCGACAAAGAGGGTGGCGAAAAGCAATCATAAAAGAAACCAGACGAAGCGTTGAGACGTCATCTTTGCTGAATGGTGGCAAAGCGAGAGAAGAGAGTCGCGAGACTGGCACCCCTTTATATCTTAGGTCGTTGACGACACGATCGAAGGAACCAAGCAAGGTGGTGGGGACTACACGGCTGTACCATCACCTCGCTGGTTGAAGCGCAATGAGGTCAAGTTGAGCAGTCCCGCAGAGGGCATGTCATATCACATGAGTTGGAGCCATTGATGCTCGTCCGGGCTTCTTGTGCCGGTACAAATCTGACCGAGCGCCGCAGCCGTGCTAAACTCGGAGTCAAGCGAGATAGACGCTATGATAGGCAGCGCTGCACCACGATTTGGGTCCGGCGAGACTTTGCCGTTTGCTCGCTTTACTGTATGAAATGTGGAGACAGCACAGAAGAATCGAAGATCGAGAAGAGCGAGGCGCCATATGGCTTCCTCGATCCCCGTTTGCTTCTCATCCTTCGGTGCGTTTGTGGCGCTGCATCTCGGTCGCTTGACACCTTCATACCAGCCACCCTCAACAGCGTCAGCCGATGTCGACACTTTAGCATCATGATTTGGACGCCGTTTTTGTTTCGCTTTATTCACTTTTTTTTTTTCTCGATTTGTTTTTTGTTGACGGGCAGCCGGCAGCCGGAAGTCGGAAAATCAACAAAAATGCTCAACGCACAGGTCAATCCGGTGGAGGTGCGGATCGCTTCTTCTCACCACTGCCATCATCTGCATCTCATCACATAACGAGCGGCGACCACTTGCGAAGCCCGCAAACTCGGTCCGAGATGTCGCTTGTTCCTGAAGCTGATGCGCAGGTGGCTTTGACAACGCTGCGCCCGGCTGCGCACCGGGATCGCTTCATCCATCTGCAGACCGCAGCACGAAGTGCAGGAGGGTCTGATCCAGCGCAGCGCCTCAACACAATCATCGAGCTGCTTCAGCACTATCGGAATGCTGCGGGACTCGGTGCGCTGCTCCCACATGACTGGGATCTCTATCTCGCACTCGAATCACGCCTCGCAGCCGCGTCAGCTCCGCTCAATTCCGAGGCGCTCCATGCGCTATTCGAGCTCCACAAGAACGCCACATTGCAGTATCAGAGCCGGCATCTCATTGTGCGGTATATCAGCCTTGTACTCGCGTATTTCTCTCGCATCAACGGCGTCGAAGTCGCCGCAACGCCAGCCTTGGCTGATGATCCGTCGTCATCGGCCGCAAAGGTTTCCGACCCCGCTCTCAAGTGGACCAGCCTCGAATCGTGTCCCACATTCGACACTTTGAGCGGTGCCTACGTCGTACAGTCGCTACCCGCATTGTCCACCGACGCCAGCCATGCAAGCGCATGGGAAGCGGTTTGTGGACTCGACGCAGTACGGTCGCGCCTGCGAGAAGCGTACGCCAAGTGCGCCTACCAGCTGCAAGAGTCTCAATCGGTTTGGAGGCCGTATCTTGCATTTGAGGAGGCGCTGCTCAACTCGCCCCACATTGCGCGCGATCAGCAGGTGGAGGCGGTACGACAGGTCTACCTGGCCCGGCTCAAGGTGCCTCACGCTGCGATCGACGACACCTTCCAGGCATTCTCGCAGTTCGTCACGCAGCACCTGCCGCCACACCAGTACGAGTCCGAGATGTCGGCTGCAAACACACTCGTCGCCGAGTCGAGGAGCATGCTGCGACAGCGCGAGCAGTTTGAAGATGCGCTAACGCCGCTCCTGGCCAGCGGATCGTTGCACGTGCCCGGATCCAGGCAGGATGTGGATAGCTTTGCGACGTACTGCAAGCCGTACCTTCGCTGGCAGACTGGTCGGGCAAAGCGTGCGGCACGGTCGAAAGACCGGACGGCCCACACAGAGCTGGACCTGGCGTGTGCGCTGTACGAGCGCCTGATCGCTGTGTTTGGCCTGCATCCGCCCACTACGCATCGCGAAGAGCTGGTCTATTACGCCGGTGACCTGGACGGTGCAGCGCAGTCGTCGAAACAATGGAAGCGCCTTAGCAATGCGGAGCGCGCAGCACGCACGCAGCAGGAGGAGCAGCTTCTGGGCGAGCGTCTGTCGCTCGCGACCGACCTGTGGCTCGACTACATCGCGCTGCTCACTTCGGGCACGCATCCGGACGCGTCGTTGGTGATGGACGTGTGCACGCGCGCGGTGCACTGCCTGCCGACAGCGGTGAGTCTGCACGCGGCACTCATGCGCAGCTCGGCGCGCTTCCGACGTTCGCGTGCGCAGGTGGAGCAGCTGTTCGAACGAGTCGCCACGCCGGGTGCGCTCTCGCTCACTGCAGCCGAGCTCACGGATCTGACGCTGGCGCGCGTCGACTGCGAGCGCGAGCTGGCCACGTACGAGCTTGTGGTTAAGGCGGGCGCGGAGCTCGACATGGATCCGGCGCACGACATGGACAAGTTCACCGAGATCTACGCGCTGCTCAGCTATGCGCTCGGCAAGGTCGCCGAGGCAGGCGAAGGGCAGTACGACACGAGTCTGCAGCTCGAGCGCGTCACGGTCAACTGGGTGGAGCGCGCGGTGCATGCCATGGGCGGGCCTGCGTCCGAGGGCGGCGCGGGATTCAACGAGCTGGCGGAGCAGGTGTGGCAGACGGCCGTGACGCAGCAGCCAGACAACCTGCTCGTGTACCGCGAGGCGGCGGCGTACTGGCTGCGCCGCTTCGATGCGCGCAAGGCACGCGGCTGGCTCAAGGCCGGCGCGTCGAAGGTGGAGCGCAGGCACGCACAGGGCGCCGGCGAGGATGCGGCCGAGTATCAGGCGCTGCTGAACGACTGGCTCCAGCTCGAGCATCAGTACGGCTCGATCGAGGAGATCGAGCATGCCGAGACCAAGGCTCGTGCGGAGAGGCAGCGTGCACTCGAGGCCTGGTACGCGTCGTACGCCCAGTACGGCTATGCCCAGGGTGGAGTGGCGGAGAATGGGGCTGCGGCCAACGGTACGGATGGCACCGCGATGCAGGTCGAAGCACCGCAGCAGCCGAGCAGTACGAGTGCGGGCAAGCGCAAAGCGGACGACGATGTGGTGCTCGAAGACACGCCGATTGCCGATGCGCCCATGGCGACACGTGCCGACGACACGGCCGCAGCCGGAGGGGAGGGCGCAGCGGAGCAGAAGAAGACACGCACGGGCGAAGAGTCGGCGCCGGCGCGCGATCGGGAGCACTGTTCGGTGCTCGTCGCTGGGCTGGAGCCGTCGACCGACGCACAGGCTGTGCGGTCGCTGCTGCGCGGCTGCGGGCGCATCGTGGAGCTATCTGGCCCGACCGTGCTCACGCGCCACGACGGAACGTCGGAAGCGGCTGCGCTAGTCGAGTTTGCCGACGCCTCTGGAGCCGCTTCGGCGCTCACGCGCCACGGCAAACCGCTGGGCGCCACGCACGTATCGGTGCACATCGGATGGAAATGTACGCTGTTCGTGACGAACTTTGCGGAGGAGTGGACGGACGCCGACGTGCGTTCGGCATTCGGCGCACACGGGCTGGTGTTCAACGTGCGCTGGCCGAGCAAGCGCTTCGTGACTACGCGGCGGTTCTGCTACGTGCAGTACACGACGCCCTCGTCTGCGTCTGCGGCGGTTGCAGCGCTGGATGGAAGCGAGGTGGCGGAGGGACGACGGATGAGTGTGGCGCACTCTGATCCGAGCCGGCGCAAGGCGCGGACGGACGCGGTGGAGAATGCGCACGAGCTGTTCGTGTCGGGCTTTGCACGCAACATCACCGACGACGACATGCGCACGTACTTTGAGGCGTACGGCAAGGTGACTGGCGTCCGTCTGCTGCGCACGCCCGAGGGGTCGCTGAGGGGGATTGGGTTTGTCGATTTCGAGAATGCGCTCGAGGCGCAGCGGGCTATGCGCGAGCTCAACTCGACCAAGTGGAGAGGCAAGACGATCGCGGTCACTATGGCCGAGCACCGCAGTGCACATGGGGCCAAACCGCATAGAAGGGAGGATGTGGCCGAACGCAGGACGCGCAGTGTGCGCGTGCAGGGGTTGCCAGAGGATGCGCAGGAGGCGTTGATCCAGCAGGCACTCGAGCAGGCTGTGGGTCTGGGGAGTGTGGCACAGGTACTGTGGACACCGGGAGAGGGAAGGAGTGCGGTGGTGGCGTTTGGAAACCAGGCGGATGCGGGTAAGGCGGTGCTGCTGGCACAGACGGGCGAGGTGCGGTATGCGGATCAGCCGCTGGATGTAGTGGCGATGGACGAGCCAGCGCCCAAGCAGGAGCCACATGCATTGGCGTTTGTACCGCGCGCATCGCGCGGAAGAGGCCGTGGACGTGCGCGCGCCTTTGCCCCAATCACCCACGCCGTTGCACCAGCCCAGCAGGCCGAAGACGATATGCAGGTGGAGCCGGCCGCGCAACCTTCGGGGCAAGACCGATTCCGAGCGATGCTCAACACTTCTCACCAGTAATACCACCGAACCTCTTTCAATCGAACAACTCCTCATGAGACCCAGTCGAAAACGGGGTGAAACTCCTTGGCATTGCGGAAAGTGCTTTGATCTAGACGGCGACAGCGATGCCGCCTTTGCGCGAGTCGCTGGCGGCAAACACCTTCCTATGTCTTCCGCGCCTGGTCGCCGCGACAGCCTGGACCTCTGCCACGCCCAAATCGATGTCCAACCACGCCACCTCGTGGCCTCTCCCCAGCAATCCAGCGAGACTCTTGTTGCTGTACCCCGTCTCTACACTGAGCTGCGTCGGCAGGAGCTGGTGGTGCAACCTGGGCGCCTCGATGGCCTGCGACAAATCCATGCCCCACAGCACATAGTTGAAGAGGGTCTGGAGCACCGCGCTGAAGATCCTGCTGCCTCCAGACCCTCCCAGCACCATCTCAACCTCTCCATCCTCGGTCTCGACGATCGTTGGGCATGTCGACGAGAGCGGTCGCTTTCGCGGCTCGGGATAGTTGAACGGCGAAGGTGCTAGACCGAAAGCGTTCGGCACGCCCGGAGTCGAGGTGTCGTCCATTTCGTCGTTGAGGATCACGCCTGTTTCGCGGTCCATGACACGCGAGCCAAAGATGAGGTTGACAGTCGACGTGACGGCCACAGCCATGCCGTGCGCATCGAGGATCGACAGATGCATGGTACCGTGATCGGCGACAATGTCGAACTTCGGGTGGTAGTAGTCGAGCGCATGTGTACGGTCGTCTGTAATATTCGGCACGATGCGTTGCGCCTCCTCCATGGTCGGAATCTCAGCCATCCGCTTGCGGTCCTGGTCGGAGACAAAGGCAGGGTCCGCAAGCTCGGTGCGCTGACCGAAACCGAACTTGAGCGTCTCGACGAACCGGTGCAGGTTGACACTCGTCGGTCCGGTCGTGGCGAAGTCGGGGATGAGCGAGAGCATGTTCAGGATCGACAGCACCACGGGACCCGATGTGGGCGCATGCGTGGTATAGATCCTCTTGCCCAGCCAGGACCCCCGCAGCGCCGGCTGGACTACGACCTTGTATGCAGCCATATCGTCGAGGGTGAGGATGCCGCCGTTTTTCTGGGTTGTGTTGACGAGATGGTTCGCGATGGGGCCCGTGTAGAAGGCGTCGGGTCCATGGTCGGCGATGGACTGGAGCGTGCGTGCGTATGCGTGTCGATGAATCGAGTCGCCCTCCTTCAGCAGCTCGCCGGTTTCTGGGTTGACAAACACCTCGCGCCACACGGGGTCGTCGAGCATGAACCCGCCAAACCACACCAGCCGGCGCGCGAGTTCCTTGGACACCTTGGCGGAGCGCGCGAGCTCGATCGACGGCTGCACGAGCCGCTTCCACGGCAGCCTCCCCCACCTCCTATGTGCCTCCTCCAATCCCCGCAGTTCGCCGGGAACGCCGACAGCCAGGCCGCCAAACTGCGCTCGAGGCACGCGCCCGACGTACATGGTCTTGTTGGCCGCCGCGGGTGCGGTCTCCCTAAAATCGATCGTCATATGCTCTGCGCAATCCGCACCGGCATCTCGACCATAGCACTTTGTCGGATCGCGCACGATCATAAACCCTCCGCCGCCGATACCGGAGCTGAACATGTTGAGCACACCGACGCAGAGCGTCGATGCCACGGCCGCGTCCACAGCGGTGCCGTGCTCGAGCAGCACATCCAGACCGATCTGGCTGCACAGCTGGTTCTCAGTAGCCACACCTGCCTTGCTTCCGGTCGCGAGCACGGCTGGATGGCGACGTCCGCGGGGGTCTGTGCCTGGTGGGTGGCCCGTGTCGGGATCGCCGTCCGAGGCATCGTCGAACTCGCCGAGCAGCGTCTTGAGCACCACGGACATGGCTACGGCAAACGCAAAGATGGCGAGCAGCACAAGGATCGGGTTGCGAGCCAGTCTGGGCTTTGGCGATTGCGCGGGAGCTGGATGCGGGAGGAGGGGCGAGCGTTCGGTGGGCGCCGAGACGTGGCCGTCGGTGGAGACGACTTCTTCCTGGATCGGGTCGATGCCGTCGGATGTGGAGGCGGACGAGCGCAGGCTCGATGGCCGCGGAGAGGCTCGTGACGCCATGGCTCGACTCACTTGTGGATAAACAGATGCCGTTGCGTGAGTCTTTGGTCTAAGGAGGGTGATGGAGATGGAGGAAGAGATGGTGGAGGGAAGGTTGGGTAGGCTTGCATGTTGGCTGTATGCGGCGTCGGTTACATTGCCGCGCGGCATGTTCTGATCCGCGGCGATCTGCGCTCCGAGATATTTCCGGACGCTTTCTTTGAGCATGTTACACTCTACTATCATACAAATTACGCGAAAAAATCGGAAGGTGCCGGCGTGCGATGAGAAGAATCGGCGGCGCTTTGGCACGTCGGTCGGCCGCCGATCGTCTCCACTCGGGCCACTTGCGCATGCCCTTGCTGCTCCACTTCCCCATCCCGACATCACACACCCTTTGCGCTGCATCACAATGTTCACTGCTGCACGAGCTGCTTCTCGCCTCGGTGTGCGCTTTGCGTCCACGCAGGCTGCCGTGTCGGAAGCCGCCGCGACCGCCCGCGGAGCCGCCAAGGAAGGCCTGGGCGAGGCCAAGGGCGCACTCAAAGAAGCCCAAGGCACCATCAAGTCGACCGCCCAATCCGCTAAGGCCTCCCTGCCCTCTGCACCCTCTGCACCCTCGGCGCCCATCGTAGTCGGATCGCCCACCATCCGTCGCCCCGTCGGCTCGGTGCGTGGTGGCGTGCTCGGCTTCCTGTTCGGGTTTGGTATCGCTTCAGCTTACGGATATGCGTATCTGCTCAAGGAGTACAATGCCGCCAGCAACCTCATGCTCGCCTCGGTGGAGGAACTCCAGTCGAGCACCGAGAAGATCACCACCCACCTGCAGAGGCTCAACAAGCTCGAGGCCGATCTCAAGTCGCTCGGTTCGCAGGCGGCCTCCAGGGCCGAATTCGAAAAGAACCGTCTCGAGCTCAAGAAGATCGTCGATGGTATTCATGATGAAGTGCTCGACGTCAAGAAACAAGTCATCGGTAAGGCATCCTTCCCTCCCACCCCCTCTTCATCCGACCGCCTTGTGCTGACCTTTTCAACTCTCCAAACGACTGGCAGACCTTCCCCGTCCCACCAAATACATGCAGTAAATCAACCCTCCAGTCTCTCACTTCTTGGAAATTGGGCGCAATCTCAACCTTAAATTGTTCCAGACCTTCGATTGGATTGATGTTGCCGGTTCTAGAAGACTACTACGCCGACCATGGATCCGTCCTTGGCGACTTCGATCACCATGCCGTCTCGACCGACGAGTCGCGTGCTTAGATCGATGAGCAGCTCGCCTGACGCACCGTCGCGCTCGGGACTGCCATCCAGTGCCGTCGACTTGGCGTGCAGCGCCGCCATGGATCGACGCTGGTTCGCACCGCTGCCGCGCAGCTCAGCCGACGTGCCACGATCCAGCTCCATCCCCCGGTCGTCCTGGCCCTTGCTGAGCGTGCTGTCAAAGTGATCTTCAAACGAGAAAGCTGCCTCCGACTTGGCGTTGGCGGTCTTGTTGGCGACGTCGCGAATGACGCGCCAGGGGCACCGGTTGTAGCGCTGAAATAGTGCGTCGCCGGGCACGTTGGTGTGGCACACCACCTTTTCCAGCCGCGCCTGTCCCAATGCCGCCGCACCGTACACCTCGGCGCCGCTCGGCATACGCATCGTCTGCTTGGAAAACAAAAGATCGATGCCAAGGTCAAAGTAGTTGTAGAAGAACGCCGAGTCTGGAAAAAAGCACAAGGCAAGGTCAGCTCGCACGTCCAAAGCAGCCCCGTTCTCACAAGCAACATGTGTCGATGACTTACCGTCGAGATCATGAGACGCTGCAAAAGATTCGTCCGTAGCCGTGCTGTTTTCGGATCCTTCCCGAGCCCCCGCCGCCGCTCCTCTCGTCTGACCTTCCGCACCTCGATGTGTGCTTCCGCCATGGATCCTCATTCTGTCGTCCTCCTTGTAGAATATGCGCTGGGGTTGGCCTAGATCGCACAGCGCATCTTGAGGCGTCGTTACTCCCAGCATCAGCTCCACCACGTTGCCAACCGGCGCTTCGGTGGCTGCTGCGCCCGTGCCACCACCTCCGGGCAGCGGGGATGGCGTCCGGGACGCACCGGTCTTGGCAAAGTGCAAAGCGACGCTTTTGCCGGGCGTGATGTCGGCCTGCAGGAGCACGGGTGCACCCACATAGATCGCCTCGACATCGAGGGCTGCGCGATCGCGCTCGCTGTTGAGCTGCGCATAGTCGCCGAGTGCTGCGGTGGGTGAGAGTGTGCCTGGCTTGTGCGAGCGACCAGGTGCACCGGCATCGCTCGAGCCCTGATCGGGAGAGGGCGCCACGAGTACATCTTGAGGAACGTCAGGGTCGCTGCCCGAGAAGACGTGAATCGACGATACAGGCTGCAACTTGTCCACCTCGGCTGCCTTTGGCGCGTCGGACTTGAGCGCAAAGCAGAATGCGAGGCCGGGATAGGTGAGGAGGAATTCGGTGCGGCTCTGGAGGTGTTGTGCGTCCTTGCGACCGTACGCGAGGGCGACGAGGCTTTCTGATGCAACATAAGATGATTCGGAGCGTCCGGGATAGGTGGGACCAAGGATCTGGTGGAGGGTGGATCGGTTGAGCACCACGTGCTGTGACCTGGCGGTGCCGCTGGCGTAGATCAGCTTGCCGTTGTAGAAGAGGTTGACGGGGCGATGGCTTGGCTCCGAGCTTGGCGACGGAGATGTTGGGGCGGACGGAGAGCCATTACGTGAATGTGAAGATGCGGCTGTGTCGAGGTTCTCGAGCGTGATGAGGATGAGACGCTGGGTGGTGGCGTGAAAGATGAGGTGTAAGCTGGGCTGGATGGTGACGACGATGGGAGAGAGACGCGGCGCGGTTTCGTCGTAGACGATGTTGATGTGTGGGAAGAGCGACTGCTGCGAGCGTAGGTAGTTGAGCACATGCCAAAGCGAGTGGCCTAGCTTGAACGGACCCAGACCGAGCGAGGGACGCAGCACCAGATCGAGGCGGGGAGCGCCGAAGGACGACGAGCGATGACGCACATCCGTAGCTGTGGCGCCCGAGGACGGCAACGAGCCAAAGATGGGGCTCGACATCAGAGTTTGCGATGTGACTAGCTGAAGGAAGCTGCGAGGTGGATGACGGTGGATGGGGATGAACAGGTCGAGAGGTGGGCAAGTGGATGTGGGCAAGCATGGCCAGAGCGCAGGCGGTGCAGCACGTTCTACTGTATCTCGCCAGTCTCGCCAGTCAGGGTCCAATTGGCAGGGCCCTGCAGCGCGCGGCTTGGGGAGGCCAGCAGAGCTCGAGTGTGCATGTGGAGGCGTAGCCGCTCTTCACGCGTCCAGCCAGCCGCGCCTCTGCTGTTGGTGTTTGGCTCGGGCGCGAATGAGAGAATTTTGGGCTCAGCAGGACTTGATCGCAGTGTGTTACTTGCGTCTGTCCACCACAAAGCTTTGCTTCGACAGACCTTGGCAGCTTTGGCTTCTTCTCCTCGCGGATGCACTCGCTATGAAGGTCAAGGTCAAGTCGTGGAATGCTGTGGCCTACTGGTGTAAGTCGACTTGTCCGAGTCTGTTGCAATAGCAGCCATGGAACTTTACTGACAGTCGCATCTTGCTGTGTCTGCTTGGTCGATGCTGCTCTAGTGTGGGACGTCAAGGATCCAGACGACATCTGCGGTATCTGCCAGAGCAACTTTGATGGCTGCTGTGCAAGCTGCAAGGAGCCCGGCGACAGTTGTCCGCTACGTAAGTCGCACTGCCATGGCAGAACCCAGCGGAACGCAGCGCAATCCTACTGACGTTGGTCATTCGGCCCATCCGACTCTGGCTGAAAACAGTATTCGGCAAGTGCAGCCACGAGTTCCATCTGCACTGCATCATGAAGTGGCTGCAGGACAACGACGGCTGTCCGTCGTGTCGTCGTCCGTGGGGTAAGTAGTGGCCGATCAGGTTCGAGCCCAGATCGCTGCGTGCGTTTGCTGACTTGACCTTTCGCACCTTGATCGCTCTGCATCTACCGCAACGCAACAACAGAGGAAGTAGAAGGCACCACCATCGGAACAGCCGCCAACCATGCAGCCACAGCAGCCACGTCGTGATCGAGTCCTCGAGTGCTTGCTTGCACAGCTCCCGCCGTCTTCTCACATATACCCGCCGTCCCTGCTATCCAACACCGACGACGCACTTGCATCTGTACTATTGACCTCCATCGATCTATCTCGCCCGGCTTACTTCTGTCGGTGCAAGTTTGTGCTGAGCATCAGAACTGCCTCTTGAGACGATCTTCGGTTGGACTTTTATGCAGACCGGCCGATGCAACCTTGAGCGCGAAAGAATGAAGTTGTTAGGGCGGGCCCCAAACACAACCACAGGAAGAAAAATTTGAGTTTCGAGGACAGGGTGATCCAAAGGGTCTGACGCGTGCCGCCATCGTGAGCTTTCTTTTCCATGCTCGAGTCTGGGCCTGTCCACGAGCTGGGAAGCAGAGCTCGCCGAGAGGGTTCCACGTCGACTTCACGCGCCTTACCGAGAGGCGGGCAACGTGATCTCGCAGACTGAAAGCGAAGAGAATTGCGCCGTGAGTCAGCTGGGTCCAAGCTTGGTGGTCGAGGGCCAAGGCTGCAGGACTGGCAGCCTGATGACGTCGCGGACAGTCACCCCGCACGTCGACCGACGCGGCTCTTGACTCGCTTAGAACTCTTTTCCCGACGAACGTGCAACCCCGGACAAAAGGAAAGATGCCTCCACCTCTCTGGCTCCCTGGCAATTTTTGATGGTTCCGCCCCGCCGTCCGTCCGGATGGATCGCAGACATCCCAGACTTCCGGCGTGCAGCGGCGACAGAGTGTGATTGGAAGCGTGACACGCGTCGGCTCATCCGTACCACAGCGGTCTCTCTCACACTGTGATGGCGGAATTGGGTGCCGACGTGGCGTGACGACGAGGCGGAAGGCATCGGTGCTGCCGAGCTGACTGGAGGTGCGGCATGGATGGATGGACGCATGGGCGCCTTGCTAGGGTCCAAGACCAGCGCGCGAGCCACGCAGAGAGCGGCGGCGACGCTTTGGTCGGTGACGGAATTTGAAGCTCCTCGGACGATGACGATGATGATTCCCACACCGCTGCCTCTTCCGCCTCTTCCAAGCCATTGTCCAGTGTCACCACACACCCAACGTGAGAATCACATTCCGCAGTCGCTACTTCCCGCTCGTCACATCCCGTTCGGTTCTGGCCCGCTCGCCCAGCCCAATTCAGGCTCCAAGCTCTTTGCCCTTCCACTCGCTGAGCCTTGCCCTCCTCCTCCTCTTCGTGCCACCACCATCTTCTTTCTCTCTCCACCCTCATCCATCGGAAGTCTCCCTCTCGACAAACGTTCACGATGGTCAAGCCTAGCTTCATCTCTGCCGGCTTGCTCGCGCTGTGCATCGCACTCGCCACCGCGCCTCAGCCTGCCCAGGCCGACTGGCTCCAGGACTTCACCAAGGGCGGAAGCAAGGCCTTTGACTCGGCCTTTGCCACCTGGTCCGAGTGAGCTCATCTTGCTGTCTCGATGAAGCTTTGAATCAGACCGAGCTGACCCACATTCTTCCTCACGTCTTTACAGATCCGACCTGCGCACCTACCTGCTCGACCGCGGCATCATCGCTCCCTACACCACCGGCGAGAAGCTGCGCCAGCTCGCCGTCCAGGACTACGACAAGCTCGTCTCCTCTGCATCCTCCGGCTCCGGCGCCGTCAAGACGGCCGCGTCGCAGCAGCTCAACTCGGCCTCGAGCGCTGCGGCTTCGGTGCAATCCGCAGTAAGCTCCCACGCCGCACAAGCTGCCCAGTCGGCATCGAGCATGGCACTTACCGATCTCTACTATCCCCTCTCGCGCTCCGCCGCCTCGCTCGGCTCCCAGGCTGCCGCCTACGCCTCGACCGCCTCGGCTTCCGCTACGAGCCTCGGCAAGGATGCGCAGGCTTCCGCCTCGAGCGTGAGCAAGAACGCCCCCGGCGCCTCGGACGTCAGCAAGTCGGCCAAGAGCGCCGCCACCGCCGCCAGCAAGTCGGGCAACTCGGTGCTCAGCGCCGCCTCCAAGAGCGGCAGCTCCGCCTACGCCCAGGCGTCGCAGACCGTCGCCAAGGCGATCGACGACAGCACCGACTACGTCTACTCCACCTGGAACGACAACGACCTGCGCTCCTACCTCGAGTCCAAGGGCGTCATCAAGACCAAGACGCAGGCGACGCGCGACGAGCTGCTCGCCTCGATGCGCGACACGTACCGCGCCACGGTCAACGCGCCCTACGAGGCGCTCTCGGACAGCTACCTGCACAACTGGCTCGTCGACCACGGCATCATCCGCTCGCCCGCCCAGAAGACGCGCGACGAGTACCTCGCGCTCGCCAAGGACTACTACACCACGGGCACCGAGCACGTCTACGACACGTGGAGCGACAGCGAGCTGCGCGCATGGCTCGTCAAGAACGGCTACATCAAGTCGAACTTCCAGGCGAAGCGCGACGACTACCTCGACCTCGTGCGCAAGCACTACACCTCGGCGCACGACGAGGTGTGGGGCAGCTGGAGCGACAGCGACCTGCGCTCGTGGCTCATCTCCAACGGCTGGCTCAAGTCGGACGCGCAGGCCAAGCGCGACGAGCTGCTCGCGCTCGCGCAGAAGCACGGCAACGACGTGGCCACCTCGGCGCGCGAGTACGTCGACTGGAGCGACGCCCGGCTGCGCGAGTACCTGCGCAGCAGCGGCATGCCGCTCGAGGCGATCCCCAAGAAGCGCGACCAGCTGCTGCGCGAGATGCGCGCGCGCTACACCGGCCACCGCGGCATCTTCAGCTACATCAAGGACGGCGTCCGCCAGGCCTACTTTGGCGTCCAGGACATCCTCGGCAAGGGCGAGCAGGCCGCCGCGCACGCCAGCGTCAGCGCCTCGGGTGCCGCCAGCCAGGCGAGCGCCTCGGCTGCCAAGGCCACCGCGCGCGCCAAGGACGAGTTTTAACGCGGCCGTCACCCTTAAAGCCCTCGTCCCCTATCCTTCACTCAGCCATGAATGCGCCAATCGTCATGTGAATGCGTCTGCAATACCAAATATGCCCTCTTTGATCTGCGCCGTCGTTTCACATCGGAAGAAGTTCAAGTTTGCGTGACGACCGCAGATCCAGCTGACACGCCAAGCTCTGTATCAACGGCGAGCCTCTGTTTGAGACTGCATCGATCAAAGAGTTTGGATGGTGGGTTTGAGCCATGCTTGACAGGTGGAGGCTGAAAAATTCGGGATTCGGGGTTCGGAGCGCATGGTTTTTGGGCAAACACGCACTGACCAGCCGTGCACATCATTCTCGCATTCCCACCACATCTTCTTGACCTTGGTTCGCTGCTGTAACGATGGGTCCTAAACCGCGGCAAACGATTCCGCGACCCGTTGCTGCATCCACCTCTGCGCCATCGACTCCTGCATCTAAACCTGCATCTGTGGTTCGGGGGAGAAGGTGGGTGTATAATCGGGCCTCACTCGTGTTGTTGCTGCTGTTGCAGGGGGGATGTTTGGTGGTTGGATTTGTGCTGCTTACGGAGCCGTGTCTGAATGCGCACTATAAGAACTCGCTTTGGGATAAGCGCAACTACCTTTCTCTACTGGCCAAGGACGATGTTGGGGCAGAAAGGTTTTTGGCAGCAGGGATCAAGAGTTTGTTCGGGACACTTGTTATTCAGGCCTGGTTTACCGCCCGTCTCAACGCCTACACCCAAGGTGCGACGCATCATCACCAGCAGCTGGTTGAAGGTTTGAAGGAGAAGAAGGAGAAAGTTAAGGTGGAGTTTCAGGTGCCGAGTTTCATTCGCCAGTTGGAGGCAGTCTCGGCATCGTTGCTGCTGTCTTTACCGCTTACTGCACTGGCGATATTCGCGGTGATGTTGGTGGGTGGCGCACCGTTAACGTCCCATTGGAAACAATCAGCAACACTAGCAACGCATCTAGCACTGCTTCTGCTGCCAACGATCCATATCGCGGCTTCGAACACAGGCTTTGTGCAGAAGCTGCTTGGCGCCAATCCATCACCCTCGTTCTTGTGGCCACTCTTCTACCCACCCCTCTTCAGCATCGCCACATCCTTGCTTGCAACGGCAACCCTCGCGCTCGACTCAAATAGCCCCTGGCAAACCTACCCATTCCCGCTCATCGTCGCCAGCATCGCAGGTATCGCTGCTGGGAACGGATACACCATCGCACTCATCCTCTTCACTTAAGGCACACCCCCCACACGCGCACGCGCAGATAAAGAATGAACAAGTCCAAAGTTCCGATGATGTAGAAATGAGGTTTTGCACTGCTACTTGTGCGCAGGTGAGCCCGGTGAGACGGGCGGCCCGTCGTCGTTGGGCAGATCCAGCAGCACGCGTGGAGTGGCACCCTCTGCACCCGATCGTGTCGACCCGCGACTACCCGCACTCGCGCCCGTGGCGCTTCTCCTCGGTGGTCCCAACTCCGCAGGCGCCTCGGCGGGCGGGAGTGCCAACGCATCCAGCTCGTCATTCGTCACCTGCCTTCTCAGCGACCGACTTGCCACCGGCGACCTCCTCTCTTCCCTCCCCCCCGCATCGTCGCGCGATCGTGTCGGGAAGAGGTGCGGATGCGACGTGGGGCCCGGATTGCCCATCCCCTCGCCCTTGGGCGCAGTGAAGTTCGAAAAGAACGCACCGATGCGGTTCATACCATCGCGGATACCCAACCCGCCGTGCCGCTTCTCGTCGTCACTACTCGCGTCCTCGTCGTCGCTGTCCAGATTGTACACGCGCGCATCGCGCGTCAGTTCTCGACCCGACGAGCCGGAATATGTCTTGGATCGCTGCGCAAATGCGTCGGCACCTGCCTTGTTGATCGGCTCCCGTGCGCCGGCGTGGTGATCGTGCGTGCGGTCGGCTATATCCAGCCACTGCACCGACGAACTTCGCGAATGCGCGTGCTCAGCATCACGCCCACTCGATCCCAGCCTCGAACCGGGAGCCGTCGCTTTGAGGATCGGACTGCTGCTGATGCTCGCCCCGGGCGACGACCGGTACGGAGCCGCAAGACCGGCACCCGCAGACGAGGAGCGCGGAAAGAACTTGTCGTCGCCCCGGCCCTTGCTCTTGCTCTTGCCCTTGCCCAGCCCCAGGAAGCTCGACGCGGGGCTCATGCGGTGCGCGTCTTTCTCGCGCGTCGGCTGCGGCGATGCAGGCTCCGAGATCATCACGCGCGGCGTCGTGTATCCTGCACCTGCCGATGGCGTGGAGCGCGAGCTGTCCGCTACAGACTCGGACTCGGCCGTTGGACCGCTGCCGCCTTCGTCATCGAGAATCTCGGACTCCTCGTCGTCCTCTTCCAGCTCCGGCTGTGAGCTCGTCGACCGGCGCCTGCCGGACAGGCCGATCTGGCCGCACAGCACCTTCTTGCGCAGGTTGCCGCGTCTCGCAGCACTGACCCGCCTGCTGGAATGAGATGGCCGGCCGCCTGGGCCTGAACCACCACTAGCAGACCGTTCTACCTCGCTGTCCTGCGCACTGGTGCTGCCGGGAGGAACAGACGAGTCCTCGGGACCGATCGGACGACCTCCATGCCCATCGTCGTGCAGCGTTCTGACCACAGCAGGTGTGTGGTGAATATCGGTGTCCGCGTAGCGTGCTGGAGAGATGGATGTCTGTCTGCGCGAGGAGCGGAGCGGCAGGTCGTCCTGGTGCTCACGGTGGCCCTGCGCCCACGTCATGGCGCCGTACATGAGGTTGACGCGCTCGTCGCGCTCCGCCGCCGTCTCTTCCTTGGGCACCTCAGCCTTGACGTAGTGCTTCTTGTTCTTGGTGGGCCACCAATTGGGCACCTTGTTCTCCAGCAGCCTCGAGATGGCCTCGGAAGCGTTCCAGGATGCGTGATTGTTGTCGCCCAGGAAGCACGCCAGCTCGTCGTGGTTCGCACGCACCCAGTCTTGCGCGGGCGTGTCGGACGCCTCGAGGGCAGAGCGCTCGGCGTCCGTGAGCGGGATGACTTGCACGTCGGGATCGTCCGAGTAGCTCTTCTGGTACTCGAGCACGAGCTTGTGGCCCTCGACCCAGCTGCGGACCTTGGGCCAAGTGTCGTCGTCGTCGTCTTTGGCGGCTGCAGAGTCGGTGCTTCGTCGCTTCGAGTCGTGGTGCGAATGAGCCTGCCCTTCGCGATCTTTGCGACAAGCTTCGTCCTCGTCCTCGGGCCCGATGCGGCCGCAGATGATGTCTCGGTCCATCGGTGCTTCGCCGAGATCTTGCTCTTCTTGCGAAGCGCGGACCCTTTCCGCCTCTTCGGCGCTCTGCCTCTGGCTGCGTTGACGTGCAAGCTTCTCCTCCTTCTTGGCCTGCACGCGCTCCCGATACCTGCGCATCTCGATGCAATCGTCGCCAAGATAGTCGGCGGCTGGACACGCTTCTTCGTCGCTGCCCTCCCAGTCTTCGATGCCGTCAATGTCCTTGCAGAGGTGCCGTCTGGTGGCACCGCTGCTGCTTTCGTCTGCTTCGTCGTCGGCGAGCTTCTCGTTGTACTCGGAGCCGAGACCTTCGGCCTTTTCGAGGTCGCGCTCGGTGCGAGCGTTGAGGAGCCCGACAAACGGCGGCTCGGCATCTTGGCTATCGCTCGAGGAGCCTCCAGCGGCGGTTGCCGAGTTCTCGTCGTTGCTGCTCTCGCGTCGCAGTTCGTCTTCACGGTAGCCGCCGATGGCGCCGCGGCCGATCATGGCGAGCTGCTGTGCGGACATCTTGTCGGCGCTGATGTCGTCGTGGTTGATGATGATATCCTCGCCGGACCTGACGCGACGAACACGGCTCATCCACGATGGCTCGTCGTCCCGCATGGACGGGTTGCGACTCCACGTTCGCGTGAGGGTGTGGGCGCGCTTGCGTGCATTCTTGCCGAAGGCGAAGAAGGGGATGGTGAAGCCGTGCACGAGGATGGAGCAGAGGACGAAGAAGTAGACGATGGGTTGGATGGTGAGCGCGAGCACGTCGTTCGTGGATTCAGGTGGCTCGGGAACCTCCTCGGGCATCAGCGTGCGACCGAGGGTGGCGATGAAGATGGCACCGACGCCCATGGGCCCAAAGTGGCCGCAGAAGATGGCCTCGCGGAAGGTCTTGATGTCTGGGATGAACTTCCAGAGGGCGAGGATGATGGGGATGCGCTTTGTGAGGAGGACGCAAATGGTAAGGACGATGAGGCGCCAGATGGAGAGGCCGATGGTGCCGTCGACAAAGTCGTGCCAGGGAATGAGGGCGCCGATGTAGATGAAAGTGGCGATGTTGAAGAGCAGATCGACGATGTTGGAGAAGTTGGAGTCCTCGGTCTGCTTTGTGAACCAACCGTCCCAGGCGAAGGCGGTACCGCAAGCAAACGCGGCAAGCAGGTCGTCGGAGCCGAGCAGCACATTGACGCCCATACTGGCGATGGCGAGCGAGATGTACTGGGCGACGAAGGACTCTCGATCGATGAGTTTGTTGCGCTCGGAGAAACGCATGAACTTGCGCGCGAGGTAGCCGATCAGGGCGCCGAGGATGGTGCCGAGGATGATCTCGTACGCCCAAGTCTCGTAGAACCACTCTGCTATGGCGTGTTTTGGGTTGTCGCGGTTCTGGGTGAGGTAGAGAGCGAGGTAAAGGAAGGGGAAGGCGGCGCCGTCATTGCAGCCGGACTCGCACATGAGCATGTGACGGACGTGGGCGGGGACGTGCTTCTCGGCCCAGGGACCACCGACGACGGCCTGGGCCAAGATGGGGTCGGTGGGGGAGACGCAGGCGGCGACGACGAGCGAGTTGAGAAAGTCGAGGCCCGGGATGAGGGCATAGATGAAGCAGGCGGTGATGAGCCAGCCCCACGCCATGACGGGGCCGAGGAGGATGGCGATGGACTTCCAGTGGCGGAGGAGGTACTTTTTGGGCAACTCGACGCCGATGGCAAAGACGGAGAGGGCGATGGTGACGCGCATGATTTCGAGGGTGATGTCGTCGGTGGTGGGGCCGCCCGGGGTGACGCCATCCTCGCTGCCCCATGCTGCCGGGTTGAAGAGGCCGATGGCGACGGGGCCGACGATGATGCCAAAGGCGGCAGCGATGGGAGCCTCGCCGAGGTAGAGGCGCTCCTTGATGAAGAGGGAGAGGTAGGAGAAGATGCAGATGAAGAGTCCGAGGCCGACGTAGGCGATGTGGACGGGCGTGACCTCGAAGGGGTTGAAGGCTTTTGCCATGATGGGCGATGGGGCTTAGGCGCGCGAGATCGCGGCGCCTGGGTCGTGGAAGCTGTCTAGGCTGGTGGAGAGACGGGCGCAGCTGAGTCGGAGCCGGCTTGGGTCGGAATGACGACGAGGATGCATGGATATGGTCGGGTCAGGTCGGGTCAGAAGTCGGTGTCGGCACTACCGATGGAGCAAGGACGAGAGACCGAGATTGATATGCTGCCGGAGGTGCCGATGTGATGACTGAGCGTCGGAAGACAGCCGAAGAAGAGCGCTGTGCTTCGGTGTTATGAAAGCGTGAAGCTGCAAGGTGAGCAATCCCGTGGCGTTGCGGTCGTGGGTTGGCAACGAGTGTCAAGGGGCGGATATGATATGAAAAGATGTTTAGCCGCCGAGCCGATCCGAGCTGCACGCGGCGTTGCGTTGTTGCTGAGCGATGTCTAGCTAGCAAACACTGGCAGCGTTCACAGGTGCAGGGATGGTGGTGGTTGGTGAGACCTCGTCGGCCGGAGGTGTTGAATCAAGGGTGCTGGTGACCGAGGGTCGTGCCGTGGTGGAATTTTGGATTGGGTCGACTCCGTTTGCTATCGGTGGGTGCGACTGCGAGGCACGGTGATGTGACCGGTATGCTTGCTAAGCCCGTCCATTGTTGCATCGGGCGCCGAAAAAGAAAACAGTCCAGCCTCGGGAGCGCGATAAATGGTCACAAATCGCATCTTTCCGAAGCTGCAGCGTCCCAAAGTTTAACCACCGAACCTTGCAGCTGCTTCCCGTTGTGATACGGCGGGTCCTCACCCTCCTTCGTCTGTGCCTAGATCAAAGGCAGTGCTGTTCCCGGCAGCTCTGCTATCGGGGTCCATCGCTCGGGTCCAGTGTATGTTCGGTTGGAGCTCGGCGGCATCGACGCATTTGCGCCCCCGCTTCGCTTTCGGAATGTGCCGACCCTCAATAGACCAGGCATGGCGTGGGATCACTTGTTCCCGAATTGATCACGAGGGGGTCAGGATCGTATCATCGGACCCCACCGACAACCGAGTGCACTTCGCAATCGCAGGCCCACGTTCTGCATCGTCACGAAAAGAAATCGCCGCCTGCTGCTCCCCTGTTTTTTGGACAAAAGAAGTCTTGGCGCAGCACGGGAACGGCAGCGTGTTCCTGCACCGCTAGGTCACTGTGCCTAGACCTGTCAATCAGCCAGGCACTCCTACAAAACCGGCAAAAAGAGAAAAAGGAACTGCAGCACCCAGGATTCCCGCGTGGTCCCCCACCGCAGTACTGACTAGGCGATACCTTGCTTAACTTCGCAGATCGGACGGGATGCGGTGCTTTCAAGGTTCTATGGCCGCAGATGTATCCTCTTTTTCAATTGCTTTCGTAGATCGCACCATACCACTTTCGCAATTCATAACCATGCATCATCATTTGCACCATATCAAGCTCGTAGTTGCACCCACCCATGTTCGTAGTTGCACCCCATCAATCTCGTAGTTGAATGAAGATCTTCATTGCTTCTCCTGCCCACCATCACCATGCCTCGCTCAAAGTCAAAGACGCTTTCTCTTGAGACCAGGACAAAGCTCCTGGAGGCAATCAACAAGCAGAACATGTCTGTTGCTGAAGCCTCTCGCCGTCTCATGGTCCCATACACCACTGCTCGCAGTTTCATCCAGCATTACAAAGAAACTGGACATGTAGAGCCGAAGAAGATGGGCGGGAACCGGGAGCCTGTCTTGACCAATGAACACCTTGATTGGATCCAGTCTAAGCTCGACAACAAGTCTGATATCCGCCTTGCCGACATTCACAACGACATGAAGAGGGCATTCACCTTTGACAAGCTGCCGTCGATCACCAGTATCCATCGCGCCATCAACACCAAGCTGCAATACACCTTGAAGCTTCTTCGAGTTGAACCAGCTGACTACAACAAGCCTTCTCGCATTCAGGCTCGCAAAGAGTGGGCTCAGGACTATGTTGATAGCGGTTCCAGCTTGTTCAACGCCATCTACATTGACGAGTCTGGATTCAATCTTCATCAGCATGTCTCATATGGCCGTGCAAAGCGTGGCGATCGAGCGATCAGGATTGTGCCTTCAGACAAGGGCCAAAACATCTCGTACATTGCAGCTATCGGGGCAGAAGGTGTGGTTGCCGACTTTGCATATCAAGCATCAACTACAGGGAAGCTCTTTGCGTGGTTCCTCAAGGAGAGAGTCTTCCCAAAGCTGCAGCATCGACGGCAGATCATCCTTGATAATGCGACCATTCACAAAACAGCCGACGTTCGCCAGGTCTTCCAGGAAAGCATCCATGAGTGCGTCTTCCTGCCACCTTACTCGCCCTTTCTCAATGCTGCAGAGTGGCATTTTGCTCTCATCAAGCCTCGACTCTCAAAGGAAGAATACAAGAACACCGAGAGCCTCTTGAATGCCATCAGAGCAAGCGCCAACACCGTCACACCAGGCATGGTCACGTCATGGATCAGGGAGGTCAACAGGAACTTGATCAGGTCCATCAATGGCGAGATACTTGGGCGAGAGCATCACTACAACATGCAGGAAGGGGACGAAGACCTTGCAGTCCAGCTGCTCGAAGACCTGGAGAACATGCATGTACAGGTGTAAGAAAGAGAATGCGAATTTGATTGGGTGCAACTACGAGACTGATCGGGTGCAACTGCGAGCTTGGTATGGTGCAAGTGGTGGGGCATGGTTATGAATTGCGAAAGTGGTATGGTGCGATCTACGAAAGCAATTGAAAAAGAGGATAGTGAAGAGCGAATGAGACGTTCATCAATGCTTTCGATTGCTGCTCGACGGAACACGCTTGCGCAGGGGCAGGTCAGAAGCTGGGAGGTTGGAGAAAAATCGAAAAGTGTGGTGCAGACGACGGCCTCACATTTTCGAAAAAAAGAACAGCAACGCGTAGATGGCTGTGAGCGTCGCGCGAGCGCGTCCTCTGGTGGGTGGGAAGTTGGGCTGCGCAATCCAGGGTCCACGCTCAGACCCGCACTTTCTTCCAGAGAGCAACCTTCTCGCTCCCCACCTTCTTGGCCTCTACCCTTCTCCCACCCCACACTGCACTCGACGCCATGACGGATCCGAGCGCCTCACTGCTCTCCACCATTCGCTCGGTGCTCGAGGCATCGCCGCCTGCCGTTGCTGAGCCAGGAACGCTGCGGTGCCACACGCTCTTCTCCATCCCGCGCCAGGTCAAGTCGCTCTATCCACTCGCGCACATCCACCCACACGACCTTGAGCATAACAAGCGCGCCGCGTCGATCGCTGCGTTCGAAGAACAGATCTTCATCACCGCCAGCTGGATACCCAAGCAGTCCGCCCCTGGACAAGCGAATCCGAAAACCGATGGAGACGCGGGCGACCCGTTGCTCGTGCTCGCTATGGAGCTGTACCTCTACACCATCTCCGAAAGCGGAGCAGCGGTGCTGTACGTGTCGAAACTCGACTCGAGCGGGTTTGGACCGCGGGCTATTCCGACCGCCATGCGCGATTCGCTGTCCGGCGAAGTGTTTGATGACAAAAGAGTGTTTGGAAACACGCTCACTGCCACGCTGTCGTCGGCAGTCACACAGCACTTTACGACGTTTCGACACTGGGATACGGACAAGGGCCAGGGGGGGATCTCGCATGTGTCGGTGCATATACTGGCGCGCAGTCAGAGGGCGTACCTGTTTCCATCGAGTCCGGAGAATAAGGATAAGAAGGTGCTGTCCGATGGTGCGCTCATCAAGTGGTGGCGCGCCGTGATGAGCGATGTGATCGTGCACACGCGCGATCAGGGCGCTCCGGTCCGCAAGGCACATGACGTACAGGGCGATATCGACGCACGAGCATTCTACCTCATCCCGGGTTACTCCAAGGCCGAGTCACATCCACTCGTACCGCTTGTGCGCGAATCCGAGTCCACACCTTCCAGTGGCAGCGCCGGGAGGGCCGAGGATGTGCTGCGTCAAGCGGGGTGGGTGTATGGCCATCCGTACAGCGCAGCCGGTGCGTCGTGTACGGACAAGGATCTGCCGCCGCTGCCTCTGCACTGGCAGACTTCACCGTTCGTCCTGTCCGGCTCGGGCGAGAGCAGCAAGGTGGTGCAAGAACCAGGCAAGGAGGGGTACGACCCACGAAGGGTGCGCACGGTACCCACGCTCATGCCTCACTTTTCGGACGATCCCAAGACGCGCTTCCTCGACGAGATGGCGGGCGATGCACACGAGCATTCGGGCTGGAAGAAGAAGACGTCCACCCACGCACCTGGTGTGACGCAGGAGGAAAAGCAAAACGGCATCGAAAAGCATCTCGACCTCACCACCAGCGGAGCATCCAACAAGCGCCCTGCAGGTGACGAAGGCGACAGCTCTGCGTCGCAAAAGCGGGCCAAGACGGAAGAGAGTAGCGAGGCTGGGGGGTCGACGGGTGGAAGTGGAGTGCCTCTGGTTACGCTGCGTGCGCTGATGCGCGAGCGCGAGCTGATGGACGACTTACCCGTGGATGAGTTCTGGGAGCGTATGGCGTTCCGCCAAGAATGCTGTGCTGGCAACGCAGTCGGCGTCCTCGTGATCCTCTTTACGCGTCACCCTTCTGCCGACTCTGCAGCCAAGACGCCCGAACGCCAGCCACTATCGATCCCCTATAAAGTGCTGGGCGATGTGGTGTTCAAGTCGCTCATGAAGGACACGTGCGAGTGGAACAAGATCACGCACGCGCGCCAACTCACCTCGGCCTGGTTCCATGCCGTCGACAAGGAGGTCCGCCGCAAAGGTGGCGTGGCCCAACTCCTTGGAAACGACCTTGAAGAGGGCTTGATTGGACAAGGCATCGTCTGGCAGGACTTTGAGGTCGTCGCACCAACAAAGGCCCAGATGGAAAAGGCAAAGCACGACGCAAATGCAGTCGAGGGCGCAAAGACAACCGCCGCGCCGGCTAACATGCTCAGCGTCAAGCGCAAGAAAAAGCCAGCAGCATAAGATGCACCATCAGCTAATTCATACTGTACACATGCGAGCAGACGCAAAGTTTGGGGCCAGAGTCGGGTATGATTGAGAAGTTCAGTGTGTGGGAGGCGGTGGTGGAGGACGGGAGCGGTGTTGCTGCGAAGCGTGCAGGTAGGCCGGAAAGAGCGGCGACGCGATCCTGCCTCCCCTCGCCGCTCCGTTGGGCGCATCCTCTTTTGCTGCTGCTGGGCGTGCAGTCGATGGTGGGGCTAGCCAGCGTGAGTCCCTGGCTGACGATACTGGCAATGCTCGCTGGCTGCAGCTGGCAGCTCCGACTGCAAGCGCGTCCGTGATCGTGGCACCCAGTGAAGAGCAGGGGAGACTCTGGCAGCCCAACCAGGTGCTTGCATCCACGACAGTGCCGAACCCGGCCTCGGATGCCGCCATATCGACGTAGCACCGCATGAGGTTATTCGACTCGCCCAGCTTGGCGGCCCTCGCACCTACGATAGGATCCCACACGGGAGGCGGGGCGCTCCACACCTTTCCACCGATCCCTACCGGGCCATCTTGAAGCATGTGGCTGCGATCGCTTGCGAAGCCTGCGATAAAGTCGTTGGCCGCAATGTATCGGAAGGCCGGCTGGAAATGAGGCGGTATCACGCCCGCTGCGATATCGTCCGGCCGGAACGTCTTGTCATCGTACTCGTGCTTCGGTACTGGCCTGAGCAGCTCGCCGCCCTCTGCGCTGACTGCGGTCCTAGCGAGGCGCGAGTCTGGGTCGTAAATCCACGTTCGGCTCCAGCCTTCCCCATTGGCGAACACGGGCGGCCGAGCAATTGTTGCATCTGGCTGTACCGCGAGTTGGTGAAGTGGGACGAGATGTGCGGTGACGGCGGCTACAACGTGGTAGTCCCAAATCACAGGCGATCCGGCGCTGGGCAGCTTGGACGCGGCCTGTTCGTACAGCAGCACCGTCTTGCCCGCATTGCTGATGAAGAGCACATGCACGTCCCACACGGGCACAAATAGGGCCTGCCCCGGCGCGGGCTGCTTCTGGCTCTGCGTGATATTGATCGCGGCGCGGTTGGCGCGCGTGAGCTTGGCAGCGAGATGCTGCGCGAGCATGTACACGTTCTCCTCGCAGTAGCATGCTGCATATTGCAGCGGCACAGGGAACGCCGGCGGAGTGATGGAAGACCACGCCGTGTCGAGATCCGCCATACTGATGGGTGCCACAGAGGCTGGCTTTGGTACGGGCTTGAAGATGCTGTCTGCCGACCGAGCGCGCGAGATGGGCAGAGGCGGCAGCGGCGACGCTGGGTGGTTATATGTGCTGTCGCGAGAGATGGGCCGCGATAGTCGCGCGCGGATCGATTGGCTCAGCGACTTTCGCCGTCGCGGCGCAGTGTCGCTCGACTGCTCCATCGTGATCTCGCAGAGCACAACCGTCGGGCCCTCCCGAGATGCTGCTGACTCGCGCGAAGCTCCCTCGACGGGCGTGGCTCGTCGGAATTGCCGATGCCAAGAGCCTAACGCCGTGGGAATCGCGCAAAGCAGCACTCGATGGGCCTCGCTGCAACGCAGTGGTGTTGGGAGGAGGAGGAGGGGGGGGGGAAGAAAGAACGGCAACGCAAGAAAGCAACTCGAGCTTTGGAAAGTAACACAATTCTCACTGGCGCCTCCCGACGCGAAGCCCCACCCGCTGCACCTGCATAAAGGCTGCACATGGGAAAAAGAAGCTTCCGCTCTCTCACTTCACTGTGGCTCGCGGAGCGGGAGCTTATCCTATCCGTGTCTGCACAGTTCCTCCTCCTCTGCAGGCAACGATGCAGTATCTTCACACCACTCTCTGTCGGTCCGAGCCGAAGCCGCACTATCGGATCTCATCCCGAGACTCAGGCTACATGCAGGCTGGACGCAGGCATCAGAGCAGTCCCATATGTGAGGATTACATCCTCCGAACGTCGAAACACAGGAAGCTTGACGCTACTGAATACAGGTATCAATGGGTGCAGATGGAATACCGTGGCGGCCCTCCTCCCGCAATAAGAGGAAAGCGGCACCAGCCTCGACGTCGATACGGCCGCTCAGTTAGCCTTCCCCCTCTTCGCCTTGGCCTTCTCGGTGCGGAACCTAGTGACGAGCACGCCTACGTCGTTCTTGAGCTCCTTCTGGAGCTGCGGGCGGTATCCAAAGTGGAAGATGACCTCCAAAAACACAAAGAACGGCGCGAGCACCACGGCGCCCAGCAGGTTGTCGAGCAGAGCCGGCGCACGGCCCTCGTGCACGCCGTGTCCGTAAAACTGGCTGATCCAGCCGAACGCCTTGATGCCGATGGCGATCTTGGTGGCGTCCGGGTGCGTACGTGCGAGCACCGTGGATCCGTACCACAGCGCATACCAGATGGGCGCGAGCAGCAGCGCAGCCGTGGTGTCGAGCACGCTGTAGTACAGCCAGTAGCTGCCCATGAAGACGGCGGCCAGGTTGAGCTGCGCATACTCAAACGTCTTGGCGGGAAGCACGGCTGCGAGCTGCGAGCCTGCCTGCGAGAGGTACGCTGCCGCCAGTGGGAAGTGGTCCTGCACGTACGGGAAGATGGTGCCCTGCTTGGCCAGCAGCGCCGACGTTGCACTGTTGCGTCCAAAGACGAGCATGCGAGGTCAGCATCGTGCGAACGTAACTCAAACTGGACTGGCGACACGAGAGAGCACCGGATGCTCCGCTTACAAGATGATGCTGGGCACGCCGAGGATGTGGATGCCCACGTTGACCGGGTCGGTGTGATAGGCGCCGTAGAAGGCGAGCTGCTTCCTGAGGTTGAACGGATTCACAGTGGCCGACATGGTGGGGACTTCAGGTACGAGCCTGTCTTGCGGTTGATTCCTGGATGATGGTGATCCGGAGGCAAGTCAAGGTTGCGGAATGCGGATGCGGGACGAGCTTGACGGGGTCCAACACGGCCCAGCCTGCTTCGAACATGGCCGCTTCAAAATTGTGGGGAGAAAGCTCCGTTCGACTACCGGCGAGCCGTGCGCGGCAGCGGCGCTTTTTTCGCCCATCAGCTGGCCCTCAGCCCGGAAGTTGAAGCCTGCCGGTTACCGCTCCTTTTGCAGCGAATCGCGTGAACAACCTCCGCGGAACCCGATCGCATCCCCAAATCGGGCTAGCAGCCTCCACGTCGTCCGAACACTACTTCACCGCCGAAGCTGCTGTCGTGCCGCCCACCACCACCAGCACCACCACAAATTCTCGCAGGCAGTGCGCTGGGCAACTTCATGGATCTGGAGTCCATTCCGCCCATCACGGGCGCATGGGCCGCACTCACGCTCGGCGTGGCGCTGCTCGAACACACGCACCTCGTGTCGTCGTTCCAGCTCTTCTACACGCCGGCGCTCGTGTTTCGCAAGTACCAGGTGTGGCGCCTGCTCACCACGTTCCTCTACTTTGGCCCGCTCGGTCTCGACTTTATCTTTCACCTCTTCTTCTTCATGCGCTACTCGCGCATGCTCGAGGAGAACTCGTTCGGCGGACGCTCCGGCGGAAGGGCGGCGTATGTGGTGTTGCTGCTCTTCGCCGCGACGTGCCTTCTCATCTTGTCGCCGCTGACGGCACAGCCGTTTCTAGGATCGCCTCTCGCGTTCGTGCTCGTCTATATCTGGTCCAGACGCAACAGGCATGTTCGGCTCAGCTTGTTCGGCCTCCTCGTTGTAACTGCGCCGTACCTGCCGTGGAGCCTCGTCATCTTTGGGTGGCTCCTGCACGGCAGTCTGCGCGCCGTCGTGGGCGATATCAGTGGCATCGCTGTCGGTCACCTGTGTAAGTACATCGCATCCGACCGGCTAGAGTCTCGCTGAGAAGGCTACCGAGCTGACCTTTGCGCTCTGTCTGCAACAGACTACTTCCTCGTCGATGTATGGCCGCGCGAGTTCAGGTCTGGAGGCAGAAACCTACTGGCCACGCCGCGCTTCCTGTGAGTGCAAGTCCCAGGGCCACCTAGACCGAAGGCATTGGATGTGCCACCGGTAGAGGATTGACCCCCCTTTTGCTCCTGTCCAACAGTATTCGGCTGCTCGACGGCCCGATCGAAGATCATTGAATTGACCCCACACGGCGCTTCCAAGCCTACCCTCGTGTCTGTGATTGACTCCATCAGCATCGCATCTGTACTATATCAATACTGTGCATTCATTCCTCGCCGTGGCCGCATTGCCCTGCAATCGCTCGCTATCAACTAGTCCTGCATGTGTGTTGGTCGAGTTGGACCCTGAGTAGCGTGGCTTCGAAAATTCCAGACTGGGCGCGGATGTGGAGTATCGCCGGTGCAAATGCGCTTCTTCTTCTTACACCACCAACTTTGCTCTCGCTACTGCGCGCACTCTTCGATCCGCCCGTGTTCCGCACAGCAGCGCGCGACAGTGGCCTACCATGGCGGACAAGCCGAACAAGCTGGCGTTCCTGTCGATGCAGGCGCCCGCCGGCTACGTCGCCGGTCTGGGTCGTGGCGCCTCGGGCTTCACCACGCGAGCCGACATTGGTCCCGCCCGTCTGCCTGCCGCCCCCACCACCGGCGGCCCATCCGCACCGAAAGGCGACGACGACGCCGATGATGGAGCAGCAGACAACGACGGTGGCGACGACGACGAAGGCCGCTTCCAGGACCCCGAGAATGAGACGGGGCTCTTCGCAGGCGCCGTGTACGAGAAGGACGACGAGGAGGCCGACCGGATCTGGGAGGCCGTCGACGCAAAGATGGACCAGCGCAGACGCAAGTTCCGCGACGCACGGGAGCGTGAGGAGCGCGAACGGGCGCGTGCTGACAAGCCCCAGGTGCAAGCGCAGTTCGCCGATCTCAAGCGCGGGCTCAGCAGCGTCACCGAGGACGAGTGGGCTGCGCTTGCTGATCCGGGCAGCGCGACGGGCAAGCGGCGCAAGGCAGCCGCCAAGCGTGAGGCGCGCAACACGCGATCGTTCGCCATCTCGGATACCATCCTCGTGGCCAATCGCGACCGCAACGCTGTCGAGTCGGCGCTCACGCAGGACCAGATGAACACCGCCGACGGCATCGCCTCGCTCGCCGAGATCGGCGAGGCGCGCAACAAGATCTTCAGCCACCAGCTCGATCAGGCCTCTTCCTCGTCCAGCAGCGCGCTCTCGGGCACGGCGACATCGATTGACCCCAAGGGCTACCTGACGGAGCTCTCGACGAGCGTGATCAAGACCGACGCCGAGATCGGCGACATCGCCAAGGCACGCACGCTGCTCGACTCGGTGATCAAGACCAACCCGCGCCATGCGCCCGGCTGGATCGCTGCGGCGCGCGTCGAGGAAGTCGCGGGCAAGATGTCGAGCGCACGCAAGATCATCAGCCAGGGCTGTGAGCACTGTCCGCGCTCCGAGGATATCTGGCTCGAAGCCGCACGTCTCAACACCACGGACAATGCCAAGGTCATCCTGGCGCGCTCCATTCAGCACGTCTCGACCTCGGTCAATATCTGGCTCAAGGCGGTCGAGCTCGAGTCGGATCCCGAGAGCAAGAAGCGCGTGCTGCGCAAGTCGCTCGAATACATCCCGCACAGCGTCAAGCTGTGGAAGGAGCTCGTGAATCTCGAGGAGAATCCGGAGGATGCACGCATTTTGCTGAGCGGCGCGGTGGCTGCGGTGCCGATGAGCATTGAGCTGTGGTTGGCGCTGGCGCGGTTGTCGCCGCCCAACGATGCGAAGAAGGTGCTCAACGAGGCGCGCAAGACGATCCCCACGTCGCACGAGATCTGGATCGCGGCAGCGCGGCTGCTCGAGGAGACCGAGGGCGATGAGGGTAAGGTGGACAAGACGGTGGGTGCGGCGGTCAAGGCGCTCAAGAAGGCGGGTGTGCAGCTGTCGCGCGAGCAGTGGTTCCAGGAGGCCGAAAGCGTCGAGAACGACGGCAGCCCGCTCACGTGTGCGGCGATCGTCAAGGCGACCATCGAGCTGGACTTGGACGAGCAGGATCGTCGTGCGGTGTGGGTGGAAGAGGCGCAGTCGGCACAAGAGCGCGGGTGCGTCCAAGTGGCACGCACGATTCTGGCGTATACGCTGCGCGAGTTTCCCGACCGCCCCGCCATCTGGCATAGTGCCGTTGCACTCGAGCAGGCCCACGGTACACGCGATGCGGTGGAGGCGTTGTTGGAGCGGGCGGTGGCGAGTTGTGCGCAAGCCGAGGAGCTGTGGCTGCTGTATGCGCGCGAAAAGTCGACGGCGGGTGATGTCCCCGGCGCGAGGGGGGTGCTCATCCGTGCATTCGACGCCAACATTGGCTCGGAACGCATCTCGCTCGCTGCAGCCCAGCTCGAGGCGGATAACGGCCAACTGGTCGCAGCGGGTAAGCTGCTCGAACGAGCTTGTAGTGAGGTGGGTACTGCGCGCGTGTGGATGAAAAGCGCCCTGCTCGAGCGCGATCACGGCTCGCCCCAACGTGCTCTGGAGTTGGTGGATGCTGCGGTGGCCAAGTTCCCCAAACACGATAAGCTGTACATGATGGGCGGCCAACTCAAGCGTACCGTGGCTACGGATGCTGCACAGGGGATTCGCGATGCACGCGAGTACTACGCACGCGGTGTACGCAATTGCCCCTCCTCAATCCCGCTCTGGATTCTAGCGAGTCGGTTGGAGGAGGAAGCCGGGTTGGTGATCCGCGCACGCGCACTGCTCGAAAAGGCACGTATGCACGCCCCCTCCTCGGCGATCTGGTCCGAATCCATTGCAGTCGAACACCGTGCCGGCTCCCCCACCCAAGCCCGAACCCTCCTCTCGCGTGCCCTACAAGACCTCCCCTCCTCGGGAGAACTCTGGGCGCTGGCGGTTGCATTTGAACCTCGCACCGGTCGCAAAACAAAGATGGCCGATGCATTGAAAAAGACCGCCGACGATTCGCGCGTAATCACCGTCGTTGCCCAACAGTTCGCGCTGGAAAGCAAGTTCCCCCAGGCAAGAAAGTGGTTCCACCGCGCTGTGGCCGCCGACCCAGACAACGCAGACGCCTGGGCCGCCTGGTACCGCTTCGAATCCCAACAGGCCAACCAGGACCAAATCTCCCAACTCCTAGACGCATTCCTAAAGGCCAACCCCCGCCACGGCACAATCTGGCAACCCATCGCCAAAGACCCCGCCAACAAAAGCCTCTCCAAACACCACCTCCTCCGCAAAGCTGCCGCCCAAATCACCCCGCTTTCCTAAATTCCTCGCCATCACGCGATCATGCGCGAATAGACATGACATTCACTGGCCGAGCCGAACAAAAGGTGTACACGAATGCAAAAGCGATAGACAGGACAGGGGTAAGAAGGGACAAAATGCAAAAACAGGCAAGAATGACAAATGAAGAAAGCAGGGATATACTGTGCACCAGGCGCACGCTAGAGGCATTGGATCGATGAGGTCAGGAGGCGCAAGCCGTGCTAGGGCATCCAAGGGTACGAGCGCGGAGTGAGAGGCGAAGTGAGCTTGCCTTAAAGGGCAAAGTCCTCCTCGTCGGTCTCGTCGCCACCTAGCGTCGTGTCGGCGTCGAGCGATCGCGGCGTCGCATCGGCCGCGCCGCCGTTGGCCGCCTTCTTGGGCTTCTTGCTCGACCTCGGCTTCATCGTGGGCAGCAGCTCCTCGCGACCCCGCAGGAAGCGCGGATGGGCAAAGCTCGAATGCGCGCCGTACAGCTGCACCGCCGTGTTGAGCGTCGAGCCTCCGCCGCTGCCGCCCAGCTCGGCACGCTTGGCTGCCGCCACCTTCATCTCGGCTGCATCCAGCAGCCTCGACGACGGGATGCGCTGGAAGCCGTACAGGTTGAGCTGGCGGATGAAGCTGGCGTTGTTGCCGTGCTTGAACAGCCGCGGCAGCACGTCCGACGCAAACTCGTTGGCCACATCCGGCTCGCTCGACAGGATGATCGAGCTGCCCGCCTCGTCCCACCGGATGTACTTGCTGTACTGCTGCGGGTTGATCATGAGGTGCCACAGCTTCGAGATGAACGCCGAGCAGCTCGCCGCGCCGCCCAGACGGTCGCGGATCGCCGCCACCTGCGCCGTCTCGTCCGTGTTGCCCGAGGCGCCCGTGTTGCTCGACGAGCGCGCGCCGCCCGCCTTGCTGGACGCCCTGCGCTGCTGCGAGGCGTTGGAAGCGGCCGATCGGTCACCGATCTCGGTGGCTTCGCTCGCCATGCTGTCCGAGCGCTCGTGCTTCTCAAAGTGCGCCGCCAGCGTGGATGCGTATCCGCTCGACTCCTTGCGCGCACCAAAGCTCTGCGAGTACCGCGGCGACTGGCTGTAAGCGCCGTTCTGCGTGGCTGCGGCGTAGTATCCGTTGAGCCCACGAGCGCCCGCAGAGTACGGAGATCCCGAGTTGACACCGTACGGAGACTGGCTGAGACGCTCGCCGTTGCTTTCATCCGCGCGCTCGCCGCTGCGGCCAGCTGCCATGCCGTTGGCGAACCTGGGCGAAGTCGAGAGCACGCCGGCAGCATAAGCTGGCGCTGCAAGGCCGTTGCCGAGGCTGCTCCCCCTCCTGTGCGCAGGTCGGTTGACAGGCGCGTTGGAGCCAGGAGAGTAGGCAAGTCCCATGGACGCGCTCAGCGGACCCGATGTGGCCGATGGGCTTGTGGCGTAGGGGTGATGACGCAACGGAGCCAGACCCGCCGCGGCTGCATGTCGATCCGAGCTGTACTGGCGACTGAGGCTGACCGAGATGTTGGAGTTGGCCATGACGGGCGAGCGGCTGGCGTCGAGCGGGTGTCCTTTGGCGAGCATCGACTGGTTGCCGGGGCTCATCTGGAAGGTGAGACCGAGACTGGCCTGGGACGGGTTGGCGCCAAAGCTCGAAGGGGTGCTGCCGAGCGTGGGGTCGCCCTTGTGTGCGAGGCTCTGACGCATGCGAGCCTGGTAGGACGCGCTGTAGTTTCCGCCGTAGGCGTAGTCTGCCTCGTCCTCGGTGGCATCGTCGTCGTCCATGCGCATCTCCTCGTCGGTCTCGTCGTCGTCCAAGACGGCGGTGGATCGGCTGCCTCTGTCGTCGGCGCCGTACCTGGACCTGGACCTGGAGCGAGCTTCTTTGCGGTGAGACGAAGAGAGGCTAGTCGAAGTGGGTGTGCGCGCGTATGGATGGTCCCTGCCAAAGCTGGAAGAGTAGGTGTAGCTGCTGGGACCGGGCGAGGCAAAGGTGGGACGCGCATGCTTGTTGTACGAGTAGCGCCTCTGCTTCATGGCCGCAGCGGCCACGTCTGCCGATGAGGACAGGGGTCCGGCGCCGTGATGGTTGTGGGAACGCGAAGGTCTGCGGGCACTCGCCGAGCTTGGGGAGCCCTTGTGTTCGCTTCCGCCCAACGAGAGCTTGCCGAGCGAGGCGGTGGCCCAGCTTGGGCTGAGGATGGCACTCGGGTTGGAGGACGCGCTGTGCGAAGGCGGAATGGCCTCGTGGAGTTCGGGAGACGGGACGCCGTCGTCTGGCAGCTCCTTGGGGCCGAAGCAAGGGCTGGAAAAGGCAAACACCTCGTCGCCGTCGAGCTCGATGCCGGGCTCTGCGGTTGCCCTGTCCGTGGCAGCGGTAGATCCGCGTGCGAATCGGGAGGTGGGCTTGCCGAAGCTATCGTCCTCCTCGTCTTCGTCGTCGTCGACAGCATCGCCGCGCATGCGCATTGCCGAGGTCTTGAACGAGGTGCTGAGCGCAGGTTTGTTGAAGCTGCCGTAGCTGTACTTTCTGCCTGCGGAGATCGAGTAGAGGTGCGGGTCGGTGCTGCGCGAGGGCGACCAGTTGCTCGAGGTGATGGATGTGGGGCCGCTCGAGATGCTCGAGCCCTGGAGGGTCGAGTAGCGCGGCGAGAGCATGCTGGCGCTCAGCGAAGGCAGGCGCACGGATGTGGTGTGGGGCGAGTGCGAGGGCTTGTGAGGCGCCAGGGAAGGCGCATCCGGAGGCGTTGGCACGTCGTTGGGCGAGCGCGAGACTTGCGAGCCCATGGCGACCGGCTCGAGCTTGGCACCGGAGCCGGGGATCTGGAGGGGCAGGGGGGCGGCCTCTGCCATGTCCGAATCGCCGTCATCGTGTGGCGCGGCTCGGGAGAGGGCGTTGGGCCTTCCTTGCAAAGCCGCGTTGAGGCTCGAGTTGGAGGATCGCATCTTGGGCGAAAGGACCTGCTGCGCGACTGCGACGGCATTGATGTCGTTGGTGGTGGGCGCCGAGACGGTAGGGACCGAGAAGCCGGTCTGGCGGAAGGTGGGTGAGGACTGTGTGTTGGCGCGCGGTGCGCGGGGCTCTGTGTCGACGGACATGGCGCTGTGAGTTGGCGATGTGGCCAGGCGATGATGATGGGGCGAGTCGACTAGCTCGGAGATTGGCCGCGTGGCGGATGTGGCAGCGAAGCGGGCGAGATTGAAAGCGAGATCGAGAGCAGGAGCCCCGGAGGGGTCGTCGAGCGATGTTGGGGTGTATGCAGTTGGCGGCTTCGATGGCGGTCGACGGAATGGAGCCGATAGATGTGACGGTGGTGGAAGGATCAGTGGCGATGGAGGGTGGAGGAGAAGCGTCAGGCTGCGAGAAGGAGGAGGATGAAAGGAGGGGCGGGCGTCGGAATGGATGATCACGCCAGCTCGAGGCGAAAGAGGCGATCCCAGCTGGAAGGAGGCAGCAGCGGCGGCAAAGCGAAGCAACGCAAAGCAACAGTCGATTTCGACGGGAGCGCGGCGAGACGGGCGGGGAGCCCGACAACTGGAAGCGAAAGCGAAGGCGGCTGCTCAGCCCGGATCGCAGCGGCTGACTCGGAAGCGCGTGTGGGCCCACACACACGGTGGGGGTTTGCGGCGGCGGCGGCGGCGAAGCCCAGATCGAAGAATGGCGAAACAGCCGGACAGGCAGCGCGCAGTGTTGGGCACAGCAGGAACGAGCCAGCCAGCCAGCCAGCCAGCCAGCCACACGCGGCACCAGATTGTGCAGGTGCCGGTGCATCCGTTGCAGCTCAGCCGGCTCAGCACATCTCAGCACAGCTCAGCACAGCTCAGCACAGCTCAGCGCGCATCTCCCCACCCAAGGCACCCCACCCGTCTTGGGTCGATTGTCACAGCTCAAGCTTCGCGCGCCTCGCGCCTCGGCCCCTGATCCCTTCCCTTGGCCGCGCGCGCCCCCCTTCCTGCTCAGCACCGCCCGTAGCTCAGCAGCGCGTCGAGATCTCAAGGGGGGCGGCCCCCTTTCGCGTCGCCTTGTCGGGCTCGGCTTGGCTTGGCCTCCTCGAGCTTTGCCCCAACGATTCTGGTGCTGCTGCGACCGCCTGGCACCCGCTCTCGTATCGCACGCAGTCGCAGAGCCGATTCGCGTGATCCAACAAGGTACGTCGCCTCCCAACATCGCAACATCGCGGCATCGCAACATGGCACTCTCGCCGCTTCGTCGCAACGCTGTCTCAGCACACTAAGCGTCTCGTCTCGAGGTGAGCGGACGTTCGGATGCCAGTCATCGGCGGTGCACTCGCAGCCAAGCCTTTGGTCGAGGGACTGCCTCTCCGCCGTGTCTCGCTTGAGGCGAGCCGCCTGTCTCCCCGCTTCTGGAAGGATGAGCGAGATCGTGCGGATTGATGCATGCCGAGGCTCCGAAGCGGCTCGATCGAGCCTTGGTTCGCCCCTCGTCTCTCGCCCGTTCAACGCCGACTGATGCCCCGGTCGGCGGCGGAGAAGCTTGAGTCAATCGACTCTCCTATTGTAACTCGAGCTTAGACGATGAATCGGAAGTGCCGAGCCAAATTGCTTGATCAGGTGGGCGCTATGGCTGGCTATCTGCCTGGCTATCTCACCGGACGACGCGTGCTGGAGATGCGAGTTCGGGTGGCGGGTGACGGTGGAGAGGCACCGGGCGAGTGGACGCGCGAGATGCCGGCTGCATGCGCGTGCATGCGCGTCCCTCCGCGCCCGTGCGCGCACGCCCCACTGCGACACCCGCCAAGTGGAGTCACCAGCTGCAGCGCGCCCCCGCGTCGCTTGGCCCCTGCAAAGCAGTCAGGTGGTCTCCCTGGCTTCAACGCGCACTCGCCGTAAGTTATTTCAATTTGGCTCGCCATCCGGCCTGGATCCTGCACCCCGCTGCTGGGCTGTGCTTCGCTTCGGGATGACGATAAGATGGGCGCCTGCGTCAAAGCCAGGGATCGCCAATTGCAGCTCAGCCAGAGTCCACATCCGATGCCAGAGTGTGGCTTGGCCCCTGCCCCCTTTTTCCGCATTCGCACCGCACAGCCTTTTTCCATCCAGCGCTTCGCCGAGCAGCCGGCCTCGGTCGCTCATCCATCCATCGAAGCCAAGCACAATGTCGCACCTGCCGTTCGTCGTCATCATCATTTGTGCGTGCATGGACGGCTGCATGGGTCGAGTCAGTCCGGCGCTGCAAGACTCGGTCCAAGTGGAGGGACCGCGCCAAGTTGGATTCTAGACTCGTCTACCCGATGCTCGTGGATCGATCGACGCGGACCCTGAGCTGTCGACCCCAGAAAAAGAACCCGTCTGGCCGAGCGGCACCGCGCGCCCATTGTGCGATCGTGCGTCGATCGGATTCGATTGGCTCGGTCCAAAGCCAAATCGGGTCGCCCATGGCATCCTCACCAGCGTCCGGCCTTTCTTGCTGGTCCACTCGTGGCCAAAGCTAGGCGGAACCTCCGAAGGCCTTCTCGGAGCTTGTAAGGTTTGACTCGAGTCTAGTCTCAAGCGCTGTTGGCTGGCTGAGTTGGAGCCTGCCCAGACTGTCGAGCCGGCTAGACCTCGTATCAGTTGGTTTCGGCTCGTCCGACGTGGTCTGTGAGCGAAACAGTGCTTGCAATTGCGCTCGATTCGAGGTCGGTCCTGACTGCACATCAGCTCATATGATGGGGTCGTGCACAGAGACCATGAATGGAGCGACTCGAGCATCGAAGCGGGCAAGGGGAACGCTTCCAGAACGCTGTAGGACCCTGGTCGAACAGAGTTGTCGTTGGTGTACCTGATTCTGCGTGTCTTGCCGGCCAAGCGCCACTGTGCACGTGTGCTCCTGCGCACAACTTTGCCGTGCCAAGCAGACCCTGTCCATTCGTAGCATTCGAGCCTTGTCATCACCCGTCCCAGCTCAACTTGGCGAAATAGGCTGGCGTGGGTGACGACATCAGCGTGGGCGAGGCGTCTTCGCGTGCTTTCGCTTCGCTCGCGAGTCGCACCCGACGCTGCACAACTCAAAATGCACAGAGTGCCAAGCGGCCGCCGTGGCATCGAATTGGCAGCGAATCCGCCCTTGTCCGTCCTACTCTCCGCCGGGCCTTTGTACACACACGTGCGCATGGGCAGTCTGTGACATTGGAACCATGTCCTGTCCCATAGCTGCAAGCCCGTCCAACGGTTGCATCGCTTTTGCCCCGCCGATTCATGCGCTCGACCTCGCCTGCCTCTCCCATTCACATTCGTTATCACAGTCGAAAAAGCATCTCGACTGTGATGATGGGGTTACACCGCAGTCTGGGCGCGGTGTAATCTCGCTGTCGCCGGTGTCTCTCGCGGTGCTCGCCTCCCGCTCCCGTTCCGCGGCTTTGACTTTGCCGCCTCGCACCACTCAGCCCTTGCCTTTCTCGACATCTTGCGAGCTCCCCTTTGGCTCGACCAGCCGAGCCGCCGATGCCGCGGCTTTACGGACTACTGACATTTGGCTTTGCTGTGCCACCGCGGCTGGGACTCTATGGTCGGTCAACTCGCTTGCGCTCCAACCGAGAGCTTGACCTCCACCAATCGCTCTGCCCTGGATCACCCGAACCCGACCACCGCCACACCTCTGCTCCTTGCTCTTCCGCAGCTTTCCTGCCCACGTCGACATAGGCGAGACGACAGGAACAAAGGGACGAGAGCTGCAACAGCCAACGCCATGCCACCGTGACATCGGCTATTCTTGCGGCACTCCGAGACGGACGTCGTTCGCCTATATAGACGGCCCTACTGAGGCACCGTCGATCCACGGGCCTGTCCCTGCTCCGTACAAACTCGAAACCTGCGAGGCCTCCTTCGATACTCGATCTTCCTCGCATCGACAAAGCATTTCGATCCACCGACCAGGCAGGACTTCGAATTATACTGCAGGAGCGCCGTCTCGCCAGGGCTTCTTGCATCTCGAGATGCCGGGAGGACTCTTCGGACGAAGTCGCCGTCGCGACCTCACGGTGCATGTCAACCCAGCTCGAACAGGAGGTCCCGTCGTGGACCCCGAGCCTCAAATCAACACCATGGCAGTCAGCCGTCACATCACTTCCGCACCGAAAGAGACCGCGGTCAACCTGTTCTTCTACTACTTCTTCTACCTGCTCTTGATGGCCTCGGCCGTGATTACGATCATCTACGCACAGCGACCGCCGTCGAACTTCGATCAGACCTTTGACGTCCAGCCGCTTCCAGGTGTCATTTTCGCTTGGAACAGAGATGCGGCGGCAACTGCTGTGCCAGCCATCTCATCTGGCCGTGATGACAGCGTCGAATCTGCCACGTGCACACCGTACGATTGGGACAGAGGCACAAGGGTCGGCTACGACTGCACATCGATCGCCTCCGACGGACAGGCAAAGCTCGTCTTTTCGCTGTACTCGACCACGCCGTATCCGCCGACCGTTCGAGGTTATCGCGCAACCACCGACAGGTACGACGATGTGAGCGTTCCGACCTACTATGTCAAGTACTACACGTATCTTCCGCCGCAGTCAACATCATCGCTACCATCAGCTGCAGCTACAGCGTCGCCTTCTGCAGGCCTCGCTGCGCGCGAAACTATCGAGCAGGCCCAGGCGTCCTCACCGTCGTACTCGGGCCCTTCACGCACCCAAGTAGCTCCGAGAGCGGCATCAGCCACATTGGCTCCTGTGTCTCTGCAGGCTCGACAAGTCGGCGGCGTCCCTTCTTCTGCTACAACGGCAACTCCGGCACCGTCGTCGTCGCTTTCGCTGATCAAGATCGAGTACGTCCAGTCGTCCATGTCGGCGCTAGTTGGTGGTACGATCGTCTCCGTCTCGGCCATGCCATCGCCTTCGACCGTCTCGATCAACGCACAAACCGCCAAGATGAACGACGGCTTCAAGTACTTCTTCAGCGCCATCGCGGTGGTGCCAGCTTTCTTTGCGACGCTCACCATGATTTGCGTAAGCTACAATCTGTCGGTGGCCGCACGCAGGGTCAGGCGTTCTAGACGAGGTTCCGGCGCGAGCGCAGAGGCAGTTCAGGATAGCCAGAATGATGTCGACGAGAAGGTAGGACGCAAGCCGAGGCCCAGCAAGGGCAATCGTCGCGCGCAGTCGGCACACGTCGATCGGGATGACAATCGATGGACGAGCGACACACTGATGGCAATCCATGAGGTCGGTGAAACGGACGCGACTTCGACGATATCAAAGCCTTCGACAATGCCGCCGGCTTATGAACGCCGCACTGTTGCACGGCGTGCGAGCGTCGACAGCAGAAGCGTACGCCGCGGTGCCAGGACTCCGTCTGTGCTGACCGGCGTCGCGCAAATGGGCGATGGTGACTCGGCTCCGCCCGCGTATGCATCGAGACCACCTTCTCGAGTCGGAGACGCTCGCACAGACGGACAGGGAAACGACGATATCGAAGTGATCGCCATGGATAGCGGAAGCGAGCATACTGAGGAAGCGGTAGCAAGCTTGTTTTCCTCGGATCGACCTGCGCCGGATCTTTCTCTCGGACCTGTTGACTCGATGGCTACACCTCGCACTTCGACGAAACGTTCGTCGTCTTTGCTGGTAGGGTGGATGGTGTTGCCGATCTACGCTTACATGTTCTGGTGGGACTATGCGGCGTTCATTGTGGTGGGCCTGCTGCAGATCGCTGCGTTTTCGCTGGCGGCTGATGCGATGCTGGACGTCGGCAAGTTTGTGCGCGACGACGCATGCCTGGGCGATGGAGACGACTACAGCCTGTACAGGTCGCTGTGCGGTCGGGGCCGATTCCGGGCGACGTATCCGCTGATCTATACCGACACGAGGCCGCGCACTACGATCTGGCTCTTTGCGAGCGACCTGCTGATTCTGCAGATCAGCCTGGTGGTGCTGTTTGTGGCCAACCTGGGCTGGATGATCACCATCATGCGCAAGACGGCGCTCACGGAACGCAACAAGCTCGAGCCGGACCGCCGGATTACGAACGAAAGACACACGGGGAGATCGGGCCTAGGGTATATCGTGGTCCTCCACAAGACGGGCAATCACGGAAAGTACGGCGACTGGAACGCGGCCGACGATGTCTATGCACTCGAAGAGATGAATCGTGCTCAAAGTAGACGGTGGGGGATACTAGCACGACGGTGATTCTTTCAGCTTGTACAACTTTGCAAACGATCTCATACACAGTACAGTACTGTACATTACCGTCTCTGAGCTGCATAGGGGAGAGCGACACGGGGCTCTTGTAAGAAGGATGAGAAGGGCCTCCGGCGAAGCCTGACAGCTGGCGACAGCAGGAAAGGGTCATTGCAGGCCTAACATGGCCTTCCTGGGCGCGTCGCTCTCGCACGGCTCTGGGCGAGTGTGGAGCTCTTCTGTTGATCTCGTGGCGAAAGAAAAAAAAAAAAAGAAGCCAAAATTCTTGCGGGCTGTGATCACAGCGTTGGTTGAGCCTTCGCTTTTGGCCGGTGGTGGTGCGTGTGGACGTGGACGTGGACACACGACGGCCTACAGGCTCAGTCGACCCAACGCCGTCTTCCACACCAACACCAACCAACCATCTCGACACACACACCTACACCCGCCAACCTCTCACACCTCTTTATCGCATTGTCTCCGGCATTCGCTCCTTCGCATCGTTCCTTTCACTCTGCATCAACAGACAGACAGCATCGACCGGCTCTTCTCGCGCATCGCTTTAATCACATACTGTACCGCCACATCGCTCGCACCAGCTCACGCTCACATGTCTGCATAGCTCGCCAACGCGCCTGATCGATTCGAACACCCGAGCAGTCTTGGTCTCGGTGCTCATACGTCGCCGCCATGGAGGAGCAGCTCATCCAGGCGGTCGACATCGCCTCCAACCCGCTCGCCCGTGCAGGCCCCGACGTCACCTCCCAGGCGCTCCAGTTCCTCGAGCATCTCAAAACCATCACCCACGAGAGCTGGAGCGTCGGCTGGAGCGTCTGGTCCGCACGCAACGCCGCCGACAATGCGCCAAAGTACAGCCAGAATGCACGCATGTTCGGCCTCATGCTCGTCGACGACTTTCTCGAAAACCGCATCAGCTTGTCTTCCGACCCCGCCGCCGCCGTAGCCTCGCTCCAACAGTCCGCCATCGAGTACATCCAGAACGAGTATGTCTCGGGCAACGGCGACGGTGCCGTTCCTTACATCAAAAACAAGTTTGCACAGGTGCTCGCCGTGCTGCTGCTCCAGACCTACAACCTGCCACCACCTTACACGCTCCTCCCGACGCTCTTGTCCATGATCCGCGCACACCCCACCGCATCGCCCTCCCAAGCTTCGTCCTCGCACATCCCGCTCAACCCGCTCACCACCGACCTCGTGCTCAGAGTGCTCCACGACCTCTCCGTCACGCTCGGCTCCGACGTCACGCTGCGTGCCGTTCGATCCAAGGAGCGTCTCCAGCGCGACGCCGTCATCCGGGACGAGATCCGTGCCAACCATGCCGCCAACATCGCAGAGTCCGTCTGGCGTGTCGTCGAGGAAGGCTTCAACCGCGTCAACCTCGGCGAGCACGCCTCGGATCCCTCCACCGCCGCCGGCGTCCGCAGCTTGTCCTTTGCAGGCGCCGTCGATCTCACCGCCGCCGCCACCAAGATCGTCGAGGACTACGTCTCGTGGATCGACATCAACCTCGTCGTGTCCAACCAGACCGTCTCTCTGCTCTTCAACGTCCTACATCATCCCATCCCAAAACTGCGCACCGCCGCCGCAGACGCCTTGCACGGCATCGTCAGCAAGGGCATGAAGCCCGCCGACAAGCTCAGCCTGGCTCAGGCGCTCAACCTGCCCCACGTCATCACGCCGCTCGAGTCGCAGACGCGCACCGGCCAGGCGGCTCAGAACGGCCAGAGCGACCGAAGCGACTCCAACATCGAGTTCCGCGAGCACCTCGCGCGGCTCACCAACGGACTCGTGCTCGAGATGTCCAAGATCCTCGAGGAGAGTGCCGCCGAGGAGGCCACCAAGCTCGCGGCGGAGGCGCTGCTCAACTCGGTGCTCCCGCTCGTGCTCGCCTTCCTGTCGGACGAGTACGACGATGCCTCCGAACAGATGTTCTCGGGCGTCAACATGATCCTCGCCATGTACAAGAAGGCGCGAAGGCGCGGTGCAGAACTCACCGGCCCGCGCGCCGAGTTCCTCTCCAGCCTCATCGGCGTCGCGCTGCAGAAGATGAAGTTCGACGACGACGCAGAGTGGCCCGCCAGCAGCTTTGGCGCGGCCGACGACGACGACGAAGAGGAGGACGAGGACGATGCAAAGTTCCTCGACATGCGCCGCAACCTCCAGACCATCGTGGGTGCGATCGCCGCCATCGACGACAAGCTGTTCTCGACCAGCGTCGCGCAGCTCGTGCTGTCCACCTTTGCCTCGTTCGAGGCGAGTGCGGCAGGCACGGGCGCACAGCTCTCGTGGCAGCAGATCGAACTCGCGCTCTACGTCATCACCTTTTACGGCGACGTCATGACGACCGCCATCGCCGCGCCCAAGGTCGGCCTCTCGCCAGCCATGTTTGTCCAGAGCCCCGAGGCGGGTTCCAAGGGCCGCGCGCCCAAGTTGGGCAACGAGGCGCTGGCAGCCTTGCCGCTCAGCGATCTGGGCGAGATGGTGCAGAAGCTGGTGCAGTCCAACGTGTCGAGCTTCCCGCACCCGGCGGTGCAGCTGCAGTTCTTCGAGTGCCTCGTGCGCTACTCGAACTTCTTTGCGGCGCGCAGCGCGTGCGTCTCGGATGCGCTGCCGGCGTTCCTGGACTGGCGCGGCGTGCATCACGAGAAGCTGGGTGTGCGCAAGCGCGTCAACTATCTGCTCTACCGCTTTGTGCGCGACCTGCGTGCCGTGGCGGCCGTGCCGCTCGACTACGTGCAGAGGCTGCTGCAGGGGCTGCAGGACTTGCTGGTGGTGCGTGCCGAGCTGCCGGAAGTGGCGCCCGACGAGGATCCGTTGGAGAAGGCGACGGGCCATGCAGGCTACTTTGACAGCCAGCTGTATCTGTTGGAGACGAGCGGCATCCTGATCTCGCTGCTCAACACGGCGCCCCAGGAGCAGCTCGTGCTGCTCAAGGCGATTTCGGAGCCGCTGAGCGAGCAGATGCGTCAGGCGGTGCAGGCATTCCAGCGCAATGCGCAGGATCTGACGTCGGTGCTGCAGGTGCACCATCTCATGCTGGCGCTCAGCAGCTTGTCCAAGGGCTTCCCGGACGTCAATCCGAACAGCGCGCAGCCCGAGCCGCAGTGGGTGGGCGTGTTCAAGGCGATCACCGAGCAGGTGCTGCTGAGCATCGGTGCGATGAACAGCTTTGCGGTGGTCCGGGAGGCGGCGCGCGGTGCGTTTGCAAGGATGGTCTCGACGTGCGGCAAGGCGGTGCTGCCGTACATTCCCGGGCTGATCGATGCGCTGCTGAGCGAGGTGACGTCGCAGGAGCTGGTGGACTTTGTCAACTTTCTGTCGCTCGTGGTCAACAAGTACAAGGACGACGTCAAGCCGATTGTGGACCAGCTGTTCCTGATGCTGGTGGAGCGCATCTTTTTCTTCCTCAACCAGAGCGTCATGGGCACCGACGATGCGGTGCACAAGTCGGAGCTCCAAAAGGCGTACATGAACCTGCTGTCGAGCATGGTGCAGTCGGGCATGGAGGGGGTGTTTGTGTCGGACAAGAATGCGGCTCAGCTGGAAACGCTGCTGCAGAGCGTTGTGTTCTACTCGACCAATTCGGATGCGGCGTGTCAGCGCACGGCGTTTAGCATCCTGCACAGGCTCGTGGCGGCTTGGGGTGGGTCGAGTGGTGCGGCCAACGGAGCTGCGGCAGGGTTGCCTGGATTCGAGCGGTTTATCTACGAGACGCTGATCGGGCTCATCTTTGAGGCGCCCACCAAGGACACGTTTGACTTGCGCGATGCGCAGGCGCAGATCGTGCTCGGCGAAATCGCCACGCTCGCCAAGACGATCTACGCAAAGAGGGGTGACGAGGCGGTCGAGTACCTCACGCAGGTCTACTTTCCGGGCATCCATTGTCCTCCCGAGATGGCGGCTGACTTTGCTCAGAACCTCAAGACGCTAGAGGCCAAGCCGTTTAAAAAGTACCTCGAAGCCTTCATCGTGCGCTCGCGCGGAGGCTAGGCATGCACATAGGATGCACTTCAAAACCCACAAGCATTTCATTGCGGAAGCATGGCGGAAGAGAGTGTGCGAGTCAAAGCCTTGGGAATTGATCGGCGAGCTAGGGTTTAATGCTTGGTGGAGATGACTTCGCCATCGAGCACGTTGAGCGAGTCAAAGAGGGTGATGGCTTCGTAGGCGGCTTTCTGGCCGGAGCCGATCATGCCGCCGAACGAGGCGCCCATGCGCGGATGGCCGTCGTGCTCCGATAGCTCCATGCCGCTCACGATGAGGCCGGGGAACACCTCGCGCGTGTTGTTGACAATGAGACCTGTCTCCCCCAACCCAAAAAAAATGCGGTGCCGAAAAAGAAGAGAAAAAAAATAACGGCAAACGTGAGCATTGAGGCTTTGTCGAATGGGGATTGGGGTTTGGGGATGGTGACTGACCTTCGGACTTGTTCATGTCCATGGGACGCATGTCGCCTAGCTTGATGAGGCCAGCCGAGCTGAGACGCTTCACGCTGAATGCGCCAAAGGGGCCATCGTGACCACAGGCGCCGATAACCACGGGAGCAGTGATGGCTAGCGACGCGTCGTCTGTCAGCCTCTCTTCACAACCAAATTCCTTGCATGCTGAACTTACTCTGGGGGTCCATGCAGGACTGCAGACCATGAGCCATAGTCACCAGCGTCCAGTTGGTCACGACGCCGTTGACGCGCTGCGTGCCCTGTGCGTCCTTCTTGATGATGAGGTCCTCGCAGCACGTCGCATTGAAGAGCTTCACATTCTCCATAGCCAGCAGCTTGCTCATGAGCGTGCTCGTAAACAGTGCGGCGTGCTTGACGACCACGTACGCACCCTCGTCGTCGAACGGCACGCCGATCTCGACGAGCAGATTGTGCGCAGGCTTACGGATGACCATTGCGCTCATCAACTGTCCACCCAGCCATGCGCCACCTCCGGGAGCGACGGAGGCTTCGAGAATGGTAATACGCAGATCAGGGCGTTGCTTGGCGAGAGTATAGGCGCAGGTGAGACCGGCGGAGCCAGCTCCGATGATGACCACGTCCGAGACGGCTGCGTCCATCATGTCGGTCATGTAGCGCGAGGTCATGGCGCGCGAAGTGTGCGACTCCTTGATCTCGGCGAAACGGTAGTGGCCCGAGAAGTCCTCGATAGGCTCAGCGCCGGCGGCGATGGCTACATGCTGCAGTGCGCGCTTGGAAGCCAGGTCAAATGTGCCCTTGCTAGGCTTGGTGTCCACCGAAGCCGGTGCGGAGGGGTGCGTGAACGAGGCAGTAGGAGGCGTCATGCTGGATGAGTAGCTGTTGATGTTGGAGTCAATACCTCAGCAAGAGCGAAGGAGGTAGTAGCAGCCGCGTTTATAAGGGATGCTTGGCCAGCTGCGACCAGCCAGAAAGTGCGGCAGAGAGAGTGGCTATGCTCGGTGCGGCTCTGGCATTTCTGGCAGACCGAGCTGCCAGACAGGGGCGCCTGTGAAGCGTCGGAGGCTCTGCTCGATGCTCGATGCTGCGATGCTGCGATGCCGGCGAAAGGCAGCCGACTGTTGGGGCAGAGCACGGTCCACCTCTTCTTCGCAGAGAGATCGAAGCCGACCCATGCTTTGGCTGCCTGAATGGCAGCATGTCCGTGCGCGCAAGAGGACAGCCTGCCATTCAACAGACGCGCGCAAGAGTCAAGACCCGTTGCCACCCTTTGCCGATGAAGCTCGGTCAGCGTTGCATCTGCGCGCATCTGCTCGGCAGTCCCAAGTCGCAACCCTCAGCGGCCACGTCGAGTCACATTTGGCCCCACCCGTCAATCAAGTGCATCCATCACGGCTTTCTCAGGGTGGCAGAGCCGAAAGTTGTCGGCTAGGATGATTCAGTTCGTCGCTGGGGACGGAGCTGCCATCGGTGGGGCCAGCGAGTCTCGTCTCACGGGTGGGCTGCAGCAGCGGAAAGATCCGCATGTCGGCCAAGAGGCAGACGTTCCCACGTTTTGGCTTCACCTCGGCAATGTCGGTGGGGATCTGTGACTGCGGCGCCTAACTCAGAAGAGCAGCAACGGCAGCAACGGCACGACCTCGGAAAATGGCGGCGGTGCCAGGAGAGTGGCTCAATTTCAAAGTGTGCGGCCGGAGGCCATCTTCTGTGCGTCTGTCCCAGTGGACACACTGCGGTACAGCCGTGTGAGCGGCAAGAAGTACGGCCTTTGGGTGGCTCGCCCCCGGTGCAAAAGTCGGAGATCGCAACGATTGACGGGCAAAGATCCCAGATGCTGATCAGGATGGCTGATAACGGCCCTGCTTCTGCGCGCTGTTCAACTTGGCGAGCGAGCGTCGGACTTCTGAGGCTGTCGGGCATGGCGGAGGTCCTGCTCGGACCGAACTCGGCTGCTGCCCAACATCGGCGGCGAAGCACACCATTCCCATGCACGTCGTTCTGCGCCTGGCTTCGCTCGAATTCATGCATGGAAGCCGTCTCGCTTGCAGCACCGCTGAGGTCTTCTGTGCACGCACGCGCCATGTCAAGATGTGAGATTTGGCGGAATTATACAGATTTTATCTTCACCCGATGGGAGCTGCAAATTTTCTGTGCCGATCGATGCAGATCGAATTTGGTATTTTTTTGTGACCTCGGCCGAGCTTTCTGCAGTGCGCAATATTAGTCACGTGTCTATCTCTCTCTCTCAGCCAGGCAGTTGTCGGCAGGCCGTCAGATTCGGCCAAGGTTGGTGGGCCTGCCAACTCCACAGCTTAGCGGCGGCGGTGGTGGGCAGAGTTGGAACCGCACGCACGCAGCTGCGCCCACACAGCCAAATCGATTGCGAGAGCCACCGAGCCGATCCGCCGAGCCCAGCGCAGCGAGCCGCACCTTGACATTCGTGCCGGCTCCTTCGTCTCTGTTTCCTTTCTCCAAGCCATCAAGAAAAGGTAAGTCGATAGTGACGGGCACACACTCTCGCATCTCCATCCCATTCGACATCATCGACGCATCCGACACACCAGTAAGCCATCGCACGCACGCACGCACTCTCGCATACGCATTCGGATCCCATCACGACTCGCGGCATTGTTCATATCGGTGACGACGAGGACCCACCTTGATCGTTGGATGATAGCATCAGCACACGTCGGCAGTAGCAGAGCATGTGCGATCAGCAGCAGGACAACCAGCAGGCGTCGTGGACCATCATCATCGAGCAGCAGACTAGTGGTGGCGGACAGGCTGGAGCTCCACTTTCGCAGGATGGATGCAGCACACTCAGCATAACGCATATGACATTGGAGACGGTATGCTCTGCTCTTTAGGATGCAGTCAAGCGAGATGGGATTGCAATGGCGGACATGGAGATACTTGCATCACGCCCTCTGCGAATCAGCACAGAGTCCGCAGATATAGCCGCATCCGAGAATCACCACACCGACGGCAGTCTCGACCTGGCCAACAGATTCGCACGGTCACTGTTTCGCAGTCACGGCCAACTTTTCGCTTTCGTCCGGCCTGCATACGATGGGATGGAGTCGCGAGTGCCCGCAGCCAAGATTGAAATATAGAGCCAGCCGCATCTGACACGTCCATTCCCTTCCTTTGCTTCCTTTCCAACCACCACCAGCATACATTCCGACAAAATGGCCCGAAACAGCCAGATCGCCCCTAACGTGGCTCGCCTCGGCCGCACCAAGGCCTACCAGAAGAAGGGCGGCTACAAGTTCCAGCAGCGCAAGGGCGCCGCTAAGAAGGAGGAGGAGACCCCCGCCCACAAGGAGGTCCCCGTCAAGGGCGCCAAGAACGGCGGCAAGCGCCTCGTCCCCACCCAGAAGGCCCCCCGCTTCTACCCCTCGGTTGACGCTGCCAAGCCCAAGGCCAGCCGCAAGGTCAACAAGCCCACCAAGCTCAAGTCCAACATCACCCCCGGTTCCGTCCTCATCCTCCTCGCCGGTCGCTTCCGCGGCAAGCGCGTCGTGTTCCTCAAGCAGCTCGACTCCGGTCTGCTGCTCGTCACCGGCCCCTTCAAGGTGAACGGTGTCCCCATCCGCCGCGTCAACCAGGCCTACGTGATCGCCACCTCGACCAAGATCGACATCTCGGACGTCAAGGTCGACGACAAGATCAACGACGCCTACTTCAAGAAGGACAAGGCCGCCAAGACCAAGCCCGAGGCCGCCTTCTTCGCCGACCCCGCCAACAAGCAGGCTCACCCCGAGTCCAAGGTCGCCGACCAGAAGTCGCTCGACAAGGCCGTCATCGCTGCCGTCAAGAAGGCTGGCCCCACCATGGCCAAGTACCTTGCCGCCACCTTCTCCCTCTCCAAGGGCGAGAAGCCCCACGCCCTCAAGTTCTAAATTGGGCGGGCTGCATGCGCCTCTCATACCCCCGGCAAAGGTTCAGCATGGAATGCAGCGGTTCTAGGTCGACACCTCAATGATTGACGAAGGATGGCGACTGGCTCTTGGGTCTGGTCGATCGTCGCCGTCCCACTCGTCTTTCCTCCGCGGTTTCTACCTCGGCACCCTGCAATCCGTCCAGGCACGTCTTTTTTTCAGGCCAAGATCTTTGCATCTCTTCCCTCTTTCTCGCATCCACACCACACATTTCTCGTGTCGGAACCTCTCGGGCTGTCTGCATCGTCCCTAGCATATTGTGCATTCATCCTTCTCTCCTCCCCTCCTCCCCACCCCTTTTGATTTGACCAGACCCAAAAAAGCGCCTTTCGCTATGCGCTCCGACCCCCCCTTTTTCCCCCACCCAAATCTCCTCCCGTCTGTGTTCGAAGTTCGAGCACACAGAGGGGATTTTGTAACTCATACAAACCCCCCTTTCGTTCTCAAGGCGCTGCGTCGCGCAGAGACGAGGGGAAAACAATACAAACACGTGCATTTCCGTCGATCTAGAGTGGCTGTTGGTGCTTGCGACCAGGATTTCTGTGCGATGAATGCAAGGCTATGGAGATTGCGAGGTGCGGGTGTATGATGTGGCATCTAGGATTGTGGTTGGTAGAGAATGTGTTTGTCGGTGGACTTTTGGAGGGTGGCGTCCTTGGCGCCTAGTTTGGCGAGTTCGCGCAGACGCAGGGTGCGGATGTTGCGCATGCGGATGAACCGAGTTTCGGCCTGCTTCCTACGCGGGCTCTTATCTGCCGCCACCAAGGCATCTTGCGGTGCAGCCTCGGCGGATGTAGCTTCGGCCGAGTGTTGACCCGGCGCAAGTGGCATACCCGCCGCCACGCCCGACGCACGTTCTTCCAAGAACCTCCGCAGCGCCTCCGGATTCTTGGACAGCTCCGTGGTGCGGTACTGCTCGCGCTCGTTGAGCGCCTCGACATTCGGCAGGATCAAAGAACCCAGACTCGCCTGTCGGTCGCGAACAGCCTGAAGGTTCGCGCGGATCTTGGCCTCGGTGAGGTCGGAACGCGGCGAAATGCGGTAGTCAACCTCCCATCGAACAGGGGGAAGAGACTGTCGCAGTCGACGCTCAATCTCGTCCTCATTCATGGGGTCGATCCGACGTCCGGGGAGGAAGGAAAAGTCGACGGGTCCCAACACGAGCCCACCGTCCAAGTACCGATCCACGGTGATGTCGAGCTGTACGATGCTTTTACCCCCGCCGCCCGCCTTGGCACCTTCCTCAGCGGATGCTTGATGGGCGGCGTTGGATTCCGTGGCAGTATCTTGGTCGGCCGGTTCGACATACACCACCATGCCTGTGTCCGACTTGTCCTTGGCCTCGATGGTGATCTTGAGCGTCTTCTCCGGGAACATGCTGGTAGCCGCATCCAGCACAGCCTCCATCATGCCGAGACTCAGCTTGAACGCCTGGTCCGCCATGTCCTGACTTCCAAAGAGGCGCTCGTTCATCTCGTCGACCGAGATGTACTGGAAGCCAAAGATGGTCGAGGTGGTGTGGTAGGCGACAAAGATGCCGTCCATGTGGCCGATGCGCACCTGGAAGTTGTACTTCAAAAACGCCGCGCGCACCATGTCAAAGTACTCGCGCTCAAACGACTCGAGCAGCCCCTGGGCGCGGCGGATTTGGTAGCCCGATCCCTCGACGTAGTTGGCGCGGTCGTTGCGGATGCCGATGGACGCGCGTGTCTTGAGGTCGAACGTCTTGTGCGGCAGTCGCTCGTCGTGGCAATCCAGCTGGGATCGCATCATCATGTTGCCCGTACACGCATAGTGGTACGCCTCGGGCTTGGTCCTCTCCTCCTCGCTCAATTTCCACGAGTTGATGCGCTGGTACTTTGCATACTCGTCCGGCGTGGCGGTGAGCATCTTTTCCATGCTCTTGCCGAGCGAGGTGAGCACATAGTTGTTGTTCTCCGCCTCGCCCGCCGACGCCTTGTCGGCATCGATGGCGTAGAAGCCATCCTTGTAGTTGAGCAGGATGGATGCCGGCAGCTTGGCGCCCACGCTAAAGCCGCTCGGAAGCCCGGCAAAGGGCGCGGAAAATCCAGAGGTGTCCGGATTGCGCCAGCCCGAGATGAGAAAGTAGCACTGGCTCAGCAGCGACGTCATGGAGCTGGTGCTGCCGCAGTACTTTTTGGCGTGCTGCTTGGTGAGCTTGGCCAGCTCGGGGTCTTTGCTCGAGGTGATGTAGGGCGGCAGCGCTGCATAGTCGAACAGATCCACGTCCAGAATGTCCTTGATGCGAGGGTCGAAGTTGTAGATGCCCGAGCGCGGGTCGCGCAGCCAGTAGACGCCCGGATTGAAGAGCACGCGATCGAGACCATGCGCCAGTTTGGCCACCTCCATCTCTCGCAGCGGCGCCACCTTGTCTACCGGCACGTTGTTGGCGGTGACGCAGCCGGTGATCGACTCGGTGTAGCGTCTGATCTCGTCGGCAAACGGACCACTATATGTCACACCTTCGACGGTCTTGCCCTTGCTATCGCGCCATCGCAGGCTCGACTCGGCCAGCAGACTGTCGCCGAGCACCAGCCGCGTCGTTGGCTCACCCGCCTTCTTGTCGCTCGGTTTCGACGATGTGTCGGAGCCCGCTGGGCCTGCCGACCACGTCGACTCAAGGTTTGGCGGAGCAAGACGATCTGGACCCCACGCCTCCTCCATCTGGTCTTTGCTGGACGGTCGAGAGAGCTCGAGCGCTTTGAGCCTTTGCGAGATGGCGAAGGCCTTGCTCTGGAGCGAGTCGAGCAGGTCGTCGAGCGCATTGAGCTCCTTGAGCATGGACGCCGAGTGGTCGGCGGCAGACTGTGCACCGCCCTGCTCTTTGGCCTTGCCTTTGTCATAGCTCGCGACGAATTTGCGAGGTGCATTGGCGCGCGTCGAGTTGGAAGCGTATCGCAGAGCTCGGAATGCCGCCTTACGTGGCGGTGCTTTCGCAGAGCTCGCTGATGCTGTAGAAGGCTGGGAAGACGGAGTGGATGAGCCAGATGGAGACGATGCCGACGATGATTCGGTTTGAGCTGGCGATGCTGCTGCGGTGTTGGAAGAGGTGGCCGATCGCCAATGGCTGCGCAAACGTTTGGAGAGCGAGGCTGCGTTGGATGTGGTGGAGAGAGGCCTGGACAAGCGCACGCTGGCGGAAGCCATGCCCTTGGCGGAACGGACGCTCATTCTAGTCGGAGCGGCTGAGGTAGTCCGAGCCAGATGTAGGATCGATGATGGTGGTGGTTGCGGTTGCGGTTGCGGTGCTGGCGAGGGAGGGTCGGGTGGAGGTGCGCTGATTTGTGCACAGCAGCAGCAAAGCCTGGCTCTGCTCACGCGAGAAAAAAAAGGCTAGAAGGCCGATGCTGAGTGGATGTTTCCTCTGCGCGAAGAAAGCGGGAAGAAATGCGGCAGCGAAACTCCACAGCAGACGGCAGTTTTCCTGTCCTCGGAACCCGGAAAACCCTGGCTGGCGAAATTTCGCTTCGGCCACAACAGCATGACGCTTTTTCTTCCACTCGTTCTTCGACACCTTCGCGACCTGTCGTGCGTCCTCATACAGCCACCGGGGCTGCACAGCCAGCAATGAAGGCAAGCAAGACCAAGACTACGAAAGCACTTGGCAAGGGCAAGGCCAAGGAGCCGTCCGCGCAGGAGATGGGTTCTGACGAACGGGCTGACCAGCTCGCGCAGCTCGAGGCATTTGGCAATGCTTTCCTTTCGTCATTCGAATTGCCCCTGGCCAGCACATCTACCTCGTCAGAAGTCGACGATGCTGCAACAAGCAAAAAGAAGCTCTCGAGCAAGAAGCGCAAGCGTCTCGCAGCTGAGCAGGCTGACGCAGACAAGGACGCGGAAGAGACAATACCCGCGCGCGAGCAGGACGAGATGGATCGCCTGTTTGGCTCAGCCAAGCCATCGCCGAAGACAAATGCTGAAGGAGCTGCAGCAGGGACAGGCCCCAAGAAGAGTGCCAAGAAGCTGCCCAAGTCTCGCGCAGTAGAGACGGTGGTGTTCGGCGGCGAGAGTCGGCCGGATGGCGACGAGCTGAAGGAAGCCAAGAAGGGCTGGAAGGCGTTCATGTCGTCCAAGACCGAGAAGATCGCGAGCGAGGACCTGACATCTGCGACCAAGCCGACCACGGCCGAGGAGGAGGAAGAGAAGCAGCTGGTGGCCAACGATCGACTCTTGTCCGAGCTGCTCTCCACCACCCTGTTTGCGCCGGGGACGGGGACGACGTCCAAGGGCAAGTCGAATCTGTCGTCCAACGACACGATTGCGCGCATCATGGAGCTGTCTGCCACTGAAGCCCAGCGAAAGGGCCAGGCGGTCGGTCGAGGATGGGGCGAGAACGAGCTCAAGCGTCAGCAGCTCGCCAAGGCACCCGCGGCGATTCGACAGGGGATGCGCAAGGCTGCAGGAGACCGTCGCGACAAGGAGCGCGAGAAGGCCAAGGAGCTGGGAACGTGGCACCCTTCGCTCAAGCAGGCCTACGCCAACCAGGCCACCGCCACCGAGATGGGCCTCAAGAAGGAGACGCGCAAACGCCAACGCGGTATCGGCGTGGGCATCGGCAAGTTCCAGGGCGGCATGCTCAAGCTCTCGGCACAGGATATCTCCAAGGTCAACGGCAAGCCGTCGTCGTCCTCATCGCGAGCCAAGAAGGGTCGCAAGTAGCTGCAAACAGATCGACGCCGAGTTCGAAGCGCCGCAGTGTTTAATGCCAGTCAATCTGACACGATTGTACTGTCGACTGTGAGAGCCTTCGTGAGCCTCCAGCTTGAAAGGCTGCAACAATGGGAGATGGCGCATTGGACGGAAGTGGAAGAGACGCTGTTTCTGCGGTGCCCTGCACTGTACTGGCTTTCGACAGTGCAGTACAGCGAGCTTAGCGTGCCGGTGGGGCGAAGCCTCATGTCTCAAAGAGCCAGAGGCGATGTCTCAACGAAGCTACGGATGGCAGCCCAAGGGTCCACTTCCACCTGACCACGACAGCGGGGGAACCGGTGGGGATGTGCAACGTCGTCATTGTGCACCAGCACTTCTCTGAAGAGGCACGCGCCCAGTCCAGCGCAGGCGAGCAAAAAGCGGAATACTTCCGACATTGCCAAGGCAAGGCATGCGAGCCGGATGGATGCTGTTTGCGGTGAGATCCACGCAGCGAGTGTGGTTGAGCTCAGCTGGGCGGGCGCGCGCGTTCGAGCCGAGACCGTTCGAAAATCCAAAAGCGGGCCTAAGTCGCTCGTGGCTCCACTTGTTTTGTGACTTTGCGGAGAGAGCGTGGAGTTGTGTGGAGTTGCAGTGGCGACACGGACCCCTTCCCGTGCCATCCAAGAAAAAATGCAACCCGGATCGGAATCTCGAAAAATCCAAGAGGCTGCCCTGTCGGCTACACTCCGCTTCCTGATCGTCGGCGCAGAGCTTGGTCAGGATCGCAGCGGCACAGAGTAGAGTCTAGATGTGCTCATCGTCAGCAGAAGGAATCTTCCTCTCTCTGCTCGTGAAGTCTGTGCTTACTGAGTGCTGTTGGCAGAGAGCATTGCCCGCGCATGGTGTGATATTTGCATGCAGTCGGGCACGTTCGTCTTTTTCCAAACAGCACATGTGCGTGCGGCTGCATGTGCATCGCGTCTGTCGCGGCAGCTCAAGCAGTCACACTTCTCTCTCTGCTGCGCTCGTTGAGCTAAGGACGGTGTCGAGGCAATCCACCACAAACGTGCGCAGTGGTAGAAAGGGTCCCCATCATACGTGATTGGCCCGCATACTGTGGATCTCGAGCGTCGCTCAGACAGCCGCCGATGATCAAGGGTGAGACACTCCACGTCGTCTTGCCGAGAGACAGACCGGCAACGTGTTTGATAGAGTGCTGCTCTGGCGCCCAGATCTTGGAAGCGCGTCCTGCGCGTTCTGAGCTCCGACGACCGGATTTTCTCTCCCGCCCATCACCAGACGCACCTTCGACATTGTGCAGCGGCACTTTTGGAGCTGACTTCGCGGATCTGCATGGACAAGCGAGCGTCGGCCAAGACAATGGTGGCGGCGGCGGCGAGCCAGGGCCAGGCCCGCCTGCGACTGCGACAAGAATGCGCTCACCTTGCACCTCGTCAGTCCCTCTCTCCCTCTTGGTGTGGCAGCAGCACTTTGACAGGTCGTAGCAGCAAAGAGCCTGTGTTTTCCGCGAATCGTCGGCCATTTTCAAACTCCATGGAACCGCGCGGTTGTGCAGCAATGCCGCCTCTCTCCCACGGAAGTGTCGAAGTTGCCCTTTTGGCTCAAGATCTCACTCTTACTCTCACCCACGCTACGTGAGAGACTGGAGGGTGATGCAACAAAGCAGAGCGGTCGAGTCGGTGAGAAAGCGCGCGCTCGTCTGCATCGGAAAGCGCCGATGAGCAAGACTTGGGGACTGTTGTGTTTTTCTGCTCGGCTGTCAAAATCGCGACGAGGCTAGGATGGAAGCGAGGCCAAGCATCTCGGCCCGTCCGACAGTGGCGCTGAATCTGTGGCGAGATGCTTTGCTTTGCTTTTGCTGGGCGAAAGGCCGAGATGAGCGAGGCGTCGAGATGAGCTGAGCTGAGYTCATCCGAGTTCAAGTTTGGGTGGAGCACGAGGCCGGCTCAGTTGCAGGTCGAAGGGTGGGTTTGGGCGGCGAGGTGCGGGAACACGCGCGCGCGCGGGTGCAGCAGCGCATGCTCTCTCTGTCTGGCCTGCGCCTCGCTTAATCTCGACAGGGCCAGGCCAAGGCACCGCCTGCCTCGCCCACCCACGCGTTCCGCTTTCCGCTCTGCTTGTGGCTCGCTTTGGCTTTGGCTTTGCTGCATGCAAATACCTTCGGCCCGTCCGTCCCTTGGTCGGTCGGATTGTCCCACAGCCGCCGCCCGCTCGCTGCAATCCACCAGAGCCCACCAACCACGCCCGCATCCCATCCCACTTGAGCCTGTCAAGCCTCTGCGAAGCGCCTCTGCAAACGCCTCTGTGACTGTGTTAAGAGAGTGCCCGAATTCGGTCGGAGGAGCCGTGGCGGCGTAGCAGACCGACGCCGCTTTCGACTCCAGTCATTGGCCTCGAGCCAGATTCCCTCCCTCACATCCTCCTCCCCCTCCCCCCTCCTCCTCCTCCTCCTCCTCCTGCTCAGCCCATCGCTCACTGCTTGGTTTCTTGCTCCACTGCCACCATCGCAGAGTGCCGATCATCCCTCTCCGTCATCGCTCGTTGCGCCCTAGCTCGACTCCATCCTTCATCAACACCCTTCGAGCATCCCTCCACATCCACCATTTGGAAGAAGTGCTCGCTCCCCTCCTCTAGCGACAACACAAGTAGATCGCAACCTCGCTCTTCCTGCTCACCGCCATGGCCCGTCTGTCTCAGTCGTAATCCTGCCTTCTGTCCGCACCCCCACTCCAGCAACGGCGGTCCCAGCGTACATCCCACAGGCTCTCATAAACACCCACAAGGTCCATTCAATCCCCCTTCGCATACTCGGTCAACATGGGATCGTGCATGTCGAAGAACGCCGCCGTCGTGGAAGAGGTCAACCCCGTACCGCACCCGGAAGCCAGGCGCGTCTGGCTCGTCTCCACCCCCGTGGACGCCAAGGATGTTCCGCTCGACCTGGTCGGCATCGATTCCGACGGCCTCAAGGCTGCCATGCGCAACCGTGGCCTCGAGACCGACCACTGGGCGCTCAAGATAGACCCTCCCTCCAACCTCAAGGCCGAGCCCACCATCTTTGACATCACGCTCGAAGGCGGCAAGCTCGTCTCGGCCCTCCACACCACCTCGAGCCCCTACTGGAAGGGCATCACACGCCGCGTAGCCATCGGCTGGACCATCTGGAAGGACGACGAGATTATGCACGCCTGCAAGCAGCTCATCAACGCTCGGCCCAAGTACGACGGCCGCACCAACAACTCGCAGCAGCTCGCACGCCTGCTCGGTCGTCACATCGACTTTGTACCCGAGCCGCCCAAGCCCGCTTCGACCGCAGCTCCGAGCGAGACCATCGCAGCCGAAGAGCCCAGCCCGGCCGCAAGCATCCTCAAGCCCGAGTCGCTGCAGCAGGAGACGAACACCAATCGCTCGCAGATGACGCTCGTCTCGGGCGCACACAGCCAGCGCAGCCACTCGATCGAGTCGGACCCCAAGGAGGCGGCCGCCAGCCCCACCGAGATGAACGGTGTCGCGCGCGTGCCCGCAAGCATCCGCCAGAGCCAAAGGATTAGCATCGCAAGGCCTCCGCTCATCCACCTCTCTACTGCCCCCTCGGAGCATGGCGGCATGGCACGTCCCAAGCTCGAGCGCTCAGCGGAAACGGACCCCACTACGCCCACCGGCTCCGTGCGCATGTCGCTTCCTCCGCAGCCGCGGCAGCAGTCGCCGCTCAACCCATCGCCGCGCACCCACCGCCAGACGGCGTCCGAGATTCGCGTCGACGGGCGTGTTCGCGCGCGTTCGGATGCGCCCGCCTATGCCACCGTGGGTGCGGCGGATCAGCGCGTCTCACGGCCCAGCCGACGCCGCAGCGAAGCGCCAGCCGAGTGGCTCGCCGAGCTGCCGGACCAGGCGCGCTTCCAGTCGATGCGCTCGCGCGGTGGACAGGGCCGCAACTCGCACCGCGACTCGATGCTCAGCACGAGCGGCAGCGTGCTCGGCTCGCCCATGGCCACGTGGGGCCCGAGCATGGGCATGCCAACTTCGCCATCGATGGCGGGCGTGCCCATGTCGCCGCCCATGCCGCCCATGGGCATGGGCATGTGGCCCGGCGCGACGGGAAGCATGGGCCCATCGGGCTCCATGATGTTCAACCCTGCGGCGCTGCAGGTGCCCATGCCGTACTTTGCGCAGCCGCCCATGGGGATGGGTATGGGCATGGGGTTGCCGTACATGCCGTCGATGCCGATGCTCGCGCCGCCCAGCCCCGGATTCCATTCGCACACGTCGAGTGCGGTGCACACGCCGCCCGAGAGCCCGCAGATGTCGACGACGCATCTGCCGGCCAAGCCGATGGTGCCCGAGATGGCTCCGGCGTTCGCGCAGGCGCACCACTTCCGAACCTAGCCATCCTACATCCCCCAGTACCATGCATATCCACTCCCTCCACTCCCACCGGACAGTATCTCTTTTCGATTCTTCTTCATTCGCTTGGCTTGTTATACGCTTCTTCCCTTTTTCGGCTATACCCCTCATGCACACATTCGTTGTTCTTATCAGTTTGCTTTCAAGCGGTCGGTTCTCACATGCTCAAATCGGGTTGCTGTGTGTGGGTGTACAAAGCTGAAATCGGTGTGACTGCTGCAGAAATGCGTCGACTGGAAGTGCACGCCGGATGAGGTCGCACTCATTTGGCGCGCCAACTCGGCTGTCGATGCTGGGCGTGCTTGCATGTGGTGGTGGTGGTGGTGTTGGTTGATGCTGATGGAGCAATGGCTTAGCTGGGATGCTACGCTATGGGACGATTCAGTTGATTTGGCGGCAGCGGGGCTTGCTGCGGGGTTCTTGGCGGCAGGTTCGGTGCACAGAGCTTACAGGCTTTTCTGGTTGGATCGGCCTGTGCTCACCTCTGTATCAAGAACACATTCAGCTTTTTTTTTCGATGTATCGTATAGGGCTGGCGAGAGCGCACCGTCTTCGAGGGAGTGCTCGAATCATGTCCTTGTTGGGGCGGTGTGAGGTTCATCGACTCAGGAGCAAAGTCGGGATTTGGGGATGAAAAATGTAGCATTGTGGGGAGGGATAGGACAGTCACAGAGGGGAAGAGTTTATTCGTCGGTCTTTGGGGCTTTGGAGTCGTCGTCGTTTGCGTCGTCGTCGTCGTCCGCTTTCCTCTTGTTGCCGGTTTGCGCGTCATCCTCCTCCTCTTCCTCTTCCTCGTCCTCCTCATCGTCGTCACCGGCTTCCTCCTCGTCATCGCTAAAACAGCCCACAAAATAATGGTGTGAGTTTGGAGTGCAGTGGAAGTGAGGGATGGGGGGTTTGACTTACTCTTGTGCGTCCTCTTCATCGTCATCCTCTTCGCCACCGGCAACTTCATCGTCGTCTTCCTCCTCGTAGTCACTGCCAAGACATCAACAAAAGGTGGTTAGTGAGGTTCTTTTCGGGCAAG